CGTTAGGTTTTGTCCCCTTCCCCTTCCATACACATTTCTCACACGCACAGTTTCATCCAGACACATGTGGCGGCGATTATCAGATCCATATTTTTTTAAAAGCAATATGACACAATTGATCAGAAACCCTACTTTTATCAATATTTATGTATGCGTAATGTATATGTACTTTGCAGTGTGGAATCATTGTGTATTGACAATAAACCTGCAGATAACAAACATCAATTATAACCCTTTTAAGATGAACACATTTCCTTATGGGACAAAGTTTTTTTTTAGATGTAAAGATCATTAAAATGATACAAAAGCTGTCAGTGTTTTCAAACAATAGGCCCAAAGGGTCTATATCACTTAACAGAATAATTAAGCACTAATGGCAAAATATTCTCATTAAAAGTAAAACTGTAAACACTTGCCATATTTGGCACCGCCTTCCACTTCCCAGGGGAACATCGTCCTTACTTTATACAATGTGTAACATTTGGTTACCTGGTTCCAAGGAGGCTTCATATCAAGTTTATTAAATAAATAATATTGACCAACAATATATATATATTGAAAGTGTTAGACGTTAGACGTGTTAATTTTCAACCATACCAGCTCACGTTGACCTTTGACCCCGACAATCTGTAAAAGTTTATCTTTGACCTCAATACATGAACAAATATAATACTATAGTAAGTACTACTGTAATGGCATCAATAAGCTTATGGGAACATCCTTAACCGTGCAGTCACGACCATTCCGAAGTAATTTGTCGAAAATCCAATGCTATCCTAGTGCTACGGTAACATGTAATTTTACTGCGTAAAAGAAACATTGTTTTGAAAATACAACTATTGACCTCTTCTGAAGCTGCAGAAATAAATCTCCCGTCTGATTTGTGTTAAGAATTATGCTCCTTGTTATACATATATATTATGATAATAAGTATAATATAACTCAGAGATATTATAAACATTAATCAACGAATAAGATATAATAAGCGATGGAATAGGCCAATATATGATAACTGAAGGTATAGGCTAACAAACGACGGAAAGGTCTAGCATGTCATCAAACATGTGATGAGCGACGGAATTAGAAAAAAACATGGGGAGAGATGAAATAGGCCAACACGTTACGAGCAAAGGAATAGCCAATATATGATTAGGGAGAGAATAGGCCAATAAATAGTGAGGGACGGAAAAGGCCAATGTATGATGAAGGAGGGGATAGTCAATGTATGACGAGGGATGGGAATAGCCAATATATGATTAGGGAGAGAATAGGCCAATAAATAGTGAGGGACGGAAAAGGCCAATGTATGATGAAGGAGGGGATAGTCAATGTATGACGAGGGATGGGAATAGCCAATATATGATTAGGGAGAGAATAGGCCAATAAATAGGGAGGGACGGAAAAGGCCAATGTATGATGAAGGAGGGGAAAGGCAATGTATGACGAGGGATGGGGATAGCCAATATATGATTAGGGAGAGAATAGGCCAATATATAATAAGAGAGCGAAAAGGCCAATGTATGATGAGGTAGGGGATAGTCAATGTATGATTAGGGAGAGTATAGGCCAATATATAATGAGAGAGCGAAAAGGCCAATGTATGACGAGGGATGGGAATAGCCAATATATGATTAGGGAGAGAATAGGCCAATATATAATGAGAGAGCGAAAAGGCCAATGTATGATGAGGGAGGGACAACACACGATTAACAAGATAGTTATAGTTATAGTTATAGTTATTTTCCAGTACAGGAACAATATGTTCCTCTACACCGGCCTCTATTTTACATGTAATATGTTCTCATGTTTGAATATTAGAGTTCACTTCCACCTATGGTCGCCTTATAATTATAAAGGATTTCCTTATTTTTCCTTATTTTGTCCAGTCTATTCTTGAAAGTGTTTATATTTGGTGCCGATACAACGTCCTCGGGAAGACCGTTCCACATTTTTACAGTTGTAATACCAAAGCTGTTTTTCCTTAGTGTAGTTTTGAATTGTTGCGGGAAGATCATTTTTGAATTCCCCCTACTGCTGTGACGCGTTGTTACATCCTTCCAAAGTTTAATAAAATTACAGGATTCCCTGTCGTATATTCCGCTTATTATCTTATATAGTTCAATCATATCCCCTCTAGCCCTTCTGTATGATAGTGTTGGGAGTTCCAGCTTTTGTAGTCTTTCTTGGTATGTTAAGTTTTTCATCCCCGGTAAACTCCTAGTTGCTCTGCGCTGCACGGCTTCCACTCTATCAATATCTTTTGCTTTATACGGTGCCCAAACAGAACTAGCATAGTCAAGTTGTGATCTTACTAAACATTTGTATAACGGGAGAAAGGTGGTATAATTCATAAAATTAAAAGTTCTTCTTAACAGTCCGAAAATTTGGTTTGCCTTTTTTACTTTTTCGCTGATACGGTTTTCAAAACTCAATTCCGAGTCTACAGTAACGCCAATATCTTTTTCCTTGTCTGTTTTTTGTAGATTGTTCCCAAGTAATTGATACGATCCCGTTGTTCCTTCTATGGTTTTTGTAGATCGGCCGACGTGCATATGTTTGCATTTTTCCGGGTGCATCCTTAGTAGCCAAGTGTTGCTCCAGGTCCCCATGGTGTCCAGGTCCTTCTGAAGTGCGTATTCGTCCTCTTTCTTTGTTATTATTTTAAATATCTTAGTATCGTCTGCGAATAAGTACATTTCAAAAAAATATATGTGACAACATATGATTAACGAGGGAATGAGACAGCATATAAATAGGGAGGGAATGAAACAACATATGATTAGGGAGGGAGTAGGTTAAGATATGATTAAGGCGAACGCTTGATTCATATCCACGTATCCATGTTAATTTTTTCTCTATTAATTCTGTAGTTTAGAATTTCGTGTTAACATAGAATTGTCATTACAGTCTGCTTCGCATGCCCTAAATTTAAAAAAGTATAAAATCAATAACTTTTAGATAAGGGTAGCATTGCTGGATGACCAACAACACGTTCTACAAAGTCTCAATAACCAGGGCTCAGACTTACAAATTCAGGTCAGCTTTATAAACTGTTGATTAAACCTCTCAGCAGGCTTATGTTTCAAAGTTAGAAACATGCAAATAGGTCGGCACATTTCTCATCGCCGGAAACGAGAACTGACGAAAACTAAGGGAATCATTTTAATAAAATTCCTATTTGTTTGGATTTTCTTTTCTTTCTAAACTTATCACGGCTGATTAAAGTTTACACCGTAAGGTGTCTGAACTTTGGAGTAAACCTTACAGATAATTCGACCAAGCCAAATGGTGATAAACGACTTATCTATGATGCAAATGAAAAACAAATTAATTTCAGAGTATTAACATTCCAAACGTATCAGGTTTATAGGAATACCAAACGTATACCTGTCGTGTCAGCCAAGATAACCGTGACATATTAGTCCACAAAGAATTTATATATAAACCTCAAACTGTCTTCTGAATGCCTTTAGTCGTGGTGTGTTGAGTTGAAAGAAGGAACAAAAGGGGCAACACAACAGCCACCGTCATGGCTCTGCGGAATATTAGCCAAGTTTGTTTTCTGATGAGCATCGCGTTCTCCTCTGCATTCTTGACAGGAGAAACAGGAAACCAGGAGGTACTAGACCATGAGGTAGAAACACTGCGGGAACAGCTGGTGGTCACTCATCGATCAGGGCAGGATGCAAGACCTGACCTCTGAGCTGAGAGCGCTGCAGGAGAATTCCGACTGTAGCTGCATGGCTTTGACAAAGATCAGTATGTGTCCAAACGGGTGGACATTACACAACGATTCCTGTTATTTCTTTTACATGTTTCGACAAACATGGGACGACGCTAGGACCACCTGTGAGAGATTTGGAGGACATCTTGTTGCCATTGAAACCATGGAGGAAGATGACTTCGTTAAGGGTTTTATTGACATGTCAAAGGCGAAATCTGGACTGAACATGGATAAATACACATGGCTGGGTGCGACAGATCATCTCAGTGAAGGGGTGTGGCTGTGGGTGACTGGGGAGAAAGTGGCGTTACAGGACTGGCGGGGTGGACACGTGGAACATGCAGACAGTAATGGTCAACCAGGGGTTGAGGATTGTATGGACTACAGCTTCGGGGCGTGGAATGACAATAGCTGTGCCGCTACACTCCCCTGTCTGTGTGAAAAAGAGGCGGCATTCACATCAAACTAGGCAACGACATATGCAGCAGCTGCTATTAGAGAACCTTGTTCTTCTTTCTCTCTATTTTCAATATCATTTGATTTGAAAATATGTATTTCTGCTTTTTCTGTAATACACAAACTGCATGTTTGGTTACATCAGGTATGTCTGTGATCTTATTTGTGATACAAAGCAATATGGCGGTGGAAACAACTAAACGTTTATCATTAACCGATGGCGAACATCACGACCTTCACAGAAGGAATGTTTCTGTCGTTATTTTTTTATTTATTGAAATACGCATGTTTCATAAGCAGATCTTTTCCTCGTTTCAGTTTTGATGCGACATTAAGTTCTAAAATACCGTTTAGAGGTGAATATTTCATGAGAAAAGTCGCTGTGTTGCCCAAAGTTACATTTGTTAAATCGCTAGATATAGGTGTGTGACGCGTTCTGTGGAACGGCTGTATATCAGTGCAGCAACCGCTTTGGTGGGGGTATGTACAGCATCACATTTAAGAGAAAATTAGAGCGCAAATTAGGGGTAGTCCTTGTAATCTCGGACAGGAATATAAACTCGGACGTTTTGCATTAAAGCACTGTTTCCTTTCAATTATCTCTTATGTTAACTACTTAGTATAAATGTTTCCATTTAAATCGATCAATCTTTATTTTAACTCACATTATACTTCGAAAATACACTTATAAATGTACCTATTAGTCGTTTAAGGTTTGGACAGCATTTTCTCAATGTCCATGCCTGTATGAACGGTTACATTCACATTCCATAAAAATGTACCCCCTCCCCTTTGGTGGCATTTAACCGAAAATTGAGTTAAGGTTTAAATATGGCTATCATAACGTGAAAACATTATTTTGAATTCATGAACAGGCTACTGTTACTGTTTGAACTGATTTCGTTTATATGGATGTTCTGACAGAATTATTTTAATCTATATACAATCCGTTTACCTACCGAAAAAATACCATTGTGTTCATTTATACACCACTGTGTTTAAACCTGATCGGATTGTATAATTGTTTCTCATTGCCAGGTTTATGCGTTCATGCACTCCTGACATGTCATGTACAGCATTTTAGTCTCTGTCTACTTTCTAATCATAAAGAAAATGCTAAACGACTCCTGTGAATACAGTAACTGTGATACTATAAAGGCCAACATCAATTGACCTCTTTATGTACTCCATTTTACATCACTATGTATCACGACACAGTCGTCTGGGGAATATTTAGGCTGTCATTGATACATTAAATGAATGCATGCTTTATACCTTTATTTCCATATCGGCATGATTTTCGTATACATATTGAAGTCTTTTATGAAAGAAGGGGGCCCATCAGGCCTGTATCACTTAACTTTATAGCATACTACACATCGGGTATACAATGGACCGGGGCAGGCACAAATAACCAGGAACAAATCTGGATACTCAAGGTGAAATAGTCTAGAAGATATGCCCCAGAAAAACTTTTACAAAAGTAAAGGTCAAAGGTCAAGTCATAAGTCACAGTGATCTTCTTCTTGCACTCTGCTCTACGCCATTCCAAGATGTCCTTGTACACCAAAACTGGTTACTCCAGCTGAAATAGTATAAAAGATATGCCCCGACAGACATTTACAAAAGTAAAGGTCAAAGGTCAAGTCATAGGTCACAGTGACCTTCTTCTTGTACTCTGCACTCTGCCATCCCAAGATGTCCTTGTACACCAAATCTGGTTACTGTAGGTGAAATAGTACAAAAGATATGTACCAGACAAACTTTTTCAAAAGTTAAGGTCAAAGGTAAAGTCATGGGTCGCAGTGACCTAATTCTTGCATTCTGCCATCCCAAAATGTCATTTTTCACCAAATCTGGTTACTCCAGGTGAAAAATTATAGAAGATATATTTGTGCCCCAGAAAAACATTTTGAAAAGTAAATGTCAAAGGTCAAGTCATAGGTCACGGAACTGTTGGAGGACTTATAATGAACTGATAAGAAAATATTACTACAAGATATTTCAATGTTTTACTATGTTTTCAATTTATGCATACACAGAAAAGAGTCCCCCAGGTTATTTTGCTGACTCCCTGCTATTTTGTGCCAACAAATGGCAACCCCGATCCTAGCAATGTAGGATTTGGGCAAATTGTACAAGGTCCTTTGAATCTGTATTACACACAAGTCTTCAGTAGGTGTCATCAATTGTTCCTATTTAAACAGTTTAAGATAATACCGAAAACATTTATAGGTAATACAAGTTAAATGTTACCAAAAGTACTCAGTGTAAACGATTATATGTATCATCAAATACCTTCAATAATGTCATTCCTACTGAAAATTTCACAGACATGTACACTATTGATCAGTCTTAAAGTAAAAGTTAGATAAACTGAAATAAAGATCATTGTCAAAATTAATTTTCCAAAAACGTCCACTAATTTTTCCACAATTGTGATACAATATATTTGACTGTGTGTGATATGTGTGCCTGCTCCTGTTCAGTATTTCCGGATACTGGTGTGTAAAACAGATCCAATACAACTGTTATGAAGGTTCAATACAAGTTATTTGAGGATTAAAACACAATTGACCTTCTGAGACAATGAAAATCGTTAAATGTAATATATTTAAACAAATGTGTTATCCCATCACCCCTAAAATATCCTGGCTTAAAGACTCGTGTTTTGTTAGAAGAAATCAGCTGAAGATTTGAACATTTGACCACTGTGACCTTAATTAATGAGTCAAGGTAATTTGTTTGGACAAAGTTGATATCCCTTCCTCCCTGTAATCTAGACCAAATATTCTGACTTAAATATCTATTTTTTGCTTAAAAGTGTCCGAGTGAATTTTTACCTGGCATTTTGTGAAACAGAAATTGACTTTCATCAGAAATAATGCAGAACTATATATCTCAGGAAAACACAAAAAAACCACCAATTGACTGTTAACAAAAACCAAACTTCAGTATCATTCTCTTCAGGATTAGATAGAAATATATGGCTAATGATGAGAACAGAGAATATAGAATCACCTACAGACAGAGACATGGATTTAAATAAGCAACAAAAACATCAGGATATAATTTCCGAGAATTTTATTTCCATCTTCTATATATAACCATACAGTCAATTAACAAGTTCATTATAATGGTCTTGAAAGACACTTCAACATGACCACTCTGAACCGTATTGCACCATTATGGCAGTTTCAGATCTAATAGTCATACAACTTCTGTTTTCCCAGAAACCAAGGCAACACAAACAGGTATGTCCAGGCGATTAACTGCCAGATGAAGTAATACTCCAGTGTTTTAACGAATCAGAACACACTTTTATTTGTCATTCAATGTCAAAACATGTGCAAACTGTTCCTTTACCTTCGCAAAGTGGGAACCTTCCCAGAAGACCTTTCCACACCTCTGACACACGTAAAATAAGCTTACCCTTCCCAGTAAGCCTTCTGGTACCGTCTCAATCTGTATGGGAGCCCCGTTTGTTGTTACAGACACGTTAGTCCAATTAACACCATAGTTTGCCAAATCCTTCATACACACTGCGTCTGCCTCTGACACAGAGACTGGATTAGCGGCTCTCATCAACGACTGGACCCGAGACCCCGATACAGACAACTGTTGCTGCTTCCTGTACCATAACTGTTTGGTCTGTTCCTGAGGTATCTTCAGGTACTGGTCACCGTTACACACCTGAACAGTAAATATTCATAAAACACAGAACATGATGTCAAGTAGCATCAATATAGACAATGATTATGAATATGGCATATGTCAGGGAACTTCTATCATAGAAAACATTTATTGTAACAGAGGTAATTACATTTAATACTTTCACTAGAAGTACTATGTATTCATTAGATAATTAGTTACTACATGTAGTATTCCTTCTGTCTAACTTCTTCTCCTGTGAAAGGACACAAAGTTTGAAACCTTGATTGTAAACAAAGTAAAGTTTACTGCAGGATGAAGACAATAATGAGTACAGCACTGTGCATAACATAATGACACTGACCCTCACTGACCTGGCAGCGACTGAAGATATCCTCGGTTTTCACCTTCACTCCGAAATGTTCCATGACCTCTACTACCTGTTCCCTCGCAGTCACACTCTGTACACAGTAACACATGTGTTCCCCCACGTGTGACCTCACCTGTAATGTATACAATATGTGGAGATACATACCATTATATAGGGGTTTCTGTCTGTGGAGATACACACCATTATATAGGGGTTTCTGTCTGTGGAGATACAAACCACTATATAGGGGTTTCTGTCTGTGGAGATACACCCCATTATATAGGGGTTTCTGTCTGTGGAGATACAAACCACTATATAGGGGTTTCTGTCTGTGGAGATACATACCATTATATAGGGGTTTCTGTCTGTGGAGATACAAACCACTATATAGGGGTTTCTGTCTGTGGAGATACACACCACGATATAGGGGTTTCTGTATGCGGAGATACATACCATTATATAGGGGTTTCTGTCTGTGGAGATCAACACCCTTATATAGGGGTTTCTGTCTGTGGAGATACACACCACTATATAGGGGTTTCTGTCTGTGGAGATACACACCACTATATAGGGGATTCTGTCTGTGGAGATACATACCATTATATAGGGGTTTCTGTCTGTGGAGATACATGCCATTATATAGGGGTTTCTGTCTGTGGAGATACATGCCATTATATAGGGGTTTCTGTCTGTGGAGATACATACCACTATATAGGGGTTTCTGTCTGTGGAGATACATACCACTATATAGGGGTTTCTGTATGTGGAGATACATACCATTATATAGGGGTTTCAGTGTGTGGAGATGCATACCATTATATAGGAGTTTCTGTATGTGGAGATACATACCATTATATAGGGGTTTCTGTCTGTGGAGATACACACCATTATATAGGGGTTTCTGTCTGTGGAGATACACACCACTATATAGGGGTTTCTGTCTGTGGAGATACACACCATTATATAGGGGTTTCTGTCTGTGGAGATACGTACCATTATATAGGGGTTTCCGTCTGTGGAGATACACACCATTATATAGGGGTTTCTGTCTGTGAAGATACATACTATTATATAGGGGTTTCAGTGTGTGGAGATACATACCATTATGGAGGAGTTTCTGTATGTGGAGATACATACCATTATATAGGGGTTTCCACTGGTTAACACAATTCTATTCTGTGTCTTGCATATCTGTATGAACAGAAGAATGAAGGCCTTAACATGTTAATATTATTGTCTCTTAATTTGTGATTCTGTTAAACAACCACTAGCTTGGTTAGTATGAGTTGTAGAAAGGTTTATATAGAACAATTTAGAAAATTATTATAAATTTTTGAGATTTTTTTTTTTTTTTTTTAATTTTTCAATCATTATGTCCTGGCAACTTTAATGGTTCCTTTTAGCTCAATCATTGACCATGCCAGCATTATTTCAAATAATTTCTTGTCTCACTCATAACAAGCCATTTAGATTGATATGTCTCGCCTGTGCCCGCCTTGACCATCAACGCACATGTCAAGCTTGGTTGGTCTAGCACTTATAGCTTCAGAGAAACTCACTTCAATGCAAAAACTTAATTGTGATGGAGATGCTGACAAAGTCAATGGACCATAAAAAGTAGGCAGCATCCAGCATTTGATGCATGGGTTGAGATTTACTACCTCAGATGCATCTATGGTCCAAGATTGGTTGGCGTAGAACTTATGCTTTCAGTGAAACTAACTTTAACGCAAAAACTAAATGTTGATGCCGTCACTGGAAAAGCAACACCTTAGTCTCGCTTCCACTACTTCGTGGCGATGAGACCAAATTGTTCCATGTTTGATCATGTTACTGTTGAAAGTAGAATCGGATTAAGCCATTAATCATAAAGATTTCTAAATCCTCTTGCTTTGTCATCACCCTTCATCTAATTGTGCAAAAAAGCATAAACATTTTAACTTGTACAGTGACTCTGAACCTGGGTAACATAACGTCTAGTGGTTATTTATACGTATGAGTAGTTACCTACGGTGACCTATATGAAAGGTTAAAGGAAATTCAGCCATTTAATCTTTTACCTTCAGGTTGGTAAGTAAAGGTTGTAGAAAGGTTTATATAACACAATCGTTTTAGTGTTTATGTGTGACGTTCTGATGACTAGTATAGTATTTACAATGAATTGACATGAATTCCCTTATGCTATACACATATGTACACGTATCACAGCCATGCTATAGCAATATCCATGAAGCCCCAAGAGACACTTTGTAATATCATTGGACATCCATTACCTGAAGAAAATGTCACAGAATGTGTGTACAAAATCGTATTTAAACTGTAGTGCAGATATTGGAGAAACTGTACGTCAGACTTAGTGAACATGTACCATAAAGATACAGAAACCAAAGAGGGAATGAAATTCACACTAGCAAGAAGGAAAGGAAGCAGTCTGAGTTCCAGATTAATAAATCTGAAATCACAGACCATGCCACACACCAAAATCATGTTATTAACTGAGATAAGTAGTAGGAAGAGACAGCAATCTGTTCAAGTGTAGATAAAGGAAGCCATCTGGATATGCCACAGCCGTCTAGTTCTGAATCGAGATGAGGGGACTCATAGACTCTTACACATATATGATCAGGGCCCATATTCATGAAACCGTTCTTGTTTTCAAATCCATATTCTGTGCTCAATTCCAATTTCTTGTGTCCGTGATCAATTAATAAAAATAATTTTGTCAATGTTATGTAAGAAATTTGGAAATTTTTAAGCCGGATACTGTTTTCAATGTTAACACTTGCCTTTTACCATCTTGCATGATTTAAGGGAGGTACAAGAAAGTTGGCTTGGGCACAGAATTCATCCTTGAGAATTGTTTCATGAATATGGGCCCACGTATTAAACAAGAGTTGTCGAATTAATTGGTCTGTTTGATTCCTCATTTCATACATTTCATACGCTTATAGCTTAACCGAATCAACATCATTTTTATATTGGCAACTCATAAATATTTAACACCTTTGTGAACATATGCTTTACTGGTCATTTGTCAGATGAAGGTGACAGAGTACACACCATACTTATCATCAAAACATCACAACCAAACAATTGTTAACCATACTGACCTCAATGGTTCTGTCGTGGTCCTCGTGGTTCTCCAGTATGTAGACGTCCACTCCACAACTCCTAAGCTGGCGGCCTAGTCCTTGTAACATGGAGTCCACTACCACCTTCAGTTGCCCCGGGGACAGGATCTGACTGGGCCCAGCTCCACGTGGGGGTGGGGAAGTATACTTCAAACAAACATGTTAATTAATACATAGAGGCATCCAGATGGTTAATATTACACTATTTTTTTTTTTTTAAATCCAGCATTTTTTTTTAAAAAACAAGTATATTAACTGAGTGAAATATATAATCAATTATGTAACAGATATATTTTGTCATACCACCGGTAAATACAGTTTAAGTTTTAATGGATAATCCAAAAACTTTTTGTATTTTTATTTCTATTATTTTTCAGTCAATTTGAGAAAGCAAAGTTCAATATATCTAGCGATCATGGCCATCTTTCATTGTGACCTGATTGTTGCTGCTTATTGCATTTTACCTAACGGCCTCACGACATATCAGTTCCAAAACAAAAAAACATATTTGATTTTGTGCCATTCTCACCAATGTGTGAACTGTGGAGCAATTAAATAAGAAAAACAAGGTCCAGTATGTACCTGTAAACTTAAAACCACAATTGTTCCTGCAAGCATTGCATGAACAAAAATTATAAAATTAATCACTACATTTTATTTACACTTTTGCCATTAATTCACTTGAATTCACATTTCCAAGATGAATTCTTTGCTATCATTAGCCTTTGGCTACAAGCTAACTGAAGGGATATGTGATAACATCAGCCTTTTACATAAATCATAACTGTTTATGTATTTTGTGTTGTAGCATTGTTTCATAGTGACTGGTATTTCTTTGATATGTGTTGTAATATGTAATTGTTTATGATTCTGTATTAAAAAGGGGCAAATTGCCTCAAAAACTTAACAAACCCTTTGTCAGCACTGTTGTCATTACGCCTTTGCTTATGTATATATGAAGTAACACAATCCTTCTCTCACAAACCATGTTTGACACTCCATCACTTATATATTAGTGACACTTATCTGAACCCTGGTTATCTGAACTTTCAATTATTCATTTAGATAATAAAATTGATTGCTTTATTACCGTACTTTAAACAAAACCATTAATGTGTCTTCCATTGGGATCAGATATTTCTCACTACATTTATTTCCAAAGACTGCAATATTTATAGGTATAAATGTTACAGTATATTAATTAGCTTTGATTTTGAAGTAGGATAGTTAAAATAGTTATTTAAATCTAAATCTCAATCAGGACAAATAACAACTAGAACTTTTACCAAAATGGCAGACTTACACCCCACCTGTGCCAAGAACTGTAGGAATAGTTCTTTCAAGAAACAAAAGGGCACAATTCCATAAAAAGGGGAAGTAACTCCAATTTATGTATTTTATTTGCATCCTCTCAATGCAAGTTTAAAATAAACCAAACATCATTTACAATTTACTGGTGCAGTACACCTCTGTGTACTAAGGTCCCTTTTGCACATTTCAACCAGCTGAATCTTAAAAGAGAACAAGCCGGCTTAGATCTAAACTGCACACGCATATGAAGAGGTCCCAATGTGCCTGACAGAAACTGAAATGTCGCCAGTTTGCATTATTTCTTGTATAAAACAAGGTCATTTCACATGTATATGCTAGGAATTATTATGAAATTAAGGCAGGTAAGAAAAGGGACATTATTTTTTACTTCTTATTTATTTGCCAAAAAATCTTAAAACAATTCCTTTTTAGCTCTGTCCAAAGTTTGACACAGTTCTGGTCCAAGTGTGTTTGTTTATTGCTGACTTTTTCTGCATCATCAAAACCATTTTAATTGAGGTATGCGAAAAAATTACAAACTGTGCAGTACTTTGAGAGGAGTAATAATAATTATAGTCTTTATTCAAACTTGATTACATATTGAGTCAAAGACTCATCTCCCATATGGTCAAGCATATTAAAAAATGTACATTATATACAAAAAAGTATTGAGCATACATTTTTTAAACTAAGGGCCATTATTCCCAGAAAAATAGTTGGATCCAAATACTAATTGCAGGTGCTCACCTTCAGAGTAGTGAAGTTTCAATAAAATTTGTTTGAAAATGTAGGAGTTGTGCAGACAATCTTGTATTGGCTAACTTACGTAAAAAGGGGCATAACCCCCAAAATTGGCCAGATAGAAATATTAATTGCAGATAAACAACTTCATAGTGTGTTGATTATGTAAGTGAAGTTTTATGAAATTCAGCTGAAAACTGTAGGAGTTGTGCGGACAAAATAGTGTTTACAGACAGATGGACAAATAGACGTCCAATTCCAGTTTACCCTAGTGTTTACAGACAGATGGACAAATAGACGTCCAATTCCAGTTTACCCTCCCTAATTCCAGTTCACCCTCCCTAACTTCCTTGTGGTGGTATAAAAAATATACCTGGTTGGTCTTTGGAGATTTATCTTTATATGTGAACTTTTGACCTTTAGCCCTGGCTCTCATCTTGTCTCGCTTGCTTGCCTTCATCCACTTCATGCTTACAGGAAGTTCCATGTCAAAGTTCATCTTCAACTTCTGAGCTCTGCTGATCAGTTCATCATACACTTCCAGAAGTACATAAGCATCCAGTGCTGGAACAGTCATACAGATAATATATACAATCACAAAGATAATATATACAATCACACAGGTAATATATACATTCACACAGGTAATATATACAACCACACAGGTAATATATACAATCACACAGATATATATACAATCACACAGATAATATATACAATCACACAGAAAATATATACAATCACACAGGTAATATAGTCACACAGATAATATATACAATCACACAGGTAATATATACAATAACACAGGTAATATATAGTCACACAGATAATATATACAATCACACAGGTAATTTATACAATCAAAAAGATCACGTATATAGTCACACAGGTATTTTATACAATCACACAAGTATTATATAGAGTCACACGTATAATGGAGAAACAAAGGTAAATATACAATCACACAGGTAATATATAGAGTCACACAGGTAATATATTCAATCACACAGGTAATATATACCATCAAACTGGTAATACAAATGTAATACAATCACACTGGTATGGCATATGCAGACAGGTAACGAATACAATTGCACAGTTTATACACAGCCACACAAGAAATGCATATACCGTACAAACCCATGTAATCTGCACACTTTTTTTCCAGAAATTTAATACCCAAAGTGGGGGGTGCGTAAAATACACAGGTATAGAAAATTTTAAGTTTTTTTCAGGAAAAGATCGACGATTCTGAGCGATCGCCATCTTGGATTATGTCCCTTGGTACACGGAACTCAAATGACGCTCAACAAATTTATTTATGTCAAACATTAATAAAAGATACATAATGTGTTGTTATGTGAGTTTATGTGAAAGTATTAATAAATAGGTAACCGTTAACAAAAAAAGTTTAGCCAAATTCCTATGCCAGAGAATCGCCGATCAACTTATGACATTACGTTTCGACATCTTGGTGCGTTTCCCCATACTATTACGAAAATGTTGTTGTTCAATTTGAGCTCCGTTTTATGAAAGTTCTGTAAGGTTTTTTCAAATCGCCTATGCGTATATACGTATAGCATGTTTTTTTCCCGGCTCACTTTCATGTTGATCTCGCGTCTAACATTACGTAAACACGTGATTGATAATAACCTCGTGAATTATTTCAATATTTATTAAATGAAGCATCGTAAAAATAGTCTTGTAGATTTGAAGAGGATGTATTGATTGTCCACGCTTCTAGTATAAACATATTTTCTATAATCCCTTATCAGTCAAATCAGTCTGTAGTTATGACAATGCAGTAGGGCTTCGTAATTCACGCCACGTGTTGGTGAGTGAAAAAAACAACAACACGGTCCGTCGATCGCGACTGCAAATCATTTCAATTAGTAGAGCTATTGTTAACGGGTAATCACAGAGATAGTGTTAGCTCTTTACTGCATTGTAATTTGTAAAAAATATCGCCAAACCACGGACTTAGATAATCTAATTCCGTTGCCAAACTGAACTGTGACATGACCTGGTTTGAAGTGACGTAACCCAAGCCGCCATGATGAGCCCTTCTCACTGATCGTAATTATGATCAATAAAAGGTATCTAATTATGTCTTTCACCAGGAGATATGCACCAGCGGTTACTAAACATCGAATTACTTATAATTGATATGTTTTTGCACGGACTTAGATAACCTAATTCCGTGGTTTTTGTAAGCAAGTAAATGTTTTATGTAAAATATTGCTAAAATGAATTGATGTATGCCGATATGCGCACACGTGTGTGTCATGTGTGATCAGATAATTCAAAGAAAACAAGCAACAAAATACACATTTTACGTAGTTTCTTCTTGGTTTTAAATATCATTTTACATCAATGAAAAGAAAATCATAGAAATATTATTTTTTTTTAAATATTCAGAGATCGATTTTCGGAGCATGAACATCGTTTTTTTTCCAGATTTTTTGGGTGCACAAAATATTCGAGTAGAAGCTTTTTTCCAGGTTTTCAGCCTCAAAAAGTACCTGCGCAAATTACACAGGTGCGCAAATTACATGGCGGTAGTCCTAGTCACAGATGTGATATATATTCCTAGTCATAATAGTATTATAGACAGTCCCAGATGTCATGTGTAGAGTAATACAGATAACACATACAGCCAACAACTGTTTAAACACCTAGGTTTTTCGTATCATCCATTGTACCTGCGTAAGTGATTTGAGCTGGCCTCAAAGGTCTGCGTTCCCAGTCTGACATCTGCTCTGTTTTACTGAGGGGCCTCCCGAGAGTTTGTCTCACCAATTCACTGAGGCCCCGTGCTTCCTTCTGGGGAAACTTGATGTTTACTCCACTGTCACTGTCCTCTACAGGTGCATCTTCCTCGTCTGACTGTCCAGTCTCAGGGAGGAGGTTCACTGTCTTATCTATCACCTATATAGGTGTGAAATAAAGTAATTTTGTGTAGACATTTTAAAACCTTGATAGAGATCATGTCAAATTTTTAAGAAACAGATACAAAAACTATATGAATTCTTACAAGATTAAATTCAAAGGCATTTCAAATTACTTACAAAGTTTTCTTATACCAAAATAAAAGGATGTTCAATCCTTACAAACTGAGACTTTGAAAGACATAGAAATAGACATGCCATCTGTCCAGATGAGATAATTTATTTTTAGAAATTAAAAAAAAATGAGATGAATTAACATTTTAACTGTGTAATAGGGGTGTAACGATTCACCAAAGTCTTGATGTATTGGATCGCAAGGGCCGCGATACGATGCACCAATGCGGCAAAACTGTATCGTGATACCTGTGATACTTTTCATTTTGTACTCTCTCTTGTTAAAACTCTTCAAAGAAAAAAATAGTTTTAGCACTCAACAAACCAAAATGGTGGACAGAGAAATACGTCAAGGCATGTGCACATTTCAAGTCGCCTATCTTGCAATTGTTTACTTTCAAATCTACTTAATCCAATGATAATGTATTCGAGACGGAAAAATTGTTCTATTACCACAATGAATGTCGGAGAAAACTGAATATGCAGGAAATAACACGAATGTGCACAACACGCATTCATGTATGACTCGTTAAATTAACCTTATACACGTCTATAACATTAAATAAAATATGTCAAACCAAAATGCAAGTAAGTCTTACTTTTATGTTGGGGAATAAAGCGGAAATGTGACTGAGTTCAAAACCATTTACAACCACTATCGGTAAATGTATTGCCAATGCTCTTTGTCCATTTTCAGTTGTTGAAAATGATGATTTTAAGGCATTCATTAACACTCTAGACACTCAATATTCACCCAAAGCATTTTTCAGATAGTATTATCCTAGTATTATATTTAAGCCAGAAGTGAAGTAATACGAACATTGAATGATGTCTACATAGTACCTTTTGGTATTAATTGTTATTTGTATTGTACCTTTTATACTCACCTGATAAAAAGTTTGAAAAAAGGTTTCAAATAACTGCTAAATACACATTGTATATAGCTTCCAGATATCGTGATACGTATTGCATTGCGACCCAAGTATCGTGATACGTATCGTATTGAAGCATGATACACACCCATACTGTGTAACAACCACTTTGTTCTGTACCTTCCGAGCAACTTTCTCCAGCTCCACCACACGACACAGATGTGCAAGGCTTTCCTTCATGAAGGGAAATGTCTTAACAAACATCTGAAAATCTGAGTCGAGTCCATAACCTGAAAAAGCAACAATCTGTATCACAAATCCTAATGTGACCTAGCAACAGCAACCAAACACTCTTCACACATCTTTATATCAACAACCATACATAGCTGTCTTAATTCGAGAAACATTCAACATTTACAATTATACAGTATTTTAATAGTCCTCTGATTAGAATATGACTATACAATTATGGTTATTCTCATCTATAATACAAAAGACACTTACTATACACAGCTAATTTGAGTATGGCTGGGATGCAGAAGACTAAATATACTAACCTACCTTGAGTATGGCTGGGCTGTAGAAGACTAAATATAATTACCAAATTTGAATATGGCTAGGCTACAGCAGACTAAATATACCTACCTAATTTAAGTAAGGCGTGCTCACGGCAGGCTAAATATACTTACCTAATTTGAGTAGGGCTGGGCTACAGAAGACACAATATACTTACCTATCTTGAGTATGGCTGGGCTGTAGAAGACTAAATATCCTTACCAAATTTGAATATGGCTAGGCTACAGCAGACTAAATATACCTACCTAATTTAAGTAAGGCGTGCTCACGGCAGGCTAAATATACTTACCTAATTTGGGTATGGCTGGGCTACAGAAGACTTAGTATACTTACCTAATTTGAGTAGGGCTGGGCTACAGAAGACACAATATACTTACCTATCTTGAGTATGGCTGGGCTGTAGAAGACTAAATATAGTTACCAAATTTGAATATGGCTAGGCTACAGCAGACTAAATATACATACCTAATTTAAGTAAGGCTGGCTCAAAGCAGACTAAAGATACTTACCTAATTTGAGTATGGCTGGGCTACAGAAGACTCAATACTAACTTGAGTATGGCTGGATTACATAAGACTAAATATACTTACCTAATTTGAGTAAGGCTGGATCACAGCAGACTAAATATACTTACCTAATTTAAGTAAGGCTGGCTCACAGCAGACTAAATATACTTACCTAATTTGAGTATGGCTGGGCTACAGAAGACTAAATATACTTACCTAATTTGAGTAAGGCTGGGCTACAGAAGACTTAGTATACTTACCTAATTTGAGTATGGCTGGGCTACAGAAAAATTAGTATACTTACCTAACTTGAGTATGGCTGGATTACAGAAGACACATGCCACAAACTGCTGCCAGTCATCCTCCTGTAGTTGTTGAGACAGGCTAATGACGTCTAGTAGAAATATATGGTCAAGAACAGCCAGCTGCATCAGGGCCACTCTGTAACCAGGGAAACAGTTATGCGGAACATTATTTTTTATATTTTTTATCTGTCCTCTATTCAACCATTCTCGACTGACACTTGTACTACAATGTATATCAGAGTACATTATCAACACTAAAATATTTGTTTAATCATAACTATACCTTGTACGGTGGGGACATGGAGACACACTATATGAATTGTTTATATGTTTGTTTGATGATTTCAATGACTGTACATATACCATACCGAAGTTGTAAGGGGAAGGCTTAAATAGGCTTTGCCTGATGCCCTATCCCTTTGCATATTTTTTGCAATAAAAATTGTTAAAATGAAACAGTTATGCAATCAGGGAAACACCTCTAGCATCTCTGTGAGTAACCAGGTAACAAATTAAACAGACACTGTAAGTAACCAGTCGACAATACAAATGTATAAGTAACCATGGAAACACTATACAGACTCTGTACGTAACCAGTCGACAATACAAATGTATAAGTAACCATGGAAACACTATACAGACTCTGTACGTAACCAGTCGACAATACAAATGTATAAGTAACCATGGAAACACTATACAGACTCTGTACGTAACCAGTCGACAATACAAATGTATAAGTAACCATGGAAACACTATACAGACTCTGTACGTAACCAGTCGACAATACAAATGTATAAGTAACCATGGAAACACTATACAGACTCTGTACGTAACCAGTCGACAATACAAATGTATAAGTAACCATGGAAACACTATACAGACTCTGTACGTAACCAGTCGACAATACAAATGTATAAGTAACCATGGAAACACTATACAGACTCTGTACGTAACCAGTCGACAATACAAATGTATAAGTAACCATGGAAACACTATACAGACTCTGTAAGTGACTAGGGAAACAGATAAGGAGGAGGAAAGTAGCAAGCAGCTAGGAATGAGGGCAAGTGAAACAGATCACTATCCACACAATTGTGTCAAAAACCCTGTATGAAGTTAAAACTTGCATGATCCTTTTGCTGGACATAATTCAGTTTAAACCCAATGTATTCTACACCCTGCATTCAATGCGCTGGGGTTTTATACCTCATCACATCTTACCTAAATTTCCTTAATTTTTCCTGTGTTTAATATCTTATTATGCTTTTGATAATACAGATATTTGACAATCTGTTCAACAATAATTGATAAGAAGAATCACAGAGACATTAAGATGGCTGTTTTTATCTACAGTATATTACCTCTGAACTGTGTTACCAAAACCAGGTCTCCATTCTGAGTCGATTCCAACAGTTGTTCCAGGCTGAAGAACACAAAATAGTACTGATACCAAAGTCTGATGCTAGATACATATAAAAAAAATCAATTAATATTAATCACTGTGGATGGAAACATGCAGGGGGTTTTAATGAGGGAGGAAGCGGGAGTACTCGGAGAAAACTCACATGGTCAGGGATGGGTGACCTATTAAATACCTTTTCATGTCCAATCGGGGAGTTGAACCCTGGCTGTATTGGTGAAAGGCAAGTGTGCTATCTACTGCACCAGCTGACCACCCTAATACTACACATTACAATGTACATCACCTCCAACAATGCCAGGAAGTTGGATGAAAGACAAGACACATTGAGTGATAAACATTTTGTTTTAAAGAACCATGGTTAATGTTGTGCTATTGATCAAGAGAGCTGTTAACATCAAGGATGTTGATTATAAATAAGAACAGACCAATCTTTACAATGTCGCTTGTGGGAGAGTCCTGGTAGACTGTCAATGCCTGTATTAGCATTTACAGACAGGCCTGTCAGGCATTACCCTTGAGACCATATGAGCAACCAGTGATTTAAAATAATAAATAAAATTGTGCACCCTTTTAAACTTACTTCATTTTTCAGTGGAAATTGGGGCAGAAAATGAGTTATGACATCAAGTCTTTTACAATAGATTTTCCTGAAAACCCTGGTGTTGTTTGTTCTGATTACTATTGAGATGGTTATAACATTACCTGAGACAGTCGTTGTTCTGATTACTATTGAGATGGTTATAACATTACCTGAGACAGTCGTTGCAAACATGTCCAGTAGCTCTCCTTTGTGTCGACCATACTGATTGCATCCAGAGACATTTTCAGTGGGTACCAGGATGTTTTAATGTCGCTGTCAGTGTAACAGTCAGTCTCCCAATCCTCACTTCCTATCTCTTGTGTAGTAGGACCAGGGTTTCTGACGTAAACAAACGCAAGGTATCACAGAATACATATACACAAAAGCATCTTATTGAGATAGCCATCTCCAATTCAAAAGATTTACACATTAAAAAACAGGTAAAACATCTTTGAAGATAATTTGTAACTTGTTAAATAACTAATGACACATATACAAACACACAACACTGTATGGATAGAATATACTAAAGTAATTCAGAATAAGAAAATACTACTGTAAGGGAGATAACTGTTACCACACTTAACAAAGATACTGTGTAGCATTTACCATGTATTCCTTAATAATTAAGCTCTTTGTTCTGTTATTACCTAAAAGACATCAAATAGATCGTGACAGTATCCAGTATTCGAAAATTAAAAAAGGAGCTGAATGAAAGAATTAGATATGTCTTAAATCATGTTCTATTTTTGTTTAACAAATTTGAATGTCAAAAATAAATATAGAAATGAAAGCACTACAACATTATAAAGACATTGCACTGCTAATTCAAAAAAATATATCATATTTTTAAAATCTTTACCCACATTTAAAAAGAGTTATCTCCCCCATACTCACTCCTCTGCTTGTCACACTTTTTAAAGGTATTTCTCTGTTGTCACTCTCTCATTCAGCATCTTCCTCTGTTTTCGCCACACTCACTCCTTAACTTAGGTACCTTTGTTTTTGACACTCACTCTTTAAGGATCTTTAGTTTTTGACATTCACTCTTTAAGGATCTTTAGTTTTTGACATTCACTCTTTAAGGATCTTTAGTTTTTGACACTCACTCTTTAAGGATCTTTAGTTTTTGACACTCACTCTTTAAGGATCTTTAGTTTTTGACACTCACTCTTTCAGGATCTTTCTCTGTTGGGCCACCGGTGGAGGAATGGACTCGTCAGAAAGCTGGTAGTGATCAGCCCACTTTGCTGCGGCCACTGTCTCGTTGTAACACATTAGCTGTTCTATCAACTGTTCCTTTAGAAAGGTACTGTCACCAACAGCACTCTAAAGATAATTCAATGTCAAGGTAATTTAGAGGCAAATATTATGTTCAAAATTATCACAGCAGAAAACAATTTTTTAATTTACTTTCTTTGAATATAAAAATCAGACACCTGGTAATAATTACTTTCACATTATACTGTATAAAGTTAAGCTTTCCATGGTTTCTTTTTTTAGTATTTATATAATGAATCAACTGAGTCTTCCATCATCTAAAAGAAATCCCTGTGTGAGGATAGTAAACCATAAAAATGTAATTAATTTGGTCTCGTACTTCTAACATATTTCCTCACTCCTGAGTCGTATGAAATACCTCTAACATAATGGTTGAATATAACATGTTACCCACATCCGGAATACCTCTAAAGTATTGGTTAAATATAACACATTACTCAGACTTGGAACACCTCTAAGATTATCCTATGCATCTTGATACACACTAATAAGTATACACACCTGCACCATTTCTTCCCAGCTTCCTGCACCCATTGACCCCTGCAATTTAAGAGAAACAGTCAACATGAGAAAAATTGCAACTAATCTTTAAACAAAAAACATGTTATATTTCAATTAATTTTAAAAGAAGTTAAAAAAGTGGAACTTATTGAGATCATCTGATCATCTGGAAAACTTGTAATCTGGACAGTTAATCACTGGATCAAATTTCCACATCCACAGTAATGTACTTGTTACCAATGATCCAAACATTTTCATTTAAGAAGTGATCAATAATTCACGAGTATTTTGGTTTATCTTTGGTCATGGAAGCTTCCTATAACATTTTATTGAGATTTGGTATATGATTATGGAGAAGTCCAAAAGGTGAACTTTACAGACAGATGACAGAAGACAACAGACAAAATGAGATCACAATAGGTCCATGAGACTATTAAAGTCTCAGGTGACCTAAAATGTGTGTCATCGTTTTCAAAGTTTCACTTGCTCAGATAATGTGTGCATTACACTACCTTTCAATCAACTACCTTTTTGCAGAGCTCTATAAGAGGCTCATTTAGTTTTCAGCAATTTTTGTAATAGATATTTAAGAAACTCTCAGTTTATTTTATATGTGATCATTCCTATATTAAACTGGTGATGTACACAAACCTCAATGTATCTCTTATACAACAGATATTTCACAGCACCCAGGCCTCTAGCATTGCTGATGTTTGGACACAAATCTAGAAAAATAATGACAAGATGCTAAATTACGTTGGTTAATCAGATAACAAACAAATTATATTATTCCATACGTTTGATACAGATTAAAGCACTTTTGAGTGGCTTATGTTAGACAATCAATCAATCAATCAACTTTATTGCATTTTACATCCAATTTACAAGGATCGAGCTGCAAACATCAAACAAACACAAGCAGCCAGCTTACTTACCTGGAGAGATTTCGTAAAACCTTATCAGACAAGCAGCCAGCTTACTTACCTGGAGAGATTTCGTATAACCTCATCATACAAGCAGCCAGCTTACTTACCTGTAGAGATTTCGTATAACTTCATCAGACGAGCAGCCGGCTGACTTACCTGGAGATATTTCGTATAACCTTATCAGACGAGCAGCCTGCTTACTTACCTGTAGAGATTTCATATAACTACATCAGACGAGCAGCCAGCTTACTTACCTGGAGAGATTTCGTATAACCTTATCAGACAAGCAGCCAGCTTACTTACTTGTAGAGATTTTGTATAACATCATCAGACGAGCAGCCAGCTTACTTACCTGGAGAGATTTCGTATAACCTTATCAGACAAGCAGCCAGCTTACTTACCTGTAGAGATTTCGTATAACCTTATCAGACAAGCAGCCAGCTTACTTTAATACCTGTAGATATTTCACATAACCTTATCAGACGAGCAGCCAGCTTATTTACCTGTAGAGATTTCGTATAACTTCATCAGACGAGCAGCCAGCTTACTTACCTGGAGATATTTCGTATAACCTTATCAGACGAGCAGCCAGCTTTTTTACCTGGAGAGATTTCATATAACTTCATCAGACGAGCAGCCAGCTTACTCAGAGGTTTCCAATGCATCTTTTCTCGTTTCGCATTTGGCACACCTGACGAACTACAAATATTTCAAAATCATTTCATCAATAAAACTCAATCATTGCTATTCAGATGACACCACTCTTTCGGTACAACTGTTGACATCATATGGCCTCAATGAAATTCTGTATCTAAATAACTCCTGGGGTTTAGATTAACAAGAGGCCCAATGGGCCTGAACACTTAACGACTAGAAAGCATCAGAGAAAGCAGCAGAGACTGATATTCGTGTACAAAGTGGTTGAAGGATTGATACTGTTTCCATTTCTTTCTTGATACAATGTACTTGCATTGAATTAAAAACTAGATATTTCAGACACAAAAGAACAAGGTTATCAACAGTTATAAGAACAAATCTTACATTACTGTACACATTTTAAGAAATACAAGTACACAAGAGAATGAATCGTATTGGATCTATGAATTTTACATGAAAAGAGAAATGTTCCATATGATTTTAAGCCTATCATTTTCCAGCACACTTCCTCTCACAAAAAATAAAATTCAAATGGTGTATGATGATGATGATTTTAATTGTACTATATTTACCTGATGACATGGGACATGTCAATGGACCGATCACATAGTCTGTCCAGCATATGTACAACAAGCTGCTGTTGCTGTGGGTTACCAACTAAGTAGCTTTCTATCAAGTTCACTTTATCTTGTAGAATTAATGGTAAAACAGTCTGAAATAGATTTGTTTTTTGTTATAAAGTGATTACAGTATAATCTGTCCTACCTAAACTTTGTATAATCAGGATCTGTGTAACTACACTGTTGTCTATGCTTAGCCTTTTTTCTATATCAATCTTACAGAAATTGAACTTGTGGGTTGTGTAATACACATATACCTGGCTACTCTATAATCGTTTATTATTTCAGTGTAAATAATTTAACAAATTTTGCAAAATAATTTGTGAGTTTTAGTACTTAACAGATGGTTTGCAACAGGAAAAAATGCAGAAAAATAAACAATTATATTACAAGCTTTAATTATGGAAAAAGACACATTTAGAAAAGAAAGTAATAATTCATTTACAGAGGAACTATTTATATATATAAGCTTGTACTATCTTCCATATCAAATTTGCACAAAAATAAATCAACATTATACAATATGTATTATAATACACGGTACAATACACAATTAAAACAGCATTGCCAGATTCATCCCACATCCTCTTGCCTGATACTGCACCTCACATACAAGATAAATATTGTTTCCTGACAGTTTAACACTTTCTATTAAAACTAATAATGGAATCCATCCCTGATGTGAGGTATGGATAAGGTAATTCAAACCCCAGGGATAAAATATTGAGCAGGAGATATGAGGCTCGGGTCTCTTGCTCAATATTTTATTCCTCGTGTTTGAATTACCTAATCCATACCTCACATCAGGGATGGATTCTATTTCTTGCTTATTACCTGAAACCCTTAAAGACAGCTACTCCTCTAGTAAAGTTGTAAACTGTCTGCAGATTTATCATTTGCATATGAAGCCCAGATGGCAATTGTTGATGTCAATGACCCTGACTGACCCCAAAACGTCACTATAATTCCAATGCCAGTCTGCACATGTAAATGATCAAGACCCATGGGTCGGATAGAATTTTCCAGTGCCCCTGGAAATGTAGATATCTCAGTCTTGGATGCAAGAATAATAGAATCTCTCACCCCTTTGGGGCCGAAATGGGGGAATCTCAACCCGAGGGTAAGGGTTTCTTAGGTTGTCAAACACGAGGCTATGCCAAGTGTTTGGCAACATGAGAATCTTTCCCCGAGGGTTGAGATTCCCCTATCTCACCCTCAAGTAGGTGAATGATTCCTCTTCTCTTACCCTGTTCACCCATTGTGCATCATATGCATGATGTAATTTTAACGTCAGAGGCTAAGTTCATTGTTGACGTGATGCCATACCATTGTAATGAATAAGGGCATCCCACCCCACCCCCCGTCTCAACCCTAGGGCGAGATCAGGATATCTCACAACAGTACCTGTCCAGGGTAAGAGAATACGATTTCTTTACTTACCTCTTCCACAGAGAAATGGTCTTGTAAGCCAAGCTTACCTGCACAAACTGCAGCCTGCAAAAGTTACACAACATTCAAAGTTTATTTATAGAACCAGACGTGGTATGCTAAACAGGTGTTAACTTGTAGGTCATATACTGTAGTACTTTTATCTTTTGTGGGGGTTTTATATTTGCTCTTGCATAAAACAGTTTTTTGACCTCTGAAACATGTACGTGACACTGAAATTTGTAAGATACACGTACATTAATTCCTGTAGGAACTCTTATCAGAGATTTATAACGATAGTTATAAATCTCTGATTTAGATAGAGTTCCTACAGGAATTACATGTACATATACATTTGGTATCATGCAGAGCTCTAGAATGTCTCAGTTTCAGTTATATCAAATGATAAATGGAAAGAAATTATGTATGTAAAATTGATTGATCAAACACAAACACCAGTCTACAGCTGCAGAAAGCAGTTGTCTGATATATGGTCGACATACACACCCACTCATCAATTATCTGTGCCAAGTGTGTGTTATTATACAGTTCACTCGAGTATAATGTTTTGCTATGATCATCATACAGAATCTAGGGTTATAGTGTGCAGAATGCATAAAAATGTCAGGACAATTATTTTTCTTGAGAATATTGTTGGTATATGTTACTGAAGATTAGGAAGCAAAGGTTTAACTTACACGATGTTCACACTGGATGAACACTGGTACGACATATATTTTAATTTGTTGACCTGTTGACCTTTGAAGGCAAAGAACACTAGAAGTAAGATGATCACTGGTACATATATACAACTGTCATGTATGTTAACAATCCACGGGTTCTGCCCTAGATGTATATACATCTTCTGTACACAGAGGCAATGTCCTGGCAAAATCAAAGGCCCTTAGCGGATAATACAAGTAGACTTGACTAGTCGGATATCTTTGATGACGACAAAAGTAATCAGTCGAAAAATGTAGGAGATTGCCAGACAAACAAAAGTGTACGCCGGCCGGACAACGCCATACCATAATACTCCTGTCAAATTTGACGGTCGTATAAAAATTGACAGACATTGAAGTTGGGTGTTTTTCATCTGTAAAATTCCTAGGTTAGTTATCAGCCTAGCGAAAGGTCAGGTTTATATTTCTGAAATCAATCTGTGTGTCTTCGATTTTGTCATGAATATGCTAAGGGTACAGAGAAGATATACATCAGATGATCAGAGATATATGAAGGGAACTCTCAGATTTTGAAGACATGTTCATAGCATACAAGACTAACATAGAAGAAATATGAACATTGACAAAGGGCAAATTAAAACCGGCAGTTAATTTGGTAGGTAGAAAGTTCGAACAAAAGACAATGTTTTTTCACAGTATACAAAATTTCAATGGTATAAAATTAACACATTGACATATATTTACCTCTTTGTATTTACGTTGTTCTAAAAAGCATCTTAGCACAGGCACCAAAAAGCTGTTGTCAGGTTGGTTGAGCTGGAATGCTTTTATTGCAAAGCCAACCATAGTCATGTGAAAACGAGTACACATATGCAACACATGTAATTTTAACTCCTGTGTGAGAAGGAACTGTGAATATTTTGGAATGTTGTCTTTTGAACTGCACCAATTGTCAAACTCTTTCATAATGTAATAGGCAAGAGTTGAAGTCTTGGGTAAATGATAATCTTTGCTCTTCTCTACAAGGTATGTGACCAGGGTGTAGGGATTGGTGCAATGTGACAGGTGTCGTCTGAATGTCCTGTATACATCTGTCTTGTCTTTCTTTGTATCATCACTCCATTTATCTTCTAGTTCAAGAAGAACTTGTCTCATTTCATCAACAGTTGTCTCCCTTTGTGCTTTGTCTAGATTTGCTGTCATCCACTGTGTTGTACTTGATACAGGAACTTGTTGATGAATCTGTTTAAAACTTGTCTCTTTGGTCTTTGAACTTCCAGGTTTTGTTTTGGTATCAGATTCATCTTTGTGGAGTGGTGGGAAATGAGCTGCATAAAAATGATCCGATTCATCGTCAACACCCTCTGCACCACCTGGTACCAAGCTGAGTTCATTTGTAACTTCTCGTTGAGCCATACTGTGTTTTGATATCCAACGTTTCTGAGCCGAGGAAAGATAAGATTTAGTATTCCTCTTCTTTACAGTTGTCTTTAATATCTTAACAGTTTCATTCTCTTCGATTTTCAATGCTGAAAGAAAATACAAATTGAAATTTACTAGTCCAGTCATGACGTGATTTAGGGTTGTGTAGCATATACATCTATTATAGAGCCTATCGTAAATAAATAACTGTTCACATCTAGGTGGCACACCACTAAATATATTACAATGAACAATGACTTTAAGAAAATCTGACCTTCACCAAGTTATAATGAAGTACAAATTTCCTAGTTCAAAACTACTTGGATATAAACTATAAACTACATGATATCCAAAATTTACTTTCTATACAAACAACCTATGACTGTTCCTTGCACTCAGTCATAGCTTGACAAAGGGACCAGTCAGTCTTGAAACGTTGTGACGTTTAATACGTTCATTGTTTGTGTAGAAAGTAAAACTTTGATATCACATGTTTCCAGACTGATGAATCTAATTGAAGATACAAATTACATGTATTGTTAGATAAATGACAATATGAAACAAATATGGGGTGTTTTACATTTTGCTTTTCATAGAAATTTGATTCAAGTTTGCAATTGGCTGCTTTGAAGAACTTTCTGTTTGAATCCAGCTTGAATCAGTGTTCACCTAAAATGCAGAACTCCAAATGCAACTTTCTGATCATCATTTATACAAACTATATCACATTTCTTTCAACAAGGGATGCTTCAGATTGTATGTGGTTGATCTTCCTTCAACTTACACTGAAGGGTAAACTTTCAAAATAACCCCATTTTCTCTACTGGGATCTACCTCTTTATACTAGATCAATTTGGCCCCCTCTAACCTAATGGAAAGGGGTAGCCACATCCATTATTTATACAAAAGAGATGAGTAGCCTTGGTCCATAATGCATCAGACCAACTATCGAAAAAAGAACCTTCATCCTTATTGAGGGGTATTCTTAACAAGAGATGTTGGGTGTTTTTTGGCGCCCACCATTGTACCATCTTCATTAGTTCTTTGTCAGTTCGATCTTTTCTCTTCTTTTCTCTAATCTGTTTGATTGAGTCATGTTAACAGTAAATGCACCTTGAGGTAACTTTTGATCTAAACGTAATACTGATGTGTATAAAAGACAACGCTCAAACTGAGTTTGTCATTTCACATATTCACTAGTACAGTACTTAACGTTTAAGAAATAGAATTGATCATTGCAATATGAGAAAGACCTGTTTAGTTCTTCCTTTAGCCATTTGTTTGGTCATTTGGCCAAGATGGTGGCCTGTCAGCCATTTTCTATATCCGATCAGTCTGTAAATTAAACATCATGCACAACTACAGACCAAAGGGAACCTACATATATATTTGAGATGGATCTCTCCAGTACTTCCTAAGAAATAGTGCTAAGTTTACAAACCTTCACTATCAAAATCCAAGATGGCTGCCTGTCGGCCATGTTAATTATCCGATCAGTCTCAAAAGTTGCCCTGCACAACTAGGGACCAAGGGGAACATACATATAAAATTTGAGAAAGATCCCTCTCGTACTTCTTGAGAAATAGTGATAACAAGAATTATTTAAGGACGGACGACGGAAGGACGGACGCAGGGAGATTTGAATAGCCCATCATCAGATGATGGTGGGCTAAAAACATGCACCTCCATTTACCATATCGCTCCCCCTCCCAGGCACATCTTATTTGAAAAATGTACTGTTCGAGTATAATTGAGTACACTGGCCCAGTGATATCGTCAAGTCAAAGGTTTCCGCACGTTCTAACACAAGGATATTCAATACAAATATGATTCCAATTCCTTCACTTCTAACTTGAAAGCCTGATCTGTTAATGTATATTTCCCTAACTGTGACACTGCCATTATAACCCAAGGGGAATTTCCACCCTTTTTTTTTTATAAAATATAATGAAGTCCAATTTGACCATTGATGCTTTAATTTTAAAAACCAAACTTTGTTAAAATCTAAAAAGATATTCAGGAGAAGACAGTATGTTATGCAGAAATGCTGATGGAATCAGGATGACAATACACCAAGGCTACATTCGCGTATCTCGGTTGAAACGGTACGTGTGGCGCAGAGCTAAAAATGCACACTTTCGGAGAATAAAAAACAATGTATCAAGAAAAGTATGCCCTGCTGAGGTCAGCCTCGGTTCAGATCTGTACCTGTCGTTTTCTTTACAGGTTCAACCGGTTCAACCGGATACGCGAATGTAACCATAGGAGCCTGAAGTTCTGTCAATAATGAATAATAATAGTAATACAAAAAAAATACCCCTAATATGCCATAGGAGCCTGAAGTTCTGTCAATAATGTATAATAATAGTAATACACAAAAAATACCCCTAATATGCTTAAAAAAAAATTTTGTATTACTATTATTATTCATTATTGACAGAACTTCAGGCTCCTATGATGTAACCCATGGCATACGACACATGATACTTAGAAGAATATAAACTTATGAAGTAGTAACAGACTTTCTATTCAAAAATATATATTTATATCTCAGTGTCCAACACAGCGAGATACTTTTGACAAGCGGCGTGATGTGATAGGACCTATATCAGCATGATCAGAGAGTTTTGGAAAGGGGACCTTTCAATAAAGTTCTGCAAATACGTTGCTCCTCTTCGTCAGTCTGTGTTCCTCTTTCTTCCGTTTTTCTATAGAAAAATGAGACGTAAAGACACTTGCATATTTCCCAAATAGCTCCAACTAATACTATCATGCTATGTTTGGATCATTCAATCGTGCCATTTAAACATGTGCACCGGAAAATGAAATTTGGGAGGTAGTAAATTTCAGATAAATGAAGGGGAGAGGTGGTCCGAACGGACTGAGAGCATTGTCAGGAATGCACTTAAGTGTCAATTTATGCTGTGAACCTATAGGTTATAATGAGCATATCTATATTTTTACTTGAACGATCTTTCTCCGGAAAATATCAAGAAAACATACTCCATTTACAAGTTTTAATTTATTCATAAAGCATGACAGGAATGAAATCCTGGATTTTCATTCCTGTCATGCTTTATGAATAATTTAAAACTTGTAAATGGAGTATGTACTATTTATCACTGTAACCATGGTATTATTTAAATGTCAATTAAATAGTGTTTTCTAGAGAGATTATAGAGAACAAATACTGCATATTACCGGACATGACATTTACAGCCTACTTATGCAAGTATTGAATTTTATTTCATTTTTTTCATGTCACATTCCAGTTTAGCGTGACGTTATGCCTGATTTTCTTCTCGACTCAAAAAAAGTCAAATCACTTTACGAAATTATCCTGAATAATTGTAACTCGTCGTTAAAATATATCTTAATTATTTTAATTTTGTCTCAATTTTGAATTTATTTTATTTTTAAACTTAATTCTGGTTATAAACTAGCCTATCAAATCAAATTTTAATTTATGAACCACACCGTATTCGACTCTATTATTGGAAAGCTTTTGCCAACTTCCGGGCATCTGTCACACATGAGAAACAAACCCAAACACTGTGGACTCAGGGAATGGTACGCCACGAGCAAGTTTCTAGTGTCTAAAAATTAACGAAACAGCTTATAAACATAGCTTTAAAACGGTTTTGTCGATGCTGGTCGTGAATGTGCTGTAAATGAAACATTATATATCCTAAGTTTACATTGTAACCACTGATAATCATGATGGGTACTCTTAGTTCTGCTTGATTTAATAAAGGATTAACTTGAATATATTTTTCATTTAGCTCCATAACATGAAAAATATATTCAAGTTAATCAGGTTGGGGAAAACCACCAACTTGCGTGTAATACGCAAACTCGCCTATTATACGCCAGTTCAGTTGGAGTATGGATTTGTTACTAAAAATAACCCAAATGGCTTTAGCAGTAACTTTTGCAACATCTTATTAAAAATCGCATTAATTTGCGACAAGGTAAATAATATTTTGCTTAAAGATGTTTAATGAAAGCGTTGGCTACTTGATGTAACACTGCCGGAATTATTGCATCTATTTTTGATACTTTCCCACATGCAAATAAAGTTTATTTTTGCATTTGCATGATGTTTCATTACTAGATAAATGCGACTTGGACAAACAATTTGAAAACGTTAAGATTACAGGGATTTCGGCTATTTTTAGTAATAAATTCATACCCGCACTGGCGTATAATAGGCGAGTTTGCGTATTATATGCAAGTTAGTGGTTTTCCCTGACCTGTTAATCCTTAATTAATACGAAAATAATGGATGCAGGCTGTAAGCCTCTACATTGCATTTTTATGTTTAACCAATTCTATTAACTAGCAGAGAACGTTAATTGTGATTGTTTCCATTGATTCTCCAGTAATATTTCAAATTGTTTAACATCAGTTGCATCTAAGTTATGACATGTTGTGGTAAACTATTCCACTTGTCTATGACACGGGAACTAAAAAAAATAATTCTTATATCCAAATGGCATCGTTTTTTTTTGTTTTTTTTGTGAATGTCCCATTGTTCTATTGTTGGTGTCCTCCTGGAACAAGTAAGTAGTGACTCGTTTATCATAAATGTTGTTTAAGATTTTGTAGACATTAATCATAATTATCCCCTCTGTTTCTGCGACCTTCCAAGGTTGGTAGGTTTAGTTTCTGTAGTGTTCCGGGTATGTTAGGTTTTTATATGGTATGAGTTTTGTTGCTCACCTCTGGATGTTCTCTATCAGTTCAATGCTGGAATTTCAGGTAAATCATTAACATAGACCCCAAACAAAATAGGACCAAGAACACTTCCTTGAGGGATGCCGCTTACTACTGGATATGTCTGTGATGATTCTCCATTAACCATTACTCGTTGACATCTGTCTTTTATCCAGTTGATGACCTGATTGCTTTATAACTCCATAGCCTTCAAGTTTCTTTATCAACCGCTGATGTGGGACTTTATCGAAAGTTTTCATAAAGTCCATGTACCTGGGTATATTACATCTAATTGGCCTCCCTTGGTAGGTTAATATCTCTGACCATTAATAGATGACTATATTCCTTTTTAGATGAAACTGTTGTGATAAGCTTGTTTAGCTCCTCTACATTTTCCTTGCTCGAGTTTGGGCTTTTGTTAATTGTTATAGATGTATTGTAAAGAAGTCTTGGGTCTTGTTTATCTGATTTTTGGGCAAGTGAACTTATGTCATGGTGCGGTGTCCGTCGTCCGTCCGTCAACTTTTCCTTTAAACAACTTCTTCTGAAGAACGGACAGGCCTAGAGTCATGATATTTGGCTGGAAGCTTTTTTGGTAGGAGCCCTACAAAGTTTGAGAACGAAAATGACCTTTACCTACTTTCAAGGTCACAGGGGTCAAATGTGTCAGACACTTCAAACGACTTCTCCTGAAGAACTGAAAGGTATAGAATCATTATATTTGGCTTATAGCTTCCTAGGACAGAGCTCAACAAAGTTTGAGAATGAAAATGACCTTGACATACTTTTAAGGTCACATGAGGCAGATATGTCAAACATTTCAAACAACTTTTTCTTCTGAAGAACTGGAAGTTATAGAACCTTAATATTTGGCTGGTTATTTCCTGGGAAAGAGCCCAACAAAGTTTGTGAATGAAAGTGACCTTGACCTACTTTCAAGGTCACAGGTAAAAATATGTCAAGAAACTTCTGAAGAAGAATAAAAAAAGTATAGACTCTTATTACAATATTTTGCTAGTAGTTTCAACAGATGAAGCCAACAAAGTTTGCGAGGGAAATATTTTCAGTGCAATATAATATTTAATGAGAATATTTTGCTATGACTGTTTAAATATTCATGTGAGCAATACAGGCCCTCTTGGGCCTCTTGTTATATATGTAATAGGATGTGGTCACATTTAAAAGTCAAATTTTAGAAATAAAACCTGCATCATTTTGTGTCGTAAACTGATCAAACAAAACTCCAACAACCCAGGTGGAGTATAATATGGTCTGGTATGGATGTTGCGCTATTTGTGATGTAGCACTATAAAAGATGCCATTGGAAGCACGGTCCCTCTACAAACAGAACACAATACATCTCCAGCACACACGCACGCATACACACATAGGGAGATTTTAGCCAGGTGGCATATGACTAGTACTTAGTGCCCTATAAGGCAACTCCTGCGAATTCCTCAAAAAATTAATATCCTTATTTTATTAATAGTATATAGTATATCTATGTACTGTAAAGGGATTTAGAGTGGCTTATGTTAGCAAGATAGATGCTATATCAAATGTTGTATATTATTATTATTAGTAGCTCACCTGGCCCAAAGTCAACTTTTTACTTTAAACAACTTCTTCTCAATAACCAAGAGGCCCAGGCTGATGATATTTGGCCAGTAGCATGCTGGAATGAAGGGCTACCAAGTTTGTTAAAATGAATGACCTTGACCCACTTTCAAGGTCACAGGGGTCAAATGTCTTAAAATCTTCAAACATTTTCTTCTCAATAACCAAGAGGCCCAGGCTGATGATATTTGGCCAGTAGCATGCTGGGATGAAGGGCTACCAAGTTTGTTAAAATGAATGACCTTGACCCACTTTAAAGGTCACAGGGGTCAAATGTCTTAAAATTTTCATACAACTTCTTCTCAATAATCAAAAGGCCCAGGGTACTGATATTGGGCCTGTAGCATGCTGGTATGAGGGGCTACCAAGTTGGTTCAATGAATGACCTTGGCACACTTTCAAGGTCACAGGGGTCAAATGTCGTAAAATCTTCTAATTACTTCTCAATAACCAAAAGGCCAAGGGTACTGAAATTGGGCCTGTAGCATGCTGGGATGAAGGGCTACCAAGTTTGTTCAAATGAATGACCTTTTCTCGCTTTCAACACAATGTCCTTGTTCGACATTCAAGATCACAGGCGTCATATGTTTAAATCTTTTAATAGTTTCATATGAATCAAACACTGATATTCTGCCTGTAGCTGTTATTAAGTCCACTATTAAGATTGCAAGTTTGAGATTAATACCAGGTGAGCGATGCAGGCCCATTGGGCCTCTTGTTTTCTTTTCTTACTTAACGTTGTCATACAAATGTTTCTATTATTTCTTTTGCAGGCAACCAGGACAGACCAGGCTCTGGGTTGGGGCTTGGTAGGGTTAAGTGTGGCAATATTTATATATTACACTGCTTGGATTATCATTCTGGTTAGTGGTCTTTTTTGCTTTAATTTCAATATAAATAGATCCAGTACAATCGATCATCTGTGCTGTATTGCTGTGAAGCATTCACATAATAGATCTTTTTCAGCTGTTTATAGATCTCTATATTTTTGAGTAATGCGGAATGGTGATAAGGGGGATGGGACAGAGAGTCTTGCTCTCAAACCCCTTCCTTTTGACACCATTTTTTGTGAGTAAAAAACATCAACAAGTCTAGAGAATCTAATATTTTTACAACCTCAGAAGTAGGATTACTCATTGGTTTGCATCTATTCTAACAGCCATTCATTGATGAAGGCCAGATGATCCACAACTTCTTCATACCCAGAATCTATGCTGTAGTCATACCATTGTCATCTGGTGTTCTTGGACTAGTCATCATTGGTAAGTCTCCATTGTCAGTTTAAAGTTGTAGTGAACCAAATTCATTTAACAAATAGGTATAACCAAATGTTAACCCGGCCAGGTCAGACCTACCAATTATTAGCTCACCATTTTCTGAGGATAAAACCTGTTAAGCAAAGCTTATCTTCCACAGGGTCCTCTTGTTAGTAAAATATCAGTTAGTAAAATTACAATTTCAACATTATCACAGAAATAATAGTAAAACATCTTATATTAATAAATTGTTTGCAAGACATGTGGATATCGGTATATATATATACATCTTAAAAAGAGAGCACATGTAACAGCTTATAATGATCAGGGCTTGCACATTAAACATTTCTAATTACGATAACATAAAGGTAGTCATTAAAATAATGATCACAATTACTATGCTAACAAAGAGTGGGAGTAAACAGGTTTATCACAGGAAACATAAAAGTTTAAACAACTTTTGCCTATCAAAAATCAATGTAAGTTGCGTGATGCCAATTTTGTTTTTCTAATCAGTCTTAAATTAAAGCATGTGCAGCTACCAATCAAGGGGTACATTCATATGAAATGTGAGAAAGATCCATCCAATATGTCATGAGAAACAGCAAAAACAAGAATTGTTCAAAAACAGTCAAGGGCAATTTGAACAGCCCAACACCATCAAATGCCAGCCTAAATATTGACAAATTTTAATGTTGAACAGTTGAACTTGAGTGAAAGTTAATATATTGGAACAGTAGATTTTGAATATGTGTGGGAGGACACAGAGACTATTTGAACATATAATATTGCATATCTTTTTATGCTTTTGGCCCATTTATTATAGTCCTGCATCAGTATGAGCAGAGGGGACAATAAGTTTGCAATCTATTTGTCGAAATTATAGTTGATCTGCAGTCAGTGTGTCAATTTGTCTGGGACATCAGAGTATCTCATATACAAAGTAGCCTCAAATTGACAGGCTTTGAAGAAATAAACTTTAGTAACCCATTTTTTGAGCCATTAGATTATGTGAACACCCTCTTTTGCTCTAGGCTGCACTTGATCCTGGAGTCATTTAGCTGTAAGCTACTGTAAGATATATCGCATTGTACATAGATATTGCAGGCCCAATGAATAGCCCAAAACTTTCATCCGAAACGAAAATATCATACATTTCAAATCAATTTAGATATGCATTGTATCTTTAAAGTTTTTACAAGAGTTATTTCCCCTGTCTGTAAGTCAAATTTAACCATATAATTCTCTGTCAACATTAAAATACTCTTCAGAAACATCCAACATTTTATATAGTATTTTGAAATATAAAATGATTATCAGAATTGTTTGAAATAATTCGTTTTAATATCACATATTTACCCTAACAAATATAAGATAAAAAATAAAAATGTATTAGTGGTTAAAATTGTAATTATGTGAAAGTCCACAACATTCTTCTAACTGATATACTTATTACACATTTAGTGTAAAATTTCTGCCTGACCTTTACTTCAAAGGTCTCACCCATATGAAGATATACAATACCATATACTCTCGTTGTTGTGCTATTTTGCAAGTAGTAATTCTTTACTGATCTGAATTGTAACAGATTTACAAACAAGCACACCAGCAAAAGCACTTATGTATCAGATGGAGAGATACTATAAGAAAGAAGTGGGGAAAATAACAACATGATGCACAATCAAATAATGCCACATTGACATACTGACTGACGAACGATCACAAACTTATAGTTCCTCTGCTAGTACTGATAAGGAACTACCGGTAATATGTGAAAACAGAAAGTTCATGTTGGTATACTTGCATGTTATTCAAATCTACTGCATAACCATTTGCCCAATTCACTGTGTTGGCCTATCTTTAATAAATAGTCCTACAAGAGTTAAAGTAACTACTCCATCTGTCATTTTGAAACAGAAAGTTTGTTTTTGTAAATTATAGTTGTTTTTTTCTCTTATTTTTCCAAATCTCTATCGAAAATTAAACAGGGAAATATTGATTAGAAACAAACACTATTACACATAAATTTAACATCTCTACTTCATTTTATGACAAGTTAAACTTATTTTTAGTACGTTTTTTATCATTTTGTTTTCATTCAATGTAGTTAGGAACAATTCTCTGTTGTCTTTAATTTTTCATCTCTGTTGTACTCTTTTATTTTCAGGTTTGTTCGTGGCAACTACCTTGCTGAAATCAAAACAAAAAGAAAAGAAAAGTTAATGAAATGGCGCCCTTTTGGAGCTGTGGATTTAGTAATCAGCATGCTGTAATAAGACCTTGAAAAGTCAAATGTCTTTTTATTATCTAATAAAAAATTCAAGTTAACTCCCAGTCCTGTAGAGTGGGTAAAACTTACATGTGTTGTATGCTCAGAATCCAACTTCATAAAAATCTTAAGTTTCTTTCATGTAGAAAGTTTAACACTAAATATATTGATGTTCATGTTTGTTTTCAAACCAATCACATATGGTATTCAGTGGTTCCCCTTCGAATATCCGATATCAACATTTTTCAAAATCTAACAAACCTGTGTTGCATCAATATTTTATTAAGAAAAAAAATCTTTGTCTGGCATAATGAAGATTTTATATGACATAGAAACTTTGCTAGCCTGTCATTTGACACAAACAGAAAAACCTAGTTTGTCAACATGAAGATAAAGGTTACAGGTACATAAATCTGCTAATAAATGTACCATATCTTCATTTGGTTTTATGACAGAATCTGCCAGGCTGTTTCTTAAGATTTGATTTTGCATAGAAATTCTTTTATTCTGAGAGCGTAATATTGTCACAGAGTAAGACATAATGACATAGAATATGTAGACAGACAAAGATTAGACATCATGACAGATAATCCTCCATTCCGAGATATAGGCAGGTATGACATCGTTACAAAGTATTACGAGTGACAGCTGAGATTTTCATCATGTGATTGTAGCTTAACTAATCTTGTTCTTTAAATGTAATCATAAAATAACATGTAAATCATTAATCTGACAACACAGTAGACAGATTTTTTTTTATATGTACATTGTACCAGGTATGCATAATAACATTGTCAAGATTGTGGTCCTTGTATGGTATTTATTTCTTGTTGGCGTTTGTTGAATTGTGGTCAAAGTTTACTTGACCAGTCTTTCCATTTTTATATGCCAGAGTACATTATTTTGTTACCAAATCTAGTCCAACAGTTTTTGACCAACTTTTTTGAGAGTTAGTGTGTGTGATGAGAATGTAACAAAATTGCATGTATTGTGAAATGGAGATGTTTTAAATTTTACCAGTTTTAACCCTTGCTCATTCTTTTAGCAATACCAGTTATGGCCCTTGCTCATTCTTTTAGCAATACCAGTTATGGCCTTTGCTCATTCTTTTAGCAATACCAGTTATAGCCCTTGCTTATTCTTTTAGCAATACCAGTTATGGCCCTTGTTCATTCTTTTAGCAATACCAGTTGTAGCCCTTGCTTATTCTTTTAGCAATACCAGTTATGGCCCTTGCTCATTCTTTTAGCAATTCCAGTTATAGCCCTTGCTTATTCTTTTAGCAATACCAGTTATGGCCTTTGCCTATTCTTTTAGCAATACCAGTTATGGCCCTTGCTCATTCTTTTAGCAATACCAGTTATAGCCCTTGCTTATTCTTTTTGCAATACCAGTTATGGTCTTTGCTTATTCTTTTAGCAATACCAGTTATGGCCCTTGCTTATTCTTTGAGCAATATCAGTTATGACCCTTGCTCATTCTTTTAGCAATACCAGTTATGAACCTTGCTCATTCTTTTAGCAGTATCAGTTATGGCCCTTGCTCATTCTTTTAGCAATACCAGTTATAGCCCTTGCTTATTCTTTTAGCAATACCAGTTATGGCCCTTGCTCATTCTTCTAGCAATACCAGTTGTAGCCCTTGCTTATTCTTCTAGCAATACCAGTTGTAGCCCTTGCTTATTCTTTTAGCAATACCAGTTATAGCCCTTGCTTATTCTTTTTGCAATACCAGTTATGGTCTTTGCTTATTCTTTTAGCAATACCAGTTATAGCCCTTGCTTATTCTTTTAACAATACCAGTTATAGCCCTTGCTTATTCTTTTAGCAATACCAGTTATGGCCCTTGCTTATTCTTTTAGCAAATCTGAACCATTTTTGAAATTAGAGCAAAAAGAGGCAATCCCTACCTATAAGTATGTAAAACACAAAAGCACCTTCTTTCATTCCTTTGGCTAGTGATGTATAGAATATTTTATCATTTCAACACAAGAAGAAATAATTGAATTTCCTGATTAATCAAGTACACATTTTTGTTTTAAGAATGCCTAAAAATGGTTCTATATGTATATTTTTTTAACTTAGAAATTCCATTTGATAGTGCAACTGATAAAATTTTGCTGTTCAAATATCTGAATCATTAAAAAGCCAGTCCTTAAATTTATACAGCATTTTTAATGTTGCCAATGACATGTAGTTCTCTCTCCAACTGACATTCATTTTACTGATGTTGCAGGCAGATAATGCAACTCTGTTTTATTTTGTATTTTTTACTTGTTCCCGTCCAATTACCATGGTCTAACAGTATTTATGAATGGCATTGATTTCCCCCTAATCTGAGCTAAAGTAGCGCAACACTCCCATTAAAACAGTTTAATTAATATCTATTTTACATGTGTATATTATATATGTATGGTAGACATACACATTTGTTCAATGTCAAGTGGTTTTTGTTGAAATGCTTTACATGTATGTGCTTTTAGTGTTAATACCGTAATACAACCGTGTATTTCTTTGTCACATTCCTGATGTTAAAGTGTTTATTGAATGTAGTACATTCTATGGCATTCCACATTTCCGAACATTTGCATTGTGCAATGTACTTGCTTCATAAAACTATTCAATGGCAAATGGGAAAAATCTATTTAAATGTTGGGACTTGTTTAAAAATGAAAAACTGCCACCCGAACTGTCAGTTGTCAGAAATATTAATCTACTTAAGATAAAGGGCATAACTGCATCAGTTAGGAATCTGAAGAAGCTGAAGCAACCAAAAAGGAGTTTTTTAAGTCTTGGAGAAGCTTCCCTATCAAGTTCTTTTTATTGGCCAATAAATTTCAGTCATTTTGATGCTGTGCTTGCATTACAAAATTGGTAAGGTGTAGGCTTTGTTATGTAAAGGTTCTGACCTTGAATCCTGGAATTCCCTTTTTTGTTCTATTTTTTAGATATTCAAACTTTCAAACAACTAAAATTCTGCATGGCAACATGTTATTTTTACGAAATATTTCATTTGAAAAGGTCTTAAACAAATATTTCTCATCTGTGGCAGTAGTAATAATAAAGGTTAACTTGTTGGTACCCTTTACCGTTTTAACCTGGTAATCATGCACAATTATTGATATATCTCTACATTTCATGAAGAATCTTGGAAAATAATCAATGGTTTCCCTTTGTCTTGAAATTTAGAAAAGAGTTACATTACAGCTAAATATACAAATCTCATTGAGTCAATGATCTTCAATGTATCATCTGTATCATCTTCAAAGGTCAATTATCTTGAAGAATTTAATAGAGATCTGACATTTCATAAGCTTATGTTTTTTGATGTATATTCAATATATATTTAAAGAAATTATTTTTATAACTAAGACATGTAAATTCCACGGAAATTTTTATAGAAAAAAAATTGTGGTGTAGGAGCCCATAGGCATATTTATGTATTAATCTCCACTGTCAAGGTGTGTTATAACTGTGCAGTAACACTGTAAGTACTATGTTTATATCATGTAATAAATAACAAAAACATATCAAATAACGTCTTTTTTGCCTTTCCATGACAAGCAAATGATCAAATCACTGTTTCAGTTGATGTACTGGTATAGAATCTATTGATGCAGCAAAGCAAATCCATGTTGCTTATCGCCATAAGAAGCTCACAGCTTTCAGTCGGCGTCATCGCTATATGAACTATGTTGGCATCTAAATAGACATAAAAGGAACAATTTTCTGTAGGCATTGTTTTATTTAGAATAATTTCTACTTTAAGGGTACATGGTAACCAGTGTGAAATGTATCTCCTTTCCAAGAGAGCTCTACACTAGAAACATAATACATGTACATGGTAATTTGAACTTGTTAAGTAACTGAATACACTTTTAAATGTACAACAAACCATGCATTCGTTATAAGTATGGAAATTCAGTTTTGAAATAATATTTAGATAGTATTACATCTGGTAAAGTTAATTAAAGACAGATTCTCTAAAACAATATTACCGAAATAATGTACATGATAACATTAAAAAAATAACAGCTTTAATATAGAATATATTACCTTTTTTATACCAAGATTTAGTCGGTGTATATACACCCCCCTCCCCCACCACACACACAAACATCAATTTTGAACAATTGAAAAAAACTATTGGTGCCATGGTATTTACTATGAGGAACATTGTATATGTAATAGGGAAGACTATGTTCTTGTAACTGGTAATCTTTATTTTACAGTTGCAGTTATAAAATAAATAGTTTATGAGATATTACATTTACAAAGTGTGTGTTCGTCTGCACTCCTACAGTGAACAGTACAAAAAAGTATATCACAGTGTGTATATTGTGTACCAAAGTTATGTCAACTTGTTTGATGGTGTAATCTCATCTAGAAGTTCACAAGTAAATGTCAGTCTATTGTCGGCATAGAATACGGCCATTTTGTACATGAATCTGATTCTGAAATGCAGGGTAAGCTTCAGAAATGAACACATCATCTCCTGAAATATCAGTTATCTGTCAGAGTTGTTTCAGCTCGGCAACGTAGTAATTCTTTCTATCATCCTCCGGGGGGTGTCTGCTGATGCTGTTACTTGGAACACTTCCTTCTCTGTATGGAAAGGGACAACACTTTATGAGGTAAAGAATGACGCATAATGAAGATACAAAATGAAATCTAGACATGAAATAAACAATACAGTCAAGGGACATTTTGATACCAACAAGCTTATTCAAGCACACCTCTTGTTAAAAATTTAACCACTATTTGTGTAAAGATGATCAAATGAATTTTTATAGTTAAAATTTACATAGCACATGCTTCACTTTTACAAACAAAACACAATGATCTTACACATACTTGTCCTGTATATCAAAAATAGACATGAAACAAATATACATTGACAAACCTGAAACCACCTGTAGACGTGATTTCCAATGATAATGTCATTCACACTTTAATTAAGAGTGGTTCAGGGACTTCTGGCAATTGCTTCTCAGCTTAGTTTCATATATAATGTTGTAGATAGGAAGGAATGTGATTAAAAATATTTAAAAATCATAATTAGTGTTTTCCCCACTGGTTAAGTTGTATTCTATCTTCAGATTTCTGTTTATTTGTACTTGAAGGTTAAATCTATTTTCTTGTCTATTACTTACGTAGTTTGGGTATTTGTATGTTGAGGATTTTGCCAGCTGTAAGGCATGTTCGCTGTAAAGTCTTAGTGGCATTGCAGAACTTGTTTATCTAGAGATGATAAGAAATGAAATACACCTTTTACATGTATATTTACGAAAAATCATTGTATTAAAAAAAATACTGTGATTTTAACTTACATTTTTAATTCACCAATTCAATACATGTATTTCAAAAATGATGACTTATATCATTGGCTAATTTTTAATCATATCCTGTTTCAATAAAATGAAACACTAAATAAAGGCTGATATTACAGTACTGTATAATTTTTTTGCTACCTTAAATATGCAGGTTTACACTTTAATACCGGTAACCAAACTGCTCCAATCACATACAAAACAGCCCAATGTTCATATGAGATTTACTTGTTATCAGGAATATGAGTAAAGATATTTCTTACATGAAACTTTGTGACTTTCATATCTTTATCAAGGTCTGATAACATGCTGTTATAATCCATTTTTGGCACCATCCATTCCTCTCCGAGCTTCTTGATATAAAATGGAATATCTGCTTCCATTACATCCCGTTCTTTCTTCTGACTGCAAAAAGGAAGAAGGAAAACAAAAAAAAGCAATTCAAAGATTCTGATAAGTAAATAGAAACTCCCATTTTTACTCTTCAATAGTTTTCTCTCCTAAGTTTTTCTACGAAAGAAAAAAAATGTGTAAATGACATGTTCCTGATTAAAGGTTATTGCAGTATCTAGAAAACAACATTGCATTTTCTTCCCTCCTACTTGAATCCTTGATGACAAGGAGAAATTTCTTTGCATACTAGGGTATGTTCTTCTGACCTTAATGTATTTTTCTGTGAAGATTTAACTGTTTAATTTACAGTTTATTTTTAAGAACCATTAGAAAAATACTTACGATTCATCTGCTTCTCTATCCAACCTGTTCAATAGTTCGTCCCAAGCTACCACCTCATCATCAAGCCTAAACAACAGAAACCATCATGTCAGAAAGACACTGGAGAAACAGATCTCATCATCAAGCCTAAACAACAGAAACCATCATGTGAGAAAGACACTGGAGATACAGATCTCATCATCAAGTCTGAACAACAGAAAACATCATGTCAGAAAGACACTGGAGATACAGAGCTCATCGTCAAGCCTGAACAACAGAAAACATCTTAACAACAGAAAACATCATGTCAGAAAGACACTGGAGATACAGAGCTCATCGTCAAGCCTGAACAACAGAAAACATCATGTCAGAAAGACACTGGAGATACAGAGCTCATCGTCAAGCCTGAACAACAGAAAACATCATGTCAGAAAGACACTGGAGATACAGAGCTCATCGTCAAGCCTGAACAACAGAAAACATCATATCAGAAAGACACTGGAGATACAGATCTCATCGTCAAGCCTGAACAACAGAAAACATCTTAACAACAGAAAACATCATGTCAGAAAGACACTGGAGATACAGATCTCATCGTCAAACCTGATCAACAGAAAACATCTTAACAACAGAAAACATCATGTCAGAAAGACACTGGAGATACAGATCTCATCGTCAAACCTGATCAACAGAAAACATCTTAACAACAGAAAACATCATGTCAGAAAGACACTGGAGATACAGAGCTCATCGTCAAGCCTGAACAACAGAAAACATCATGTGAGAAAGACACTGGAGATACAGATCTCATCATCAAGCCTGATCAACAGAAAACATCATGTCAGAAAGACACTGTAGATACAGATCTCATCGTCAAGCCTGAACAACAGAAAACATCTTAACAACAGAAAACATCATGTCAGAAAGACACTGTAGATACAGATCTCATCGTCAAGCCTGAACAAAAGAAAACATCTTAACAACAGAAAACATCATGTGAGAAAGACACTGGAGATACAGATCTCATCGTCAAGCCTGATCAACAGAAAACATCATGTCAGAAAGACACTGGAGAGGCAGATCTCATCATCAAGCCTGATAAACAGAAAACATCATGTCAGAAAGACACTGGAGATGCAGATCTCATCATCAAGCCTGATCAACAGAAAACATCATGTCAGAAAGACACTGGAGATGCAGAGGTCATCATCAAGCCTGATCAACAGAAAACATCATGTCAGAAAGACACTGGAGAGGCAGATCTCATCATCAAGCCTTATAAACAGAAAACATCATGTCAGAAAGACACTGGAGAGGCAGATCTCATCATCAAGCCTGATAAACATAAAACATCATGTCAGAAAGACACTGGAGATGCAGATCTCATCATCAAGCCTGATAAACAGAAAACATCATGTCAGAAAGACACTGGAGATACAGATCTCATCGTCAAGCCTGATCAACAGAAAACATCTTAACAACAGAAAACATCATGTCAGAAAGACACTGGAGATGCAAATCTCATCATCAAGCCTGATCAACAGAAAACATCATGTCAGAAAGACACTGGAGATACAGATCCACCCTTCATCTCTTAAACACCAAGTAATTAACATGGCTTCATAATTGTCAACAGTTTTGTGAGTAATCCTTATCATGTAATAGCAGAAAATGATAAGATTTCATTAAGTAGCCTATACAATATAGTACCCAGCATGCAAGCTTGTTGTCAAGCGTGATATCTTTGTTGATTCAGTAACATTTTTGTCGTTGCACTTTAAAATTGTAATATTTATGATATTAAATGGTTTTCCCATTGAATACCATATATAGGTAGTTCATTCACATGGCAGAAAGCACCCATACTTTCACTTGGGCTTTGCATTTGTGAAAAACATCAGTTTTCTACCATACCTATGAAATCATCAGATAAACTTATGGTATTAAACAGAAAATCATTACACATCCTCTTAAATGTACCGTTTAATCCTATCTTCAACTTCTATAATGGTTTGATCCATCTCCAGGTTAATAGGATTAGGTAAACATCTGCAAAGGAAATAGAAAAAAATATATGTTTTTTTATTGGACAAGTGATTATGGCCTGAAATTGAAAAAAAAAGAATCGTTTCCAGTAGCTCTACTTTAGCCCTAGGTAATGTAAACAAGTACAAATTATTTTAGACCGGATTAAGTTACTGAAAACATGTGATTTACTGTAAACAGGGATGAGTAATTGTACGATAGACTTTTGTAAAAGATCAGTATGGTCTGTCCTATATGTAAACAACTGTTTTATTCTTATTACAAAAAAAATCATTTTCAAAATGTGATATCAATTTGTGAGATTACTTCTGATAAAGAATAAATCAAAGTAAAAAAATATTCAATATCATTTCCTTGATTTCATAAAGCACACTTATGTTTCATCTTATTTGTTATGTTGTTGACATTTTAGAATCCTTTGACTAAAAGTAGACTTGTGCTATAAACATACCTCTGATTCTTAGTAGCTCTTTTGAAAACACCTGCCTCCTCCATCTCGGCTACCTGGTATAACACTGCCTCCTCCACTGTAGACAGAAAGCAAGTCAAATCTCAAACATCATTTGAAAATTTTATATTTTTTTTTTGAAAATGTATATATCTATGTGAATATGCTTGATAACCAATCTTTGTAGCAGTTTTAATATTTCAGAGCGTAAAAAGTATTGGTAATGTTTATTGGACTATTGATTATATAACTTAATTAATAACATTAGGACACCTTCAAAGGTTTTCTATTTTTTATGGTCAAGGAAACCCACTGGTATAATGTTATTGTTACATCAAAATAACCTGAACAAATGATAAACATTATTATGATATTTCATGTTATAATCCAAAAAGATGACAACTTTTTGTCAAAAAATTAAAACATATATTGTTCTACAGTTACACAATAAGATAACTTACATTCCTTTTTCAATGATTGAAAATCTTCAATATCTGTGGATTCTTCTTCCATCTTCTGTAAAGTGTACTGCAACAGAATTTGTTATCAAAGTTATACATTATATATATTACTCACAATCATGAACTATGGAAACCTGATTAAGTTCTTTATGTCATAAGGCATCAGAGAATAAGACCCATTTGTTTATTATATAAAAAAATAACAAGTATAATTCCTATAATTCTTAAGAATTAACATCTGTATAGTGGAGCTGGTCTGGGTTGATCACAGGTGATAAGATAGCTCATTTGGTAGAGTACTTATATTGAGTACAGAGGATACAGGTGGGGTCCCTGTCTGACATGATGTATTATATCCAACCTGTTACTAATTGGTGGCTGTGAACAACTCTTATTACAAGTACTTTGTGTGCTTTACCAAGTGTCTGTAAGCTGTGTAGAGATAAAGGATAACAGATTGTTAAAAGGAAGGAAGGGTCTGGACTAGGACAATCATTTGTAACCAGATATCTAAGTTATAAGAAAAGCACAGGCTTTTCAGATATAACAGATTCCAGATTTAATATCCTATCTGGACTGCCTGTTGCATTTTCCCATTTTGTTGCACAACATAATCCAGGTACATGTATTATGAGAATATGTGTATAATTATCATGATTAATGATTAGTTCTTGAAATTATGCTTTAATTTTAGTAGATTTTACAATATATACGGATGCAAACCCTACCAGAAATAAAATTTGCTATGACAACATACATTATGTTTGCAACAAAGTTGTTTTTTGGTTCCCCACCGGTTCCCATTCGTGCAAAGAGCTTGTCTAGGGCATATCTTCTATTCTATTTCACCTAGAGTAACCAGATTTGGTATGAAAGTACATCCTTGGATGGCGGAGTGTCAAGTGCAAAAAGTAGGTCACTGTGACGTATGGTTTGACCTATGACCTTATCCTTTGAAAAAAGTTTGTCATGGTATATTTCTATACTATTTCATCTGGAGTATAGCCAGGTGAGGTATGCAAGTACAACTTGGGATGGCGGAGTGTCAAGTACAATGCTTTGACCTGTGACCGTATCCTTTGAAAAAGTTTGTCCAGGGTATATCCTCTAAACTATTTCACCTGAGTAAGTAAGCAGATTTGTTATGCCTAGGCTGGCGAATGCAGAGTACAAGCAGTATGCCACTGTGATCTATATCCTTTGATAGGTATATATACAGTTCCATTAATAAAGAAATTATTACAGGCAGGAGACTGTGGATTGTCTAGCAATACTTTTCCTTGTTTATGATACAATACAGTAAAATATATCAATAAACACATGACCCTATGACCAGGACCAACATTTTTGTTATGTCCAAGACCAACATTTTTGTGAATACCGAAGTTTTTGGTTTCTACCAAGCTATATTTTACAGTTTAGGGTTTCAGACTTGATTATACAGGTTTCTTGATTATACAGGTTTCTTGATTATAAATGTTTCAGGTTACTAGTTGAGTAGTTCCATAGTACCAAATTACGAGCATTTATTTATCAATATTTGAAACTCACACACTTTCTAAATTCATTTTTATTTTTGTGCCTGCCCTGTGTCAGATTGTTTAATATAAATTGATTGCATGATAAGTACATTTTTATTTATTTCGTACCAGCAAATTAATATCACTATTACTGTTATGTACTAATAATTACCTGCAGGCATGCCTTTGTCAGCAAAGCTAATCTTTCGTCTGGAGGTTTGTCAGCATCTATTGATTTATATAAGTCTGTGGGAGGAAAAGACAATGCAGTATCTACATTCACATCAGAGTGCAGAATTAAGTGTAGGCTCCCATTAATACCCAGAGACTGTGATAAATATCGTCAGACTAAAGGACATTTTTAGGGCCATTTCTTAACCCTAATCCATTATCATTCATAATTAACAGTGTTTAGTCTTTTCACAGAATTATAAGATAAAATCTATACTCTAAGTCTATGGTCTTTTAAATGATACTTAGGCCAAAAATAATATATAATCTGTTTAGGGTTGCATTGGCAAAAAAACTAGGGTAGGTAGGTCGGATTTTTTTTGTTGTTGTATATTTTTGGTCATGTGATTATGACCCTTCTATTGTATGAAAAACAAAGAATTACATAAACAAGGTTCATTTGGAGGCAAATTGTGCTCCATATGATGACATTTAGCGCCAACAAGGAGCTGGAAGCCATTTTTGAAAGGCAAGGAACCTTCTAAAATTCGAAAAAAAAAATTGGCCTTAATTGAAAATTGAAAAAAAGTTTTTCAAAAAATTCTGAAATTTCCTAATTTTGCTGTGACAATTTTTTAAAAGAAGAAAAATACTTCAAGACACGATTGGTTTCCAACCTGTCCTCAGTCACGTTACCTCCTCCAAAGGCCCCAGATTGCTGTAGCTTGGCACGACCAGCAGCAAAGCTGGACCGTCTTTTACTGACTCGTCGCTTCTTAGCACTCTCACTCATTCTGCTTGTTCACAAACTAGAACCTGAAATAAACACAGACTACAAAATACGTATCATTTTTGTAACATAACATAGTTTCACCTCACCATTCAATCTCAGGTTAATTACAATGGTAAGTATATATTAAATCCTCCTGGGTTTTCCTTCCCCTTAAAAAATTAGAAGTGTAATCATGCATTTGTTTAAGTAAATCTCACTTAAAAATTAGTTGCAATTGGCACATGCATATATGTATTATACAGAGACAGAAATTACTGTTGTCAATCCTCATGATCAAGTATCAATCTAAACAGAAACATAGTGTTTTGCCAAAATTGTGTGTGTGTGTGTGTGGGGGGTGGGATGACTTCTTGAAATCATGTTTATTAAAGGCCTCTTTTTGTAGAGAGTCGAAATTAACTATATCCAATTTATTTTTTTTCCATTCCAATTTTTTATGTATCTCTGTAAAATTAAAAGGAGAGATAATCAGTTAATTTGGGTTCCCGGTTGTTTCGCCTGAAATCCTGTCCGCCCTAGGTTGTTTCCCCCTAAAACAATAATTTTAGGGCGAAACATAGTTTGGTATTTTCTTTCAATTTAAGTAGTTATAAGTGATCACAAATTAAATCTTCTTAGTCTTCCATTAAATCAAAAGAAATTTTATAAAAAGAAATGTGTCTGTGTTGTTTTTAAGCGAGTGAGACAAACGACAGCTGTGAAAAGCTGACTCCGTACTCACACAGTTGCATATTTTTCTACATGAAATATATCTAACACTATAGAAAGTTATCAATAAGTTTAGTTGATATATTTAAATATTGAATATTGTATTAGCGTATATTTTTTATTTTTAGGGCGAAACAACCTAGGGCGAACAGGCTTTAGGGCAAAACAACCCTTTAAAGTTTTAACAGTTTTTAACGTTTGGTGATATACTTTCATTATTCTCAAGCTGATTATACACAAAATTATATAAATAATTATCAAACTTACGGCGATTAGCCCAGGCCTTTTTTGCCAATTCATTTTACAAGGAACATGCCCCGCCAAGCTATTTGCTTTTTAGGTTAACATAACAGGTATAAAATACAAGCAATCCTGAATATTTGTATAACTGTTTGAATACAAATGTACATAAAAAAACAAGTATACGTTCAGAAATAAACTTCCTGTTTAAAAAATGGTCAAGACTGGTTCACAGGTGTTGGGCACTAATTTGATGTGTTATATTATTGTCCAGCGCCTGTGGGTTTGTTGGGCCAGTTGGCATACATTTAATTTGATGATCAACTGGCCCAGTGGCAGGCTAGCTAGCAGTAGGTCACCTTATATTTATCAGAGACGTATATTATACGTCTCTGTATTTATCAATCACTCTTAGCCGACCCCTGAACTTCAATGCGTTCAAATTTTTAACCTGAAAATGCAAGTAACTTTAAGAACAGGCACGAGAACACAACATTCTTGGTTTAAAAAAACCTAAGGTCAATGTTTACAATAATCATAATGGTCAATATTCGAATTTCCCGCTAACACTGGAAAGGAAATCGCGAAAAAGAACACGAACATAACCATGCTCGCAACTGAAACAATTTAAAGAGCATACAAAAAATATGTACTCGTGTGAGATCATGAATACATCGTGTAACTAGTGTGCTGCTGATTAGTTGGTTACTCACTTTTTCAAAGGTTGCAAATATTAAAAACAAAAGAACTCTTCTCTCTGGAGGTAAACATTTTTATTTAATACAAGGTCCCAATAATGTTTGATAACGGGTCCGTTGTCAAGCGTTTGCCTGGCCGTGAAAAGATCTCTCTTAACCCACTGGAATTCCGTGTTGGTAAAGTTCAATTATTTACTCTTTTCTAAACCTAGGAGTCACTGCCAATAACTCTGTGTGAAGCAAATATTTTCATATTTAACTGGAAATTTCAAATGTGAGGAAAAAACGTGTTACATACGGGTAGGCTAACCTTTAATGATACATGTATACTTCCTGGTTGTTTCTGTGTTTTGTTCACCAGTCAATGAGTCACACATACAGTAACGTTAATTCAAGTTGTAAGTTAAATTGTTTTGAAATTTATTAAAGTTTTTAAGATCTTTTCTTGTCATTCCAATTGTGAATATACGAGGGAAGCCCCACACCACAAGGATTATACCTGAGTACATGTACACCTATATATATCCAGAAAAGCTAGGGGTATCCGGTTGAAACGGTTGAACCCGAAAAGAAAACGACAGGCTCAGATCTGAACCGAGGCTGACATCAGGAAAATTTGGCACGTGTATATTGAGCGTAGACGTACCTGACCGAAACTTTTAAGGTTTTAAGATACGTTATGTAATTCAGTGGATGCATGATAGAAGGGTTTACTATTTTTGATACATTGTTTTTTATTCTCCCAAACTGTGCATTTTTAGCTCTGCTTATAGAGCGGTCCAAGTGCATTCGTATATCGTGGAATATTTCTTAGCCTCACCACGAACTTTGATAACATCTAATCTAATTCTGTGGCCTCATGTACCGTTTCAACTGGGATACACGAATGTAGCCTAGGTCCAGGATGCGGATTTACAGAATGATTTTACTTGTAAACGCATAACCTCTTTTCTCTATGAAGTATTAATGCTAAAATATTCTACAGGAACAGCGATTTTTTCTTCAAAACTTAAAGAATGTAGACCTCTTGTCGCTCAAATGATAATACGACAGGTCTTATTTGTTTGATATTAGTATTTATTCCCGGTGGAAAAACCTGTAATGGTCACAAACATTGAAATACAATGAATACATTTGACAACACATTGACCAGAATTTACATACATTGACATGAATACAAAGACGCGAGTATATAAGACGGTATGAAACAAATGGACAATGACAATGTGAACATTACAGACAGACTTAATTACCCGAGCTGATGTGGATGGGTGTCGACTCCTGGAGAGGAATGGCTGGAGAAAGTTGGGTGGGGACGTGACAGGCACTCTTGTCTGTCTGTGCATTCCGTTCATACTGCTCATCCCATTCAACCAATCACACGCACAAACATACAGACAAGTACTTCCGTAACAATGCGAATGTTTGCCTGTTATAGATGTGTTAGTGCATTGAACCTAGTACAGATGGGGTACAAGGTTACATGCATATGGGTGACATTAATTTTGTCAATGACAATTAATGCATTATTTTGTTTCAGGCTGTGATACTGAACAGCTAGTAAGATGTCGAACAGTGACTGGCCAATCACTGCTGTTACTGTGGTGACTGATCCATCAAAGTGTCCTGCTGGATACACTATTGTAAGTAGTAATAATGCTCTAGGTGACTTTCCCCCCACAACATCAGTATAACTGGGTACTGTTAAGTGTATGATGTGTAGAACATCTGGAAATAGTTTAAAACCTAACAGATGACTTAATTGTGTTGAAGATTTGAGACTTGCTATTGGTGCACTTGTTGTGTCCTTATAAGCAAGATACTGAACCCAAGTTGTGGCCAACTGCGATAATATGATAGTACAGTTTATTCATGTATTCTGATTTAAAAACTATGAAACTAAACTGTTAAAACATTTAGAAAACAAGAAAGCCACACATTGTACTACATAATCAGCTTTTAATTCAAATTGATAACTGTTGAAATTTTTCATCTTTCAAAGATTGACAAAACATATGATAAAAGAGATGATGCAGACCTTTGGAGGGATGGGTATTTCGGCAAGCGTATTTGTCGTTACATGTGTGTGGAGAGATCTGCACCCTCTGTAGTAAGTATTTGCCAAAAGGATACCATAATAATGTGGTATAATAATAATTCATCAGTGGTTACCGTATCGATTGAACATAGCATTGTACATGTGTATATGTTACAGCTTTAGTGTACGTAACCAACAGATAATTTAATGCTCCCTTATGGTATTGGTCACAGGTTCAATAGGCCCTCCGGTTTATACTGTAATTTGATATCAGGGAGGATACACCTGATTTGAAGAAGGTCTTTCTGCTTAAATTCTCATTATCAATTTAATCAACTAAAAAGTACTTAGTTAAGTAATTGGATAATTCATTAGTGCTGATCAATTAACTGCCAATGAAGTAAATTCAGTAACTTTCTGGCTTATATATGTAAATATTTATGTGTTGAATTTCAACCATTACCAGATATTCATACTCGATTCCAACTTTATAAATCATGTGACTTCTGTGTTTTTTTTATATTAGGGTAAAGATGTACTGGTAGATGTGGCTATCATCAATGAGAGGGATCCCATTCCTGCTGGCTTTACCTGTATAGACTTCACTAGTGACTCACGTAGGTGTCTGAACACAACATATCATTACTGAATTAGGCCTCAAGTCACTCTACGCAAATTGTCAAGACATTTTTATTCAATAAAGATGTCTAAAAAAAAATGATGAAAACAGCTTTAGAGCACATTCGGTTTTGTGAAAGTCTAACATCTTTTCTTACATAGAAACAGATAATCAAAAGACAATTAGATTCATTTACTTTCTTTGCTTTTTCAAAATAATGTAATTGTAATGGAATTGATATAAGTGCAATTTTATATAAAAACTATGTGAACGCTTTCATCCAGACCATCAAAAGTGATTGATATAGTTTGAAAAACCTTGTTGCCTACGTTTTGTAAAAAGTAAAGTTAAAAAGAAATCTCCAAATAATCCAGAGGTAGATCATGAAATATTATTTATACTGAACTTATGACATAGTTATGATTACAATGAAAGAGTGTGTAAAGTGGCCTTAAAATTGTGTTTTGCATTATAAGAACTTTAAGGAGAGAAGATAGAATGAATAGGATTACAAAGTGTAAGAACTGTTACTGTATTATAAATTGAGTGATTCAAGAATTGATTGAATACTGAATACTTCAAAATGACTAATTTTTGTTGGCTTTTTAATTTCATTGATTTTGTCCCAAGGTAATCTTTACCCACAAAATCATTGACCCTCAAAGTATTAAGCAATTCTCCTTTTGAGTGGGTACTCATAATCCACAAATTCATGTGCCCACGAAATGTTGTTTTGCCAGGAAACCACGTTATTACAGCCCAACAAAAATATCTGATTTCACAGAATCCACTTATTAGAAGAACATCCAAATATTTTATCCTCCAGGTGAGAAGGCCATGAAGAAGAAAATGCTGTGTGTGAGATACATGTCCTGCACTCTTACTAATGATGCCATTGCTGAACTCATAATCATGTCTAAGGGTGTGCGGCGTCCTCCTAATGGCTACAATCTAGTAGGGTAAGTCTGATAAGAGTACTGACCACCATGAAGAGTTGTGATGATTAGATGATGTAAACCAGGGTCAGACAGGGTTTACAGGGATAAAGTAAGTTAAGGCAATTTTTCGTTCATTATTTTATTCTATTTAATCATGACTTAAAATGCTTTTTGGATATTTCTGAAAAAGCACAAAAACGTGAATTTATGAGGGGGATGAGGTATGTTTTCTTTGAATCCTCAATCACGTCCATGGTTTTAAATGTACAGCAAAGGTTTTCTGATGTTGGTTATCTGTTAACTAGTATACAAATCTGAAGAAGAACTTGTGAGTGAAAATTTTTAGCAACCAATTTTGTAGTTCAACAATTGAAAAAGTATTCTGAAAATTTCTTCCATTAAAAATTCTACTGAACTTTCTTTATGGTCGACACTTTTGAAAATTTGTATGAAAATAACCTGGGTTAGAGTGAAAAAGTATCCTTTGTTTTGTCCTTTTTTAGAGAGCTGAATAACATGGCACTTTGTTTCAAGATGGCAACGTTTCGTTCTCCGACTGCAGAAACCCAACAAAACAATGTAGCTCAATCATACATGCCAACCACACCCACCTACACAACAGAATCTCCCCTCAATCACATGTAAGTATTTGAAGCCCAAGTTCAAAAATATCGATAAATTATAAGAAAAATATAAGCTTTCCTCATAGAAAATGTTAACCTTTTTACGGAATATTTGTATATGCCTGTCAATAATTTTTATGGGACTTATTATGGTATGGGGAGCAATTCATCAAAGTAAACAATGTTATACATGTTTCCTTTAAAGAGAAAATACTTTATTTAACAACACCAACAGAGAAAAAAACCTTATTTAGTTTTAATGTGTGTACCGACACTGTAATAATAAAGTTAATTCCACATAATAGATCTATGGATTAATGTATAATTTGGTTATTTGCATAAAATATCAAAACACAACCATGCATTTTCAAAAAATCCCAATTTAACTTTTTTTTTTCAGCGACGCTCACCCTAGTCATGTATTCCATGAACATAGGTTATAACATTGGTCTAACTTTCAATTTGATAGAAGGATAGTTAAATTGCTTAAATAACAGCCATTTTTTCCAAGTTTTAAACAGTGAACCCTCGATATAATGCCACTTGTTTCATTTACCGCCAACATATTTCAGTGTCCTTTTTTCTTACTTTCTAAAGAATTCCTTCAACATTTCCCTCAATTTATTGCCAAACCCTTTTATAACACCAGAATTTCTCTGGAAAAATTATGGCAGTACATGTATAACAAGGTTTTACTGTACATTGAAATCCATACTGTTGAACTAAATGTAATACTTGTCGTTACATGAACATTTTGACAGATTTTTTGGTAATGGTTAAGGCAAAATAATGATAAAACAAAAAGATTCCTTTGAACATCTTGTGATTATTGTTTTGTGTGTAGGGCGGGTGTTGGAACAGCTCTACCGTATGCAATCAACCCTACAACAAACCATGCTAGACCGGGGCTCGACAGAACCAACAGCATAGCTGGCATAGGCAGTAACCATCGTAAGTGTCTGCTGTGTATGTCGAGAAACACTTGCTGATAATTGGCTGTTGTAAATGGCTGTCTGGAATAGGGAATATGTTTACCTGGAATAAGTAATATTTTATACAAGTTTAAGCTTTGAGTGTAATTTGTCCTATCATTCAGTGAGGTCTGCTGTTAATTTATTATTACATTTTACTGCATTCTGGCTTTACATTTTGGCAGTGTATTTTTTGTGTGTTATTTTTTCTGTGAATTATGCATTCAATCCAAAATAATAACTTTTCAATCTGATGCATGTCATGGACATAACAATTTCGAATAAGCAAATTTAAATTGACACAAACCAAAAAGTGTGCATAGGTGTGGAAAAACCCACTGTAGGATATCTGAATCTGTGTACAGTGAATACATACACATTTCAATTGATCAGATTCCTCTTAAGGTTGAATATAGACTGTGAAAGCCAAAAAAAAATGCCTCAAAAAATAGGAAGAGTATTTAATAGTAGTACATTGTATATCCGTAAGTCAAAAATACTTTATATTACTTTTTACTAAGGTTATATAAAATATCTGACTTAACATCCTTTTCTAAAAATAGTGTAAAAACTATTAGGTCTACACAGTAATAGAGTTAGGATTGAATCAGCAGAAACACAACAGTTTTAGGCTTGATGTTGTTGCATGGTTTTCTGTCTGTTATATTTTCAATTTTTACACCATTTTTGTAAATGCATGTTGGTGTAGTTTTTTTCTCCTGTAATGTTGTAATATCACTACCGTATACAAATAAATGCATGCAACCTGGATGTGGTTTATTAATGAAAAATGTGGAATAATTGGTTGAAGGCCAGTGTAACCTCTACTATAATGGATAATATTAATCTTCAGTTGTAACAAGGACATTTCTATATTATCAATTTCAAAGAAAACATTGGATCAGTTGATAGCTGGTAAATATGTGTTACAATTAATGGGTTTTTTAATGTTAGAAAAAAATTGTAGAGACAACATCTTTGATTTTATTTATAGAATAAGAGATTTCCGTTTTTTATGGAAATGGGAATGGCCAAATTAATTGAATACAACTACCGGGTACATAGAGTTAGTGTTGTATAATCTCATCAGTCCAATAAAAATATACCTATGTTTGTAACGACTGTTAATTATATAAAATACACAGGTCAATAGGGTTTGGAAATACAGTTCTGTTGCAACTTGAAAGCATGTTTTGTGAGTTCCTTCTGTTAAAATAAACTAAAGATTAACACAGTTTATAACCAAAATGAAATGGTGGAATATATCTAAATTTCATGTAATGATTCATTAACAAAATAACAACAGGAGTTTATTGATGTCTAACTATATAATGCACAAGTAAAACAGAGATTTTTAACTCATTCACCCCTGCTATTTCATTATGAACTTTCCCAACCTTTGAATTGGAAGAGTTCAAATGTGTCTTCAGGGGTGAATGAGTTAAAACATTTAAAGAAAATTAGGAAACTCTATTTTATAGTTTCCTATCTCACCATGAAAGTGAATTCAAGAACGGATGACTTTGATTTTAAAGCACAAACAGAACGAATTTGATAGGATTATAGTAGTGCATATTACAGTTTTACACCAGGAATTTATTTTACAAAAAAAAATACAAAATTTCATTGTCAGCAAGATAGATAAAATATACACTACAATTGCACAATAATACAATTCCAGCAACTTATATTTGGATATATAATACCAGTAGACAATAACAAAAACCTGGCAATATATATATCTGACTTTAATATTTCCCTAAAGTACCTGGTTGTATGGCTGTATTTGTGTTCATATTACAATTGATATCTATTTTGGTTCCTTTGTAAAATAACATGCTACAATATTAAAATCTAAGGCATTGTAATATTTTTATTTCTCCAGCACAAAATCATGCGTACAGTGGTTCCCAACAGGTGGTACAAGGTATATAAGCTACTAGAAGGCTGTTTTTCTGGCTCCACTGTCTGCTGATTGTCAATGCTTCTCTATGTAATGGAACATCTGCTTATTTCTTGTTTTAGAATTATTATGCCTACTTTTTCTGAAATGAAAATTTTCCTCCGATTTATTTTTCAGTGAAAAACCCATTTATCCTCATGATTCTCCACTTTTATATAAGTTTTCATCTTTAACAAATATACATGGTTATACTACTTTTAAGTTGTGTCAAATTGATAATGTCTAGTTCTGTTGTCTCTTGCATAACGAATGTCTAAACCCGACTTTGATATTCATGTCTACTTTAAAACATTGTATCATTGATAAATGATGTATATAATACTCTAATACTACAGATCCTATATCATTGATAAATGATATATTTAATACTCTAAAACTACAGATCCTATATCATTGCTTGTAGTTATGTATCTGAATGCTAGGAGGAATTTATATTGCTTGGTTGCTATTTGCTAAAGCTTGTAGTTCTTCTAGTGAAAGTTTCATCAAAGATGACTCTTACATTGTCAATCTGCTGTAATGAAACACGTGCACATGTAAGCTTATTTAATTGGAATTGAACATGAACCCGTAGAAGAATAACCTTTTGGCTGATACACTGGCTGTTGACCTGTTAGACACACAAGATGACATTTTTACTGTAAAAAACATCAACATGGACATAGATAAGACATAATTTGTTTGATCTTGACATACTTACCTAAATAATTTTATTAAATTGAATTTGCTTTATTCTGAATTATAAAATTGGATGCAAAATTATGTTTTCCTGTAGATACCGGGTAGATAGTCATTGTTCTGACACTTATTTTTACCATTTTAATATTGATCTTGTCATTACTATATATATAGATTTACTAATAAAACAGTCATTTGAGATGTCAGGAAATGAAATGTCAAAAAATCAACCACCTAGCATAGAACAGAGTCAGCTCTATCTATCATAAAAAATAGTAAGATTCCGTACTACCTACCTAGCATAGAGCAGAGTCAGCTCTATCATAAAAAATAGTAAGATTCCGTACTACCTACCTAGCATAGAACAGAGTCAGCTCTATCTATCATAAAAAATAGTAAGATTCCGTTCTACCTACCTAGCATAGAACAGAGTCAGCGCTATCTATCATAAAAAATCGTAAGATTCCGTACTACCTACCTAGCATAGACCAGAGTCAGCTCTATCATAAAAAATAGTAAGATTCCGTACTACCTACTATCAAGTAGAGTTAAGAGTCGTTACTACCTAATATCACATAGAGTTGGAGTCAATCACTGAAATATAAACAAACTAGATTTTAAGCATGGCCAAGCTGAATCTGTGGAATGTGTACGTTTTACTTTGTAATGACCTGAGCTACACATATCAGCTATCCTAGTATTGTGATGTAGTACTAGCTATAGATCAGTATAGGTAGGTTACTAGGGGCTTATAATGTAGACAGCTATCCTAGTATTGTGCTGTAGTACTAGCTATAGATCGGTATAGGTAGTTAACCATGGGCTTATAATGTAGAAACCATTGAAATGGATTTTGCAAGGAATGAACACCTAAGTTCCGCCGTCATAAATTGTTGATATTCTCTTCCACTTGTCTCAAGTACCTGTATAGAAAATATCAACAACAATGTATGTTCAGTGGCTTCAGTAAAAAGGCAAATATATGTGTAGGTAATCATGAAGTCATGGTTGACTGAACACCAGATGTTCACTGATGTACTTAACTGAATTCTTGCTTTTTAAATAAATAGAAAGCTTTGCTGTGGCTTTAACAGAAGTTATACATAATATTGACAATAATGTGTTAGCTCTATTTCCTTGTACTTTTTAATGTTACATGGTAAATAACATGTGTGATTTAACTAAATATCTCTCAATATGCATACTAATTAGTAAATTTAGAAAAATGAAATCTTTGTAAATTAGAAAATAAGTACATGTACAACTTGTTCAGTCTTTACTTGAAAATCACTAATTAAGACGACAACAATTTTTATTTTAAACGGTTGTTGGTTTTTAACCTCAGAGCGTAACCCCATGCTTTGTACCACCCTTGCTTTAAGCATCCATTTACAAGGTATGAGTACGTCAAATTGATAATAGATGTGTATGCCATTCCACCACACCCAAGTAAGTGTGGGGTCCTTACACCAACATTTTATAAAGAAAAATGCAGTGTGTTCTCTTTTGCTACCATCACAATTTGTTCATTGTCCTACTCTTGACTGTTTTCTGTGTACTAACTATCCCAGTAGTGAAGGGAGTCGTTGTTTGGGTTTAACGTAGGGGGCAGTCGTTTGGGTAGGGAGTCATTGTTTGGGTTTAAGGTAGGGGGCAGTTGTTTGGGTAGGGAGTCGTTGTTTGGGTTTAACGTAGGGGGGCAGTTGCTTGGGTAGGGAGTTGTTGTTTGAGTTTAACGTAGGGGGCAGTTGTTCGGGTAGGGAGTTGTTGTTTGGGTTTAACGTAGGGGGGCAGTTGTTTGGGTAGGGAGTCGTTGTTTGGGTTTACCGTAGGGGGCAGTTGTTTGGGTAGGGAGTCGTTGTTTGGGTTTAATGAAGGGGGCAATTGTTTGGGTAGGTAGTTGTTGTTTGGGTTTAACGTAGAGGGCAGTTGTTTGGGTAGGGAGTCGTTGTTTAGGAAGGGAGGAATCTGACTGCTGTTATCATCACTATGTCAAGGTCAATCAACGATAGGAATATGACATTTGTTATCAGATAAAGTTGACAAATTAACAGTCCACATCAATTTAGAAAAAACGAAGAAGAAAACATTGCAGCCTGAGAGAAATATTTATTGTGTGCTCTCCTTCTGACCTTGTATGAAAAATATTTTTTCTTTGACCCAGAATTTCTTACTAACACTATGATCAAAGTGCCATTCTTTTTTTGTCAACTTACTTTCCATGAGACTTATTATAATATTTGTAAAATCTTGTTATAATGTCTCTAAATTCCATTTGACACCTTGCTTTAATCATGACAACTTATTTACAGGTCATCCTCACTATACATGTCCTGCCAAACCCTTGTAATTTATAATGTCCTACATTCTACAGGACAAAAATTATGGTGGTAGTATAAAAAGGTTTTCACAAATTTTTAGAATATAGATACATAAATTCTATGTTTAATGTATCAAAAGTCAATTAATAAAACACTTTACAACTTATTTGTATGATATACTCATGTGTTTATGTACCAGAAGTTCAAAATTTTAGTTGAATCAAACTACAGATAATAGAAATATAACAAATTACCCCGGTAATAGGAAAACATGCACATTTGTGTGTGTAATTGAATGTTTGTCACAACAGTTAACCAAACATACAGACTGCATGCTCACCAGTCCAAGTCTGGAATACAGTAGTTATATAGTCAAATGTCTATTGCAATCTATTTCCAAAGATTAAGTTCCCTTGGTTTATTACAGTTAAAGGGTAAAAATTACTAAGGTGAAATCACAATAAATCTTATACTTTTCACTTTCATAATGAGAAGCTATTATGTAAGATTCCTGATGAAGTGTGTTTTGTGTTACAGCATTGTCTGGTGTGCCCTGGCAGATAAACTCACGTTATACGGATATAGCCAGGCTACAGGATGTAAGTATCACCTATAAACCCATGTTATATAGATATAGCCAGGCTACAGGATGTAAGTATCACCTATAAACTCATATTATACTGATATAGCCAGGGCTACAGGATATAAGTATCACCTATAAACCATGTTATATATAGCCAGGGCTGCAGGATGTAAGTATCAGCTATAAACTCATGTTATATTGATATAGCCAGGGCTACAGGATGTAAGTATCCCCTATAAACTCATGTTATACTGATATAGGCAGGGCTACAGGATGTAAGTATCACCTATAAACTCATGTTAGATAGATATAGCCAGGGCTACAGGATATAAGTATCACCTTTAAACTCATGTTAGACAGATACAGCCAGGGCTACAGGATATAAGTATCACCTATAAACCATGTTATACTGATATAGCAAGGGCTACAGGATGTAAGTATCATCTATAAACCATGTTATACTGATATAGCCAGGGCTACAGGATATAAGTATCACCTTTAAACTCATGTTAGACAGATACAGCCAGGGCTACAGGATATAAGTATCACCTATAAACCATGTTATATATAGCCAGGGCTGCAGGATGTAAGTATCAGCTATAAACTCATGTTATACTGATATAGCCAGGGCTACAGGATGTAAGTATCAGCTATAAACTCATGTTATATTGATATAGCCAGGGCTACAGGATGTAAGTATCACCTATAAACCATGTTATACTGATATAGCCAGGGCTACAGGATATAAGTATCACCTTTAAACTCATGTTAGACAGATATAGCCAGGGCTACAGGATATAAGTATCACCTATAAACCATGTTATATATAGCCAGGGCTACAGGATGTAAGTATCAGCTATAAACTCATGTTTTACTGATATAGCCAGGGCTACAGGATGTAAGTATCAGCTATAAACTCATGTTATACTGATATAGCCAGGCTACAGGATGTAAGTATCACCTATAAACCATGTTATACTGATATAGCCAGGCTACAGGATGTAAGTATCACCTATAAACCATGTTATACAGATATAGCCAGGCTACAGGATCTAAGTATCATGTTTTATATTAACAATACAAATAGATACAAGGACTTGTCAATAACACTTCCATATCATTGTATCACTGATATGTTGTCTGCTTTACATTAATTGGTAAAACATTTACACATTAATACACATTATTTTACAGATATTGATGCCCTGGTCATTTTATCTAAGGATTGGGATGTATATAGTATTACTCTTTGCTCGTCTAGTCAGCATACACCCAAATTCATTGTCATCACTCTTGATAATTCAAGTTTCAAGTCTAAATAAATTAAAGTGGCAATTGAAATAACCTTGAAGATGGTTACATACCTTATTTTGCACTAAACATTTCACATTTACTACATGTTTATTAAATGTGTCATTTATCAGTAATGAAAGACACTTATGGTATAAACGAGGTGTATAGTGATAGCATGCATTGCACTTAGCTCACTGGTGACCAAAAGTCAACTTTGAGATAAACAATATATTCTTGATATTCTGTTTAGTTATAAAGATACAACAAATTTGACTGTACATGTAGAGTAAAACATTATATTTTATTCTTAACTCTATTCATCTTTTATTTTAGATAATGATTCCTCAGATTGGTTACAAGTCCATCATGGATATTGAAAATGAGGTATGATTACTGTTTTGGTGTATCAGAGGAGATGAAATTCCATATACATGTATACATTATATATTTCAAAGTTCTCATTCAGTATTGAACTTAATTAAAAACAGAAATGATTTTTTAAAATAAGAAATCATAAATCATGTTTTGTAACTACAATTTTTTTTTTGCACTTGTCAACTGCTCATTCAAATTTTGGTGACTGTTTGAAATGTTTGCATATAATCAGACAACTAATCTTAAACTCATAAAGCACATTAAGAATTGCTTGTTCATGAGCTATGAGAGTAAGTGTTCAGTGTGATGGGATAGGTTGTGATCCATCCCTGCTGGTATTGTTCTTGTATCTAGATGGACATATATTGCTTGAAAATTAGACCAACATTTCAAAACATGTAACGATATAGAAACAAATTTGTAAAGCTCTTCCACTACATGGAAATATCATTTGTTTTCTTATATCTTTCAGTATTCCTACACATTCAACATAGAAAGATCAGTCTCAGCCAATAGCTTTCAGTGATTGGTCAGTTTTGAAGGTCAAAGTACATAAGTTGAAATTAAAGCCTGCCACAGTCACATGTTATTATGAGGAAACTGAACTACAAAAGTTTGTATTTGTACCAGCTAGGATTTGGAAGAGCATTTCAATGCATCTACATGTGTGATCCTTCTACCATGGTTTAACTTCCTACTGTGGACCTTGTGAAAACCATGTATAAACCAAGCCGTGTTACCATACAGTACATTGTAGACCTTTCTGAAACTGGGCCAGGTTATCATACTGCCATAGTAAATATGTATTGTAGGCATTTCAGGTACTAGACTGCGTTGTTACAAAATACACATTGTATTGGAGACTTCTCAGCCACGTAGACCAGAAAAAGTCATGCTATGTATTGTAGGCAGGTGTAATGAGACAAGTCAGTGCAAGCTTTGTATATATACCCCGGTACCATGTAGTTAGATATAGGAAATCATGCAAGCATCAGATGTGTACCCGTCTACCTAGATGTCCATGGACTAAAAGGTCTATTCAATATGTAGATGGACACGAACCTGGTATTCCGAGGGAAACAAAGTCTATCCAAACTGTGAAGGGACGCCTCCCTGGTGTCTGGGCAGAAATAAAGTCTATCCGATCTGTGAAGGGACGCTTCCCTGGTGTCCGGGGAGAAATAAAGTCTATCCGATCTGTGAAGGGATGCTTCCCTGGTGTCCGGGGAGAAATAAAGTCTATCGGATCTGTGAAGGGATGCTTCCCTGGTGTCTAGGTAGTGCAAACAAAGTCTATTCAATCTGTGAAGGGGACACAACCCTGGTGTCCAGGGGAAACAAAGTCCATCATATCTGTGAAGGGACGCTACCCCAGCGTCCGGGGAGGAACAAAGTCTGTCCTACCTATGAATGGATGCTACTCTGGTATCCAGGGATACAACAATCTGTCTGACCTGTGAAGGGACACTACCCTGGTGTCAATGGGGAAACAAAGTCTGTCCTACCTATGAATGGATGCTACCCTGGTATCCAGGGATACAAAAATATGTCTGACCTGTGAAGGGACACTACCCTCGTATCAAGGTATAATACTGAGTCTGTTCGATCTGTGAAGGGACACTACCCCGGTGTTCGGGGATACAAAATCTGTCCAATCTGTAAAGGGATACTACCCTGGTGTCAAAGGGGAAACAAAGTCTGTCCTACCTTTGAATGGATGCTACTCTGGTGTCCAGGGATACAAAATCTGTCAAATCTGTAATGGGACATTACCCTGGTATCAAGGTATAATACTGAGTCTGTTCGATCTGTGAAGGGACACTACCCTGATTTCCGGGGATACAAAATCTGTCCAATCTGTAAAGGGACACTACCCTGGTATCAAGGTATAATACTGAGTCTGTTCGATCTGTGAAGGGACACTACCCTGGTTTCCGGGGATACAAAGTCTGTCCAATCTGTAAAGGGACACTACCCTGGTGTCCGCGGATACAAAATCAGTCCAATCTGTAAAGGGACACTACCCTGGTGTCCAAGGGGAAACAAAGTCTGTCCTACCTTTGAATGGATGCTACTCTGGTGCCCAGGGATACAAAGTCTGTCCAATCTGTAATGGGAAGTAATTGATCAATGCTACACTTGTATCCAGGGGTCGCAATAGCCTACCAATATGTGGATGGACATTATCAGAGTTTCTGCAGGAAAACCTTGTTAGTTTGTACAACTTAAGGTCCATTATTATGTACCTGACTGTGTGGAAGGATGCAATGTCTTCAGTTGCTAGCAATTGCCGTTTTTGTATAAAAAATGAACAATGTAAATTTAATATTCTTAAACCAGGAAGGTACCTGGTAAGTGTTTTAATCCATGAAGCTATTATCATAATAGCACACTGATTTGACATGTTTATGTTATACACATAGCAGTATCTTCTCCATAACCTAACATATTTCTACCACCATCCCCCAAGTAAAATGTGAAAATTGTAATCTCACGAGAATTGAGCATGTATTGAGAAAGTCTGCAATATTACATTTTCAGATTTTTTTTTTATTAAGTGCCCTCAAAATCATTTTCTTAATGGTTTGAGATGTCTAATACAAGAAACATAGGACACGTTCATCTCCAGGGGTGCAGGATAGGAAAATTTTATCAGAGGGGTTTCTAATTGTGTGAAACCCAAGGTATGTCAAGGGTTTTGCCCCATTTTGGAAAGCCAGAGGGCAGAACTTCCCTCTCCTGCTCACCTGGGCATAAAACCTTTGTTTCTATCATTCCAATTGTCAGAAGAAGCTCAGAAACCAAAAATAGATGTTTGACCATTTGAAAAATTTTGCCTTTTTCCCGGAGCTTTTTTGGCAGAAAATTGACTAGTCAGTGAAATTATTCAAACCCCATTTTGCCCATATTTTCAGCAGAAAAGAAAGAAGTTCTATCATTCTGACTTGTATATACATTTGTAGTTGATAGATTTTTTTTTTTATTTCATCACATTAGCAGTTTCAGCATTATGTTCTCTGACTTTTCCTGATTTTGTTATGTCACTTCATTTTTGTCTCTTTGTGATGTCATATACATGAGATGTGGTGTAAGTGGCTAAGTATCATGTGGAATGGTTTTAGAAGTATATAAACTCTCCACTAAAAGCCCTTGTACTCCTATAAGTGATGAAATATGTCTTATTCAATCTTCGCCACCCAGTATTAATTTTACATTAAAAGACACAATATATTGATATGCTCCTCATAATGCATTAACTACAGAATATTTCACATTGCTCTTATCTCTGTGTTCTGATATACTGGATGAGACATTTTGTATACATTTGTACTTTACTGTAAGTTTTGTGTAATGGAATGAGGCGTTGTGACCATATACAGTAAAAACTTAGGTGTGAAGAGTCTGGTCTCTTGTTTCCAGAGACAAAAAATGCCTCTTACATGTTAAGATTTTTTTCAGGAATGAAGTAACAGAAATTGTCATTTAAATGTACAGACATAGAAATACATTTGTATTAACATCTGAGTTCCCATATAAGAATCTGAATTCAGGATGTGTCACATCTACCAGATAATTAGCTGGGAGAGCTTCATCACTTACCATATACAGTAAATTATCACGTTTATAGAGCTTAACCTGATTTAGGTGTTAAATGTGTTTTTTTGTGTTTTTTTTTAGCTTTTAAGTAAATTGTTTAATTTACTTCCATTTTGATAGTGATTGCTTCTTTAATTTCTGCTTTTCCATATATAATTAATGACACATGTAAATTAATGAATTGATGACACCTGGTTAATGGACTAATTATGCATGTACCTGTGACTTGAATTATCGGTTTATGTCACCTGTCTGACAGGCTGTGACTTCATTAATTAATTGAAGACAATTGTGACTTGATGAATTGATTGATGACACCTGTGACTTGATTAATTGATTGATGACAACTGTGACTTGGTTAATTGATTGATGACAACTGTGACTTTATCATCTGATTGATGACACATGTGACCTGGTTAATTAATTAATGACACCTGTGACTTGGTTAATTGATTGATGACACCTGTGACTTAACCATCTGATTGATGACACCTGTGACTTGATCATCCGATTGAAGACACCTGTGACTTGGTTTATTGATTTATGACACCTGTGACTTGGTAATTGATTGATGACACCTGTGGCTTGGTTAATTGATTTTAGACACCTGTAACTTAGATAATTAACTGATGACACATGTGACTTGGTTCAATGCTTGATGATACCTGTTCCCAAGTTAATTAATTGATGACACATGTGACTTGATCATTTGATTGATGGTACTTGTGACTTGATGGTTTGTTGGAAACTGTGACCTGATGAATTGAATGATGGTACTTGTGACTTGGTTTATTGATTGATGACACCAGTGACCAAGTTAATCGATTGATGACACATGCGACTTGGTTAACTGACTGTTAACACCTGTGACTTAGTCATTGATTCATAACACTTATGACTTGATTGGTTGATTGATTGATGACACCAGTAACTTGGCTGATTGATGACACCAGACCTTCAACTTGGTTACTAGGTAATTGATGATGACATGTGTGACTTTGCTGATTGATGACACTTGGTTACCGGGTAATATTGATGACAATTGTGACCTGGTTAATTGATTGATGACACATGTGACTTGATTCATTGATTAATGGCATCTGTGAAAGACAAAGACGTATATGAGAATGACTGAGTGACAAGAGTTAAAGAAGGAGTAATCTACATAAAGGATTTAATATGTAGGTGAAGACAGCTTGACAGGAAAGGATTTTATTGAAATATTTTATCTGCCTAGAATTAGTTAGCTCCAATAAATTAATGAATTATTCACATAATGATCAAGACTTGATCTATACCAGTAATAATTTCATCAATTATACAGTCTCGGTAATTATAAATCACGGTAAAGTGTGACAAACTTTCTTTGTCATACATTCTGATGTGTGAATTACCTGGTAAGTAAACCCCACAAAATATGCATATTTGAAGATGTTTATATATCTTACAAATAAAAAAAAAATCTGAAGGACTGTGGTAGTATGATGAAATTATTACTGGTATAGATCAAGTCTTGATCATTATGTGAATAATTCATTAATTTACTGTTCACTTAAAAAAGAGTTAATAATATCATATCTACCTTGTATACAACTGTGATGTATACCAATAAAAGTTAAATAACTGCCTGTAAATAGAATTTGTTGCAGCAAAAACAAGTTTCAAAACATTCTTCTTAATTAATGCATAATAAAAATTAAAAATATAGCTGCATTATTGTATGCATTATGCTGTTGTTCATGACAGTGTTATTGACACTCATATTTGTTAATTATATCCTGATATTTTAAATGATGCACTATTACAACAACAAGGGGGTGTATTAACCCGGAATATCGGTTTAAAACAGACAAAAAAACACTTAAGGAGATACATTTGTATGCAGAAAAAATTGTCTAATATATGTAGTCACTATTTAGGTACAGACATCTGTTGTAGGGTTACTAGTCTATCCCAGGTCCTAGTAATTTCAGTTTTTAGTTTCAGTTTTCTCAGTTTTTAAATTTAGAATGAATTATCAAATGGATTTTCAATAATTAACACATTTTGCTTACAAAAAGGGATTCTTTGACCAGTACAAATAAGTACACAACTCTAAATGTTGACAATATTGTACAAGAAAAGTAACACTTTAATCAAAATAGTGAATTTTGTAGCTGTTAACAGGAATGTTTTCAAAGATTTTAATTAGGATGTCTATATTCCTGGAAAAAATCACATGTAAAATATTGAAGTAAGACTTGTGAGATCTGTTTCCAAAAAGATGTGAAATAAAATGAAGTTTGACAGACTACGTGCAGGGGGAATTTTATTTCAAAGATCAGAAAGAAAGCTTAAAAGTTTCCCCCTTGAACAGCTACTCTGAAACCTTAGATTACATTTGGTATAAAAAAAACGGAATATCTGTTCTAATAGCTCTGTATACACAATGGCTTCTTCACGCCTCATACAGTCTTTTCAGAGGTAGTCATGTACAGATAGAATTGAACGTAAAACTAAATGAGACCGAAACATTGTTAGTGTATGCTATGGTTCTGTGTTGATGGAAGCTCAGTAGTGCTACAGGAACTTTTAGGGTTGCTTCGATTTAGTCCGCTATTATGTATGGAAGGTGACATGTAGTCAAGATTTTGTGTGAGTTGAACATTTTGTGATGTAAACAACTTGTGTTAGGTATTTTATTGTATGTTGTATAAGGTTTTCATTAATGAAAGATGTCATGATTGTTTGAGTTTTATTTATTCATATGTTAACATAATTAAAACATAAATCATTGATTTTTTCTGCTATTGTTTTTAATCATCATCACAATACTTGAAATTTTAATGTCTACATTGAAGATGCCCTCCGATGATCTATCCACCAGACAAATTTGCCTAAACTGGAACAAGCATGATGCTTCTGTCCTAGAAATATAATCCATTAGTGAGCTTGAATAATCTTCTGCTCTGATAGAATGAAATTTTTTAAACACAAGGTAAGATTTTGAATCCTAGACTGAGGTTTTGTCAACTTGCCTTCATCACACTGGGCTGAGAGATAGTTTTAAGACCACACCTATTATTTAAATTTATCACATAATGTACTGTGTTATCCAGTGAATATACCCATGTCATATTTTTTTGCGTATCAACCCATGCAATATGACCTATCAACCCTGTGATTGGTTGTAAGTTTCAATTGTTTCAATTGTGATGTCACGCCTAGGACAAGTACATGACGTCACAGACTTGCGCACTGGAGTCAAAATGGCAGTTTTTTTTCATGAAAATTGTTGTTTTACACGAATAAATGCCACAAATCTTGATTATGTGATAAAAAGGTTTTTACACTGCTTTTCATTTCATATGAAATTTATGAAACCCGTAACCATTTTTTCATTTTAGCTCGCTAGAGGCTCGTTAAATTGAAAAATTCTTAGACTAGTTTCATAAATCTCATATGAAATGGAAACTCATGTAAGATCCTATATGTACAGAATCGGAGCAAACTTTCTTGATAGAAAAGGACACATAGTAGATCAAATGCAATATAGATCTAACATAATGTTAGCACAAACCTGATCTGAAGTGATGGGGCATTGTTATCGGAAAAGTATCCGAAAGGCATACATTTGCATCGTTATCTACAAAGATTTAATTTACCACTTGATAAATTACTATAGGGATCTTTCTCAAAAAAAACAAATTTCCTGGATCTTTGGCTTAGTTCCTCAGGCTTCTTCTGGTTCTGGGAAAAAAGATGGCCTTGATAATTGCACAAATTTTTCTATTATTGTTGAAGGGTTATAAGGTACATACAAAAAACTGTGCACTTTGCATAAATCTGCAAAGGGGTTTATGTTTTATGGCCAAATTGCTTTAAGTGACTTCTCTGGAACTAATTAAGTGATGGATAAAACCATTTTTGGTTTGGAGCCCTCTTTAGTGGTGGAGGATTCAAAATGTACCAGCTGAAAAGCATTTTTGGGCATTGTCAGGCAGGTGTCAAGGTTGCTGTTGCATATGAAAATACAATTTTGCTTTCTTGTGTTTTTTCGGATAATAACATAAGAATGAATTGTCACACAAATTAAGTTCAAACTTGGGGTATTGGGTGCCCTTGTAATTACAAATAAGCCTATTGATTTAAGGGGTGGACATGCAGTCAGAGGTCAAGTCACCATTGCTTGAAAGAAATGTTTGCTATTTAAAAATGTATTGTCATACGGAGGAGTGGTATATATTGGACCATAAGGGTTGCCTCTGCATGCCAAGCAAGCAACCACACATATATACCAGGTATGAGTTATATATGGTGTGGATCTGTGGATTATATCTGTGATAATATACATATAAGAGGCCGCTGATCAGTTATATCTTATCAGATATAATATGTACGATTATGTCCTTACTTTCCTAGGGTGAGGGTACCCAAAATGGAATACTTTTAATTATATATGATGCAGCATTTTTTATTTTACAATTTTGAGCAAATTTCATCTGCCGCAGTGAGTGACCTCTCAAACTCAATTGAAATATTAAAAAATAAATGAGATAGGGAAAGTGACCTACGGCTACACGTGATTACGACACGCCCCCGTACAAATCGAAAGTTGGACACGTGGTAGGCCTAGTATCGTTGCCAGCCTCGCTGTCATAGTACAGACTAGTGCCAATATAATCCCCCCGAGTATGATATCTCTTACCCAACTTAACAAGATGCTGTTAAAATCGACATTAAAATACCAGTAGAATATTTTAACCAAAGACTGCCCATATATTTAATTTAGTTGGTTGCATCATCACAATAAACCATAGGCTAACGCTAAACGGTCGACCTTGACCTTGTTTTACACTGCCTTATTTGTATAAACTTGAAACCACGTTGTCGCTACACAACAGGACGTTGAAGCAGAGAAGTTGATTTCATCATTCTGTACTTTACGGCCCGGGATACTGGTACTATCTGTGAGAACATTGTAACGGGTAACTGAACTTCAATAACCGAACATAGATGTTTTAATCGGCAGGAGGAAAGACGGATTAAAATAGGACAAAAACATGGCTTCAAACGAACAGTATGATTCGGTGCCACTGGAAATGAGAGACAGATCACAGAAATCCAGTGAATCCTCGGACACGGGAAAAGATGAAGCCGTTAACTTAAAACAAAAAATCACACTATTAAATGGTGTCACGGTTATAGTTGGTAGTATTATAGGATCGGGTATTTTTGTGAGTCCGAAAGGAGTTATGCAGGACGCTGGAAGTGTGGGACTTTCACTGATCATTTGGGTATTGTGTGGACTATTTTCAATGGTAGGAGCTTATTGTTACTCGGAATTGGGAACCTCTATTCGTCGATCAGGCGCTGATTATGCCTACATGTATGAAGCCTTTGGACCTGTTGTGGCGTTTTTAAGACTATGGATTGAATGTATGATTGTGAGACCATGTTCTCAAGCAATTGTTGCACTCACCTTTGCTTATTATGTCATTGAACCATTGTTTCCTGATTGCGAACAGCCTTTAATTGCAGTACGATTACTAGCAGCAGTTTGTATATGTAAGTATCAGTAGGGTTCCTTAATAGATTTGACTTTATGGGATCATGGCCATTCACATTACAGGCAACATGGGTTTGATTTTCAGACATTTATAATTCATTTATTACCATACATTACTCTTTGTGGACGGATTTAATCATAGATATGATAATGATCGGAGACTTAGAAAGTAGGGTGTGTCCACACTGTATTAGCCTCGTCCCTCACTCAGTATATATATACATACCTATAATAATTTATTATGGTGAGGTGTATTGACAGATGAGGCTTAAGTACCTGAAGGTGTAACAGGTTCAATTCCTGATTGATTCTGGCAGTACCAGTTCGTTTAGGAACTGTGATGTACAGATGTTTTGATACTTTTAAAAAGTTGTTTAATTTCTTCCTTGTTCATAGATTTTTGGCATTCATCTTTACATTTTAACTCCTGTTCACCTTTTTGTGTCCTGTGTGTTTCTGTTAAATATGTTAAAAAACAAGTTTTAAGATCTTTCAACATTTTTTGTCTTTAACAAAAGTGTACTGAAACATCCTTTTCTTCGATTTGAAAACAAGGGGATGATTAGACACCATGATTATGTATGAAAATAAGTGAAAAAATGCAAGGGTGCAAGCCCCATTCTTTTTGACAAAGCTATTTCATGCATCTATGTATTCAAGTTATAGTTACTTGGAACCTAACTTTTGAAAAGGCTTATATTTGCTATATTTATCACATGTCAGACTAAGTGTTACAACATCATGTTATAGCCATCTCTGACATTAATATTATGAACCTCACTGGGTAATATTTGTGTTTGTGAGTGAACATGTTATAAAGGGAGGGAAAGCAGGGGAATTCCTCTTTATTTTGGTAAAAGCATGCATAGCAGACTAGGAAGTTCAGGGTTACTTGTTCGATCCCTAGTTTGAACAGAAACACACATTCCCTGTCACGCCGAAGAGATCTTTTTAAGTCCATTACTTGACTGTAGTCCTTAAGAAGGACCTTAATTCTAGATATTTTCAAGATATCTTCCCCCGAAATTGCACCCAAGTTTTGATTTGCCCTACAGCTCCTAATCAGTTATTCTTTAAGGAACAAAACTAGAAGATTGATAATGCTGGAAGATACTGAAATATACTGCCTACTTTGTGTGGGATACAAACATGATGAGTTGATGACATATGGGCAGGTTGGTCAAGTGGTTAACACTTTGGCCTTCCACGCAGGTGGCCGGGGTTTGATCCCCGAAGTCGTCGTATGCATGGAATATTCAGAGAAAGTGTTTTTTCTCCTGCCCACACAACTCCAACAACCCAGGTGGAGTATAAATTGGTCTTGGGAGGATGTTGCTGTATATACATCTGTGCTGTATCGGTATCTGTGTAGTGAGGTGGCACTATAAATGATACCGTTAGAAGCATGGTCCCACTACAAACAGAACACACAATCTCCAGCACACACGCAGGCATACACACTAGAGGGAGATATTAGCCAGGTGGCATAGGACTTGTAGTTAGCACCTGATAAGACAGCTCATGCGAATTCCTCAAAAATTGTATTGACTAATGTATATAACAGGTATATGCTTATTGTATTAATTGAATAATGTATGTAATGTAAAATGTGGCTTATTAAGTTATGTTAGCTACATAGGGCGCTATATCAAATGCTGTATATTATTATTGTTCAAATATTACCAGTAGTAAAAGTAAAACCCTTGTGTATAGAAGATATATATCAGGTTATGTAAAATGTTGAAGTCCATTTAACTGACAAATTATTACAGTCCAAGGTTCTGATAACTTCTCAACAGGTAACAAGTGTGTTTTCAAATTTTAACCATTTATTGGTAAATTATTTTCCATAGAGAAAATTAGAAAAATTCCCCATCTTGTAAAATTCTCCCTGAAAATGATTTTGCTGTAACAGCAACTGACACATTCTATGATTTGTTATCTTAATAAGAGTCCCCTTGAGCCAATATTTTGAGTGTCCTTTGTACTGATTATGGCAAATATATATGTATAAATCTGAGTGTATGTCATCTATGAAAATGTTATCCTATGCTATACTATATATTTGAGAGAGAAAAAAGTGTCTCTTATTCTATAATTTCTTATGATATTGCTTTGTTATTTAATTCTATTTAATGTCAGCATTTTATTGTTGTATCTGGCATTTAACTGTCATGATCATGTGATTGTGAATTGGAAGCAACTTAAGATTTTTTTGCCATCATATTTGTATTGAGACTGTTGGGATGTATTGAAGATAATAGAATATACTAGAATGTAAAGCACCAAAGTACCACCTGTTTTACACATAGTATTGTGCAGTATGTCTCCCAAGAGGTTGTTGTTAGGGCACCGACCTTGACCTTTGACCACAGCACCACCGACTAAATCTTGGCATCTTGGCATCGCACAATAGACTTGTATACAGACCAGCAGTGCTCTAGTTCTGTGCATGCTTGTCAGTGAAATGTACATTCTCAATATCTGTACTGGTCATGCTTTTTCACATCTAAAATATAACTTTTACATGTGTTGGTCTTTCTTGGTACCTCAGTTTTCACAAGGTGCTAGTTGTTCACTCAACTGTACTGTAATTAGCTTGATGTTTGTACCCCAACAATTCCTTATCTCGGGTTACAATGTACCCTATGTACTAAAAAACTAAGGGGGAACACTGAGTAAAGGTGAAATGTTTAAACAGTATTAGTAATAGAAAATCTTCAACTTGAATATCTAGTTCTAAACATCCAAATATGTATGTTTGAATTAAATAAATTATCAGATATGTATTTATTGATATATTTATATGACAGTCCTGGAGTATGAGATGCTGTTCACTTTTGATATTTAACAGCCCTCCTTGAATCCAGTTTCCATTATCTCTCATTTTGTTTCTGATGATCATGAGCAGTAATTATAATTATGTCAGGAAGGTTAAGAAATTAAGGTCAGACTCTTTCAGGTGTAATGTTATGGGTAATTAAACACTGGGAAAGGAGTTATATTTATATTGTGGACTAAGCTGGCAGTAAGGGGAGGAATATATGACACCGATTAGGCGATACCCTGCTTCGACACCTTAAACTCTTCGTAACCATCTTCAGGATCACCTATATTTGCCCATGGTAATGGTTAGGAAACACTCATTTCAGACAGACAGTTTTTGTTGGTATGGTCATAAAGACAGGTAAACAGGTTAATCACAGCTTTCCATGAAATGTTTATATATTTAGGTTGCTGCCTACCAAAATGTTAAGTTCATAATATCTTATACTTTTAAAAGTCAACATGGGGAAGTGGGCTCTTATCTTTAATGTCCACATAGATGTTTTGTTTTGGTTTAGACTGGCCGGATGCAGAGGTATTTTACTTGTTTGGGGATTTCACTTTAATATAATAAAGTACAGGATGTGATGGATTAATATGATAATAATGTCCCGTAAATATTGTCAACTTGTCAACTGTGTAAAATGTCGTAGAGTGATATTCAAAAGTACACAACAGGCAGTTCATTGTGATCAATTTATATCAACCAGCATGCATTAAGGCCAAACAAAATACCTGTTTTAGTTTAAGGTAGGACAAATCTTTTTGTTTGATACAAAGGTTCTATAGTATCAGCATTTCAGACGCTTATTGAAAAATGAGTGAAAAAGTATGAGGAGGATAGGAACTAAAATCTAGGGTTGAAATACATGGGTAGGTGTAGGTATGTATACTGTTATGTACAGTATGTAATACGAATAGGTTAGGTACTGTTTTACACTGTAAAACATGTTCATAAGTGAGTAGGAAAAGACAGGTCACACCTGGTCCAAGATTGATTCAATATGATCAATATGTACTGTTACATGACGTACACACTGAGTCTATGTATAATGGAGCGTCAGTATCTTTATCTAGATACATAATACAATAACTACATTAAAAAGTAAGGATGGTCAGTGTTAGACTGTTAATGCTAACCTTATGAAACGTTGGGTTGAGCAGCATACAGTAATATATAGGTACGTAGGAAAACAAATTTCAGTTTAATATCTAGATAACGTTCTTCCCCCTTGACTGTCATTATTTATTTATAATGGAAAGCAATTGTGACGTCATCAGGAAATTAAAACAGTAACAACAGATTTGATATGATACATGTATAGCAACACATCTGTAACATCACAAAAGTAAATAAAATCCATTATAAATGTATACCCAACCCATGTGTAGTGTGATTGTAACATGTTGATGGATACATTACCTTTTCTTTCTCTGAATTGTTGATTGTGTAGAGTTTGTTTGGGGTCCCCTGCTTTGACCATAATACATACATGTAGTACATAATGTATTTTCTTTATTCTGTAGTTCTTTCAGTCCATTTATCTCATAAACGAGTACATGTATAATCCAATTGATACAAACCTTTCTGAAAGTACAAATTAATTGTTTGCTGAATTCAGTTTTAAAAAATTGGTATATATGTAATATATGTAAGATGATAGAAGTTTGCTGTGTATGAATATCGCCCACACTTGATTGGTCGAAACTTTATATGCATTTGATAAAAAACTTTTGTCTTCTATAACTGTGAATTAATTGATCAGAAAAGGCTAATCAATGTACAAACATTGGGAGGCTGGTAGACAAAACAACATCATGATAAGTGATGATCAGGTATATAAATAAGTGTTATACATTGTATGATAGGACTTACCACTTGTACAATAATTATTAACATTTTGAATAAATGAATTAGCCCTGTTGTTATATTGCATCATTTTGTTGAAGTTTTAGTTATAAATAATGTTTTATTTTGTAATACAAAAGCCAGGTGTATACATGTAATTCCACTTTCCCAGAACTCGGACAGAGCTAGTAGATGTTATATCAGGGCCTGTGAAAATATGCAGTATTTATTATGAAAATAAAAGTCTGGCTTGGTTAAAAAAAATCAAAATCTGACTGTGAGCTATTTTGCATATAATGACTCAAAGTAAACTGATATCGTAATGTTATTCCACATATCTGTTGTCACTTTTTAGCCCACCATCAGATGATGGTGGGCTATTCAAATCACCCTGCGTCTGTGGTCCGTCCGTTGTCCGTCCTTAAACAATTCTTGTTATCAGTATTTCTCAAGAAGTACGGTACCAGAGGGATCTTTCTCAAATTTTATATTTAGGTTCCCCTTAGTCCATAGCTGTGCAGGGCCTTTTTTGAGACTGATCGGATAAACAACATGGCCGACAGGCAGCCATCTTGGATTTTGATAGTGTAGGTTTGTTACCGCTATTTCTCCGGAAGACCTAGAGGGATCTTTCTTAAATTTCATATGTAGCTAGGTTCCCCTTGTTCCTAGCTGTGCAGGGCAATTTTAGAGACTGATCGGATAAACAACATGGCCGACAGGCAGCCATCTTGGATTTTGATAGTGAAAGTTTGTTATCGCTATTTCTCGGGAAGTACGGGAGGGATCTTTCTCAGATTTTATATGTAGGTTCCCCTTGATCTCTCGTTGTGCATGTTATATTTTGAGACTGATCATAAAAACAAAATCGATTAATAGAAGAACTAAACAGATCTTTCTCATATTGCAATGATCGATTCTATTTCTTTCACTTAATTTAAGTACTGTACTAGTAAATATGTGAAATGACAAACTCACTTTGAAAGTTGGCTTTCATACACATCAGTATTAAGTTTAGATCAAAAATTACCTCAAGGTGCATTTACTGTTAACATGACTCGATCAAACAGATAAGAGGAAAGAAGAGAAAAGATCGAACTGACAAAGAACTAATGAAGGTGGTAAAAAGGTGGGCGCCAAGATCCCTCTGGGATCCCTTGTAATATTGAATTATGGCAACAGATGCTTTGATTTCATCTTCCCCAACACTGTAAAATCATGGAAAGTAATCAGTTGAAAAGCTTTGTGGTGTGTCATTTGGTGCAGTAAATTTGTCGTTAATTAATTCTCAATTTATATTATTTCTAATCTTTATTTTTTGTTATTTTCCAGTAATTTTGATGTTTGTCAACTGTATGAGTGTACGATGGGCCACTCGAGTACAAGATGTGTTCACATATGCCAAAGTTCTCGCCCTTGTTCTAATTATCATTACTGGATTTGTACAGCTAGGTAGAGGTAAGTCATTTGTTAAACATACTTGTAATTTTTTTTATGACTAAAGAAAATACCATATTTTTCTGTTGTCATTTTGTCAATATGGTTTGATTAATAATTTTCTTGGCTTTTAAATTTTCTGCAGATCTCCGTTAAATATTTCCCTGTTATATTAGGTCTTTAATGAAAAAACTTTATAAACAAATACATTGTGTTTTGTGATATAACGGGATATGACGACGCAACATGATTTGATATTAAATATATTCATAAGGATATTTTGTGTTGGTATTTAAAAATACTTGGTATAATACGTATGTATTGCTGGCATGTAATTTGTTGTCACATGAAAGCTGAACTTTATTTGAAGTGTTGGTTAGTTCTGTGTTTTGATTACTTATATTATGGTATTTGACTGTATAAAGTAGAGCTCTGTAATCCAATCACCACCAGTCTGGATACCAGCCTTCTTTGTTGTCCGACAATTTTGTCTCCACAAGTCCAGTACTGGTTGTCCTGCAATGCAGTTTCCACAAGTCTATTTGTCACACAATTCAGTCTTCACCAGTCCAGTTGTCCCACAATGTAGTCTTCACCTGTCCAGTGTCACACAATCCAGCCTCCACTAGTCCAGTGTCACACAATCCAGCCTCCTCCTGTCCAATTGTCCCACAATTCAGTCTTTACCAGTCCAGATGTAACACAATTAAGTCTTTACCAGTCCAGTGTCACACAATCCAGCCTCCACTAGTCAAGTTAATTTACAATTCAGTTTCCACCAGTCCAGTATCACACAATCCAGCCTCCACCAGTCCAGTGTCACACAATCCAGCCTCCACTAGTCAAGTTATCTTACAATTCAGTTTCCACTAGTCCAGTTATCTTACAATTCAGTTTCCACCAGTCCAGTTGTCACACAATTCAGTTTCCACTAGTCCAGTTATCTTACAATTCAGTTTCCACCAGTCCAGTTGTCACACAATTCAGTTTCCACTAGTCCAGTTATCTTACAATTCAGTTTCCACCAGTCCAGTTGTCACACAATTCAGTTTCCACTAGTCCAGTTATCTTACAATTCAGTTTCCACCAGTCCAGTTGTCACACAATTCAGTTTCCACTAGTCCAGTTATCTTACAATTCAGTTTCCACCAGTCCAGTTGTCACACAATTCAGTTTCCACTAGTCCAGTTATCTTACAATTCAGTTTCCACCAGTCCAGTTGTCACACAATTCAGTTTCCACTAGTCCAGTTATCTTACAATTCAGTTTCCACCAGTCCAGTTGTCACACAATTCAGTTTCCACTAGTCCAGTTATCTTACAATTCAGTTTCCACCAGTCCAGTTGTCACACAATCCAGCCTCCACTTGTTCAGTTATCTTACAATCTAGTACCAATGTCATGGACCCAGCCTGCAATAGCATAGTCTATTACTATCGTAGTTGTCTCACAATCCAAAAAACCTGAAGCCTTGTGCTGAACCTCAGGAATTTTCCCCTCAAGTTGAGATTTCTCTGTCTACACATTGTGGTACTTTGTATTAATTGTGTATGATAATTTAATTAAGGTTGGTTTTGATTTCAGGAGAAGTAGAGTATTTCCAGGACCCTTGGGCACACACGCAGACCGACATTACAAGGATTGCGCTGTCATTTTACTCGGGACTATTCGCATATAACGGCTGGTATGGACTTCGTAGCTCTCTTAAATGACAGTTCGGTGCAGTCAAATTTTGAAATATATCTAAGTTTTATTTACTGGTTCAAGAACCAAGAGATACTTCTTCATGAAGCTGTCATAATGGTATTGACTTCAGACAGAAGTTAAACTGTTCCATGTAACTTCTACATTTAAATTTCTAGAGTTTGGTATACAGTATAACTGTAAGACGAACAACAAATTATGAAATTATTTTGGTAACATGATTAACATATTCTTGTGTGTACATATATTTATATTACTTAATTTCTGTTTGATAGGAACTATCTGAACTTCGTAATTGAAGAATTACAGGAGCCTAAAAAGTAAGTTACGAAAGTGAGAGCCTATAATGATAGTGCAACAGACAGATTAATACATCTTCTTTTAAATGTAACTTTTTCACAGGAATGAGTTAAAGGCCACCCTGGAAGTATTAATGGAGCCTCGAAAATTGACCCAATACTGTGTATGTTACAGCTTTATTTGTCTAAGACTAGCTAGGTACACCGGTGAAATAACTGCACATGTGTGACTGTCCTATCTCAGGATCACTGCTGTTATTGTGTTTTATCTCTCAATTATATTTTATTATACTTCAGTTTCTGTTTATATGTTGGGAAACCTTTTATTATTATCGTTACTTCTATAAATTTCAACACATTACGGCTACATTGCATGCTGTACAGCTGGAATACTACCCGTGTAATGGAGTGGACATGATATGTTTCTAGGTATACCTTGTATGTTTCTTAGCTTCTTTGCTCGTGTGGTGTCGGTAGTTGTTATGTATTGTATTGTGACGTGATCAGCTCGTCAATATTCTTTAATTGTTGAAGACAATCTTGTGAAGATGTAATTGTAAGGGAGTTTTAAGTTCACAGTCTGTAATCTCACTGGTGATGTGAGGGATAGTGTGTACCAGATGTTTGACCTAAGGAATAAATCAATATGTTAACTGTCACAGCATCTAATCTGTATTCTACCAACACTACCTGTACACTGAACTGTGTCGTCATCCGACACATCACACAGACTCAAAAGTGCCCACGTAGGCTGTTGAGTCTCTAAAAAATGAACACAGACAAACTGTTGCCTATTTTTAAGTCAAGTTTATGTCATTAGCATGTATCACATGTCGCTTGATGTGAAAAAAATTGACAACCAGTCTAGGTTGACAATGAGGTGAATGCATGAATGTTAGAATTGAGGTGAACTAGCGTCATCTGTTAACATGTTCTAACAATACCTGTATATGGTAGAACTTGATATGTATGTGTACTGTGTAATTCAGGTAAAATAAAAGTATTTCAAGGTCAGTGGTTCCCGAGTATTTCAAGGTCAGTGGTTCCCGTCCTACATACATTTAATAGACCTGATAATTGGTTGATACACATGATGTTGTTATGTACCTTTTCAAATTGTTTGCATAACGACAGAGTTTCTTGGCTTAAATATTTTCATTCATGCATGTCTGTGGTGCATTTGATATGCATTAATTAAAGTAATAACACCTGTCTAGGCACATGGCACTGCTCTTGTTGACCTGTCAGTATTCTAGTATTATCTGAAAGTGAACATGCATACCACTACATCATACATGATACATTGTAGCAGATTTATGCAAAGAAAGTTTTGTTCTTTTAAGAAGCAACAGCTAAACTGTAAAGAGATTCCAGGTATGAAGAAGCTATATGATAATTAACGTACCTTTGGTAGTAACGTAATGCTAGTCTATTTGGTCCCAAACCTGCCATACTATTGATACCACAGAAGAATCCTCTCAAATATCTGTGGCAATGTATTGGTTTCTTCTTGTTTGGGACGTAGTGAATATGAAACACTGATTCGTGTTTGATACAGTAGATTGTATAGAACTGTCTTGTCATACCATTACTTTGGTCGTCACAATCATCTACAAAATACAAGATATTTCTTGACCCGGACAAACAAACCAATTACAGTATTTACATGTTAAAAGGCATGTTTAAACATAACTGATGGTAGACTGAGATTACACCAACATTACCTGACAGTTCTATTAATAGACAACATGCCGACTCGAAAATATTTTCATAAGGTATATGCATGTGACAGTTACAAAACCTAACGAGAGATATATCAACCTTTTCCGCAAACATAATTGGAGTGTTATAGCAAAGTAGACTATCTGTGATCTGGGTAAGGTATTTACCTTCCAATTTTGTCAGGAACCAGGTTGATATATATGCAGATAACCTTAAGACCAGACAGCAGACCCAATTGAATGCCTTATTTTAGCTTGCTTTAGTTGTCATTTGGCCTGCTACTGGACAGGACTATGGGTTTGCACTCAGTCTGTCAGTCAGTTGGAGTGAATTTGTTAGTCCATCAAGTAGAGCTAGCACCCATGGACATAAGACTTCAGGGGAGTGCCCTGTTACAGTTGTAAAAATTCAGTAGATTTAATCAGTTAACACCTAGTTCCTCTGAGAGTTAAAAGATTTTTTTTTCAAAAATTAATTAAAATGACCTTAACAGATAATTTCCATACATTAAAAACATCTGTGTCAATTTGTTCTAGGCATATCTTAACCCTTTCACCCCTATATACCTTTAGTAAACTCAACCATGCATTTATCTAAATGAGTCCATTATTTCTAGTGGTGAAAGGGTTAAATACTGTTGTCATTTATAACGGTAATATTTTGAATGCGAGAACCTCTTGGCGTAGTGTCGTCTCCTAAAAAAGTGTTTTTTGCCAAATTCAATACATAGTTATGGCCCTTTGATAACCAAGAATTGCTTCGTTTGGGTTATTTTCCCGGTGGGGGACTATAGTTTTGCGTTGTGTCCTTCCATCCTTCCGTTCGTCCTTCCGTTCGTCCTTCCGCTATCTTGTCCAGGCTCTATCTCCTACACTACTAGTCACTGGAACTTCATACTTGGTGTATGGGTTCACCTTGGTGAAGCGTTGTGTCATGTATCAAAAGTAGGTCACTCTGACTTACATTTTGACCTTTGACCTACATCAAAGAAAAAGTTTGTCTGAGCTCTATCTCCTACACTACTAGTAACTGGAACTTTATACTTGGTGTATGGGTTCACCTTGTTGAGGATATGTATCAAAGAAAATGTTTGTCTGGGCTCTATCTCCTACATTACTTGTCACTGGAACTTCATACTTGGAGTATGGGTTCATCTTGGTGGGGCGGTGTGTCGTATATCAAAGTAGGTCACTCTGTTTTTGGCCAGGTCACTGACACTATTCCTTATTGAATCGGTGGGTCTGTCAAACATTCATATGTAGAATTAGTTCCTGCACAAATTTATCATCTGTGCATTTCACCTTCAGTGGGGGACTATAATTCGCTGAATTGTCTTATTTCTCTTATCTTCACACAAGTGATGGGCAATTGGTTTAAAATCATAATCAGTAATCCGTTTATAATCAGAAGTATTAAACCGATTGATGATCGATTGCATAATCAGTTTATAATTTTATTGGACTGAATACCCAATTAAAGTAAGAACGCCACTGATACATCAATAGACAGAGTTATTAACTGTATATTAGGTTTCATTCCTTTATAATGCATGGATTTCAAGTAATTGTTATGTAGTTTTGTCAATTATATAATAAAAATCATAAAAATAAATTTCTTTCAAATTTCGATGTATACTTTCAATTTGACACTTTGATTTAAATAATGAACCAGTTGTATCGATTATGGAATTGGTAATTGGTAATCGGAATTGGAAAGGGCAAACCGATTAATTTTTAGGTCACCTGAGCTTTGCTCAAGTGACCTGTTCTGATCGCTTTCCGTCCGTAGTCGTGCGTTGTGCGATGTGCGTAAACTTTTTACATTTTCAACTTCTTCTCCAAAACAAGTTGATGGAATTTTTTCAAACTTGGTTAGATTCATCCTTGGTAGATGAGGCTACATAATTGTAAAATTGGGATACCTCCCCCAACCCAAGGGGCCAGGGCGAGGCCCCAAAGGGAAAGTTAACCAATATTTAAAAAAAACTTCTTCTCCAGACTCAGATGTACTACAGTCAATTTCTACGCATAGATGGAAAGATCATCAGGGGCTTTGTTAAAATTGTAAATTTCAGCACCCCTGGGACATCCGTTACCCCTTGGGGAGGGAGTAAAGTTTACTATAGTTTATATAGGGAAATAACACTTTTGGCTATATTTTGTCCATTTTCAGCAGGGAATTATTCAAACTTGGTTGGAATGATTATGATGCCATATGGCAATTAGATGGTATGAGAAAATAAGACACTGCCCCATCCCCAGGGGCTGGAGGGGTAGGGCCCAAATGGGGATTATAGTTAAAAAATCTTCTTCTTCAGACTCAGATGTTTTACTGTTCTTGGATAGAATGGTCCTTACCTAAATTACCATTACCTAAATTGTAAATTTCATTATCCCCCAGGTCATCTGCTCTCCATTGGGGAGAGGGTGTATTCTCACTAGCAAAATGATTTATTTGAATAGTTTTTAAAGTTCTTATCCTTTGGTGACATGACAAGTATTGTATTTCACTTTGTTTACATGTTGTTTTCCACATTTTGTACATCTCAACAATGAAATTGAGCTACAAGTTCCTTTAATATAACTTGGGTGACCGCTAAGACCCTTGGGCCTCTTGTTTATCATAATCACGAATTGACACCTACAATTTTGCCAGATATTGCATTTCAATACTTCTTCGGATGAGGAAGTAATTGGGAGTATTCAGAAAGTGTGTCCTCCCTACTGTTTACAGAAATAATTTACCAGTAGTTTCCTGTATTGGCTATGACATAGTAGACACATGCATTATACATAATTATCAGCGGGGTCCCAGCAAAGCCTTCGTAGTGTTTAAGTTAATATGGTTCTCAAGCTACTTTAAATCCTGAAGTCATTCAGATGGCTTTAAACATACAAAACAAGTTTGTCAAGTCCAGATAAAAATAATGGGGTAGCGACTTTAAAGGCTATGATATAGAGATAACACTGTTTAGGTGCTTTAAATGCTCCATATTCGTGACATTACGTGAACCTTTGATTATGTAACACAAGTAGACAGACTAGCAATAAACAGAATGTTGGATTTATTCCAGACATATCCAACCCAATTTTTCACGGGTAGTAGAGTTAACCCAAACTAAATATCGAGATCTGTGAATGGCCTAGGACTTGTACTATACATATTTCCTCATGTTGTATTAAGGTTAGATCCGTATCCATTATGCATGCATGCATAGCTGGCAGTGGCATCCTGTGACGATGTGTCACTTTGATGTTCTGTATGTTCCAAGTGACTGACTTACCATGTGGATATTTTTGTATCTGTCTTAGGGGTGATAATATAAGTTCAAGGTCAAGCAATATTTATGTGTGGAAGTTTGTATTTGAATTGAATTGAAGCCCTGAACAAGACAGGATGATCATTTTGCAGTTTAATATTTGCTATGTATTATGAATCTAGGTCCATGTATAAATAGTAAATTGTAGAAGTCTTCAAAGTTCAAACCCATGTAATTTATCAAAGCTCTAGATGTAATATGTATGGAGATACTTGTTCTCTCTGGATTCGACCAGGTTTTAGAGACACGTCACATGGTATGGGGACATGTGTACTTCTGGTCAATATCAATGATCTGACAGCTGTTACAGTGATACGTGTATACACGTACTTGTCAGTAGATATCCCTTTCATGAAAAATGTGAAATTTCAGCTGTTTCCATCCAAATTTACCATTTTTTTCAGTGCATCAAAGTTGACTCATCGTTGATTTACCTTCCAATGAGAAGAATACCTGATAATTTCCTCCTTTATGTACAACATGGCTACCAAGTCATGTGACTTTTGTTCCAGAAACTTGTATTCTGGAAACAACATAAAAGTACCACATTGTTGGGATCATCAAGTTTTGTGATCAAAGCTTGAACAAGCAGTTTTAGGATGAAAGTAATCCATATAAAAAAATGGTTGCATTTGATGAAGTGTGTTTGTAAATGAAATTCTCCAAGATGTTTTCGGTATGTTACTCTGAACAACCATGAGGGACTCTTTATGGATGTGGCTTAGATTTGTGATCGTTTTTACCTATCTTCCTCCATTACACTTACTTTCTGTAACAATGGTCAAGAACCTGACCTAGTCCCTATCAAATAAATGTGTAATATATACATGTAGGCTGTTCCTATGGTGATTTTAGATGGGGGAGAGATTAACATAATACACATATAGGTACACATATCTTGACTTGAGAGATTGGACGAAGGTTAGAAAGACGACACAAAAACAACTGTACTGTTCTACCATATTGTAACTGTCTTCTGTGGTGAAATGTAGTACATCTACTTCAGTCGTTTAGGCAAAATCTGGTTCAAATTAGACTTGTTTGTATATATTGCCATGTACGTGTCCTGCTTTCTAAATCCTGTAGGGGACAGACTTTATCCAGAATCTTAACAATAAAATATAGAATAACGTGATTTATGTTGTAGATTACATACACTGCTGTTATGTATTACAAAATGTATTTTGTTATTGCATAATTCACATGAAGCATCGATCACAAATTCAAATATCGTGAACAACTATATATTTCTACATAACAGAAGCAGGTTGAAACACTACTATGTCCTCACACATACATGCAGAAGTCAGTCTGCAAAATTAAATGGGTTGAAAATTTAAGTTACCCAATATTAATGTTCTCTTATGAACTTCTACAGGCAACTTCATTTTGTATATACATACACAACATAGGCAATGGGGCAACTTATCTCGTTCTTGATCGTCTAACTTGCGACAAACATACATGCCATTAGTCAACAAAATGACGGAGCTAAAAACCTTGCTTATTATGCTAATACACAGCAAACTGTCAAATATATGATAATTTTACAATTATGTGTTCAGTATATGATTGGAGTACTGTAGAAGACTATCAGAGAAAATTCAGACAGGTTGGGAATGGTACTGTCTAAATCAGATACATTTTACAGGTAAACTGATTTCCATCAGGTAGAAACAAAGTTTTCGTACTAAGCTTTGGTTGTCAATAGATGTTCACAGCCAAATAAGAAATAAACTAATTGTTCAGAGTAGAGGTGCTACAGTTCACTTCGCTCACAATATGATACAAATCCTGATACAAATCTCTACAACATATTATATGTATATCTGGATATTTGATACATTAAAATGAATGAAAAATGAAACTGTAAAACCTGTCTTGTTATGAATGCCACAGAGAATCTAAGTATAAAGACGTTTATATAGATGTTGTTCTGCCAGCCCTGTATTTGTATGCTCACGTATCCCTGTGTATAATGCTATGTATAAGATGTAGATTGAACTCAGATCAATTGTATACCCATGTTGTAGTTTTATTGTAAGTATAAGCTCCATCTGACACATTAAATACTGTGCTTGTGTTTTTAAGGTTCTAATGAATTAGATATGACAAGTGATATATTTTGCTATAATTCTTATCTGATAAAAAGTTGAGTCATATAGTTGTCACCTTTCTGACAGAAGCTTACTTGGGACGGGTGGTAAGCTTCTTGGGACGGGTGGTCACCTTTCTGACAGAAGCGTACTTGGGACGGGGGGACTATTCATGCTGTTGCAACAAATTTTAGCACCCCACAAATTATTTAAAATAATAAAATCATAAAATTTTGACTTGCAAAATCAAAATGCTGACCAGTACTTTGATATAGGCAAGGATTGCCAATGAAGTACTACCTATTAACAATACTTTCAATTAAGCTTTTTTTTTATTGCAAGTTTCTATCTGATATATTGTCAACCAATTGGTGATTTACATGCTTAAAAGGATCTGTTACAAACCTTTGACTTTTTCATATACAGTCGTATAAAAAAACTAACTAAACATCACAAGATGTAATTTGATTTGTACTTTCATTCTCATTTTCTATCATGACTGAGTTGTATGGTACACTCTTCAAATAAATCTCAGTTGGACAAATTGACAATTTTCCAGGGAGTTACAGAATATTCAGATGCCATTGATACTTTACCAAATGAAAAAATAACATGTCAGACAGTCCCAGTGGTGAAATGTGATCTTTATTGTAATTTGGTTGGGGTTGTGGACAAATAAAAAACCTACAAAACATCATGTTGTTTTTTTGCCTCACCTGGTCAGGAATCTATGCCAAATTCCAGACACTGGAATACATGTCAGTATTGGCTCAGCTTTGTTATACATTGGTATCTGAGTCTGAGGACCGTGATATAGAAATCCTATAAAGAATGGGTGGAAATGACCCTTCACAGGACCTAACACAGCTTTATATTAACGGGATGAATTGAAATTGTGACAGGTCAATCACAGTACATATTTACTCTATTAATCCTCCCTTTGGTTTGATATAGGCTTGCTCAGTAAAAATAATGGTTTTACTTTGTTCGCTTTAGACAATGTACACCTAGTGATCATGTTCTTTAATGACCTTAGCTGTTAATAGGATGTTTAAAAAAAATAATGATACCCACTCAAAACTGCTTATATATATATATATCAGATCATGTTGTTGATGGTTAGATATGGACTTGATAGACTTATTGTATATTTAAGTGTTGTTAATTTGATTGATACTGTACATTATGGGATTAGTTCTCAATATGTCCGATGTTTGTGTTTATAAGCGGCTCAAATACAATACACTACATCAAGTTGCTAGTTGTAGTAACACATACTGTAGTGGTTTGTTGTTGACAAGTCACAAAGAGTGGAGTTCCGTTTGCAGTCTCCATTAGATTTCCTATACACATATGTGTCGACCTACTATGTACTGTACACGTATGTGTCGACCTACTATGTACTGTACACGTATGTGTCGACCTACTATGTACTGTTAACAAATTGTTAATGTCCTCAATTGTGTAGAATTCAAAACAACTGAATAAAATGAAAACTTCTCGAGAAAAAACAACCTTTATGTGATATCTCTTAATAATGGTTTTATTTCAACTATTCCAGCAGGTACACAATACAACCTTGATAATGTTTTTTTCTAAATGGGTTAAAATTTAACAAACTACTATACATATTGTATTAATTGATTATCTAGTATTTATAGCTCATCCTCAATGCAGAATTGGTCAAAATTATCACATGTTGCAATCGAACTGTACCGCCTAGAATTATTTAGACAAAGATTTTCATCAGGCACAAGTATAGTTTTTACTGCTAGGACCTGTTTGAGGTATTCAGTTTGTTGAGTCTGGGTGTATACATTTTTAATGAAATCACACAAAAATCTGAAGTATTTTGATCAGTGACCCATCTCATTAATACAGTGACTATAGTATACAAGGCAGGACCGGGAACCACCTTCTAATACGGCAGGTTTCGGTTCTATCCAGCTAAATTTGACCATTACACTTTCATTGGATGTTTTTCGCCCCTTTCTCCAAACATGTGGCAAATTATTCAGTTGGAGATTAAACTATTACAACATTAACTCAGTGACCTCTGAAGTTTCATAATGAACTATTCCAACCTTTGAATTGGAAGGGTTTAAATGTGTCTTCGGGGGTGAATGAGTTAATATTTCCATTTCTGTGAACTGATTTTTGTGTTTATAGATAATTATATCTATAGTCATCAGTACACCTGTGTTGTAATGTTGCAATAGTATAAATTAACTCACTATTAAAATGCAAATGCTTTCTGTGTAAAAAAATAAATATTGTAGAACACAATCTTACAACGCTTTGTGTGCCTTTACAGAAATCTACCCAAGGCTATCTGGATCTCCATCATCCTGGTAACGGTTGTTTACGTCCTGGCCAATGTAGCGTACCTGACTACCGTCAGTCGGGAGGAGACCCTCAGTGGTGCTGCCGTCGCTGTGGTAAATATCAACGATAGTCATATAATACAGATGCCTTATCTCTACACTATTACTGTATGTGTTATCTAGTATCAACATTCCACCAACAGAAACTGCATACCTGCAATATCACCTGCATTTGTTCAGGTCAACCTGCAAACAACCTCCTTAGCCTGCACAGAAGATTAAGTATAGATTTTAATCACCTGCATTTACGCCGCTTGACACGCCCCATCATTGATTTTTTTTTTTTTTATAAATCGCCTTATTGAAAGGGTGATGTAGAAAACCTTGCATTCTCCACACTGTTTCAGGAGTATCTTACAAATATTAATTCTTTAACAAGTAATATGAATGCTAAGGTTGATGAAAACCTAGGACTGTTATGCTTTACCTACCTGTACAATGTATAATTATTTTGATCAGACATTTCACATTCAACTTGTGATAACATTGGTTAAGAACTTTCAATTACATGTAATTCTTTAAAAGAGTAAGATTTCTAGATTAAGAATAATGTATCGTTTTTAGAGAGAAAATTTCCTAATTTATCAAAATCAAGAAAATAGAAACAAAGGAGAAGTTTGAGTGTGTAGAATGGTTACTACAACGTATATTATTGTCATTAAAAAAATCATGATTTTTCTGTGGACGAACTTCTATGACGATACATCAATATCAGCATATCTTCCATTCCAAGTTAAATGGTGGTGCAGAAAAGTGATGTAAAATCAGAGGTTTTGTGTAAATTACTGTATTGTCAAACACAGTTACCTGGTGTTTGTATCAGCTCTGGCTTTGTCTTACAGATGTTCTCCAAGCGACTGTACGGCGTCATGTGGTGGGTGATGCCGGTGTTCGTGTCACTCTCCACCTTTGGAGGTGTAAATGGCATCCTTTTTACTACTGCAAGGTAAATATATTTATCACATGCTTGTTTGTGTGTGGTTTGCTTTGTTTATGTGTTACTGCTGGAGAGCTTTGGCCATGTCTTAACTAGATACATATCTATCATATCTGTTCTACTGCTGGTAATGTAAAGGACTCTGACATTTATAAAAATGATTATTTTGGCTGTGAGTATAGTGTATTCAATGTTGCCATTTCTATAATATATCCCATATCGACCTCGGGGCTGATACAGTGTTCTCAGATTAATACAGAGTTTGATATGGAAATGGACACATTGATAATCCTAAAATACCCAACCTCCAGATGTTTTAAAGCTGGGTAACCTCAATTTATAACCATAATTAATTAAAAATTATTTTAATTAATAGAGTCTCGGCATAGTAAATCAAATGTCATAATACTTGTAACGTTTTTATTTCAGACTGTTCTACGTCGGAGGTCGTGAAGGCCACATGCCTCAGATTCTCAGTATGGTTCAGATTCAGAAACTCACTCCCATGCCTGCTGTCATCTTCATGGTGAGTTTCTTGATTATCTCAATTTTTGTTGTTGATAATTCTATTAATGAGATAAACCATATTCTGGTAATGATGTTTGAGTTATCTCCCTTGAAAAGCATCAATTTAACAGTATCGTATAATTTAGAACTACTGGACAAGTATCGATACATACAATATCTCCTATGTACCTTAAAACTTGTCATCCATTACAATTAACCACACTTGAAAAATACATTTAGTGTATGAAACTTGATGTTGTACAGGGCCTGACCTCGTTGCTATACTTGGTGTCTGCTGACATGTTTGCCCTCATCAAGTATGTGAGCTTCGTCAACTGGATGTCCATTGGTCTGTCGATCGTGGTTCTCCTTTACTTCCGCAAAACACGGCCCAACATGGAAAGGCCAATTAAGGTGAGTGTTCTGGTGTCGTGGGTACCTATAGCTAGTCACAGTGGGTGTCATTACACTTAATAAATTGTAACTTGTAGTCCTATTTATTACCTGTTACCTTAGACATAAATTATAATATACAAAATTTAGTGAGGGATTATATAACTAAGATTTTGTACAATTTTATTTGTAATAATTCAGTCGAAAGATACAAGGTTGTGTGTTCTTGAAATGACAGGTTCTGGCTTGTCACATCTATAGTTGTATTTAATGTACCAGTAGACTAAGTAGCAAGTATTTGAAAATTGTGAATTTAATGATCCGGTATATATATGAATAACAAAATATAACTAAAAAATATTTGCTTAAAGTATTTTGATTTAGCAAATAAGTTGTGAAGTATTTGTAAAACTGCACATGTAAAGAACTTGAAACTTATGTGTTGTTTTTCAAAAAGACCTCTATAGTGGCATATTTCTGCCGTCTTCTTTCGACTTGCGAGTTACCTATGTCAACATAACTTCTAAAAGATGTCGACATAATCTATGAATATGTCGCAATAACGCTTGAATTATGTGGACATATTTTTAGATTTTCGGAGATAATTTTGCTGAGATAATTATCACATAAGTAGGTAACTCAGTTTTTAGCCCACCATCATCTGATGGTGGGCTATTCAAATCACCATGCGTCCGTCGTTCGTCCTTAAACAATTCTTGTTATCGGTATTTCTCAAGAAGTATCAAAGGGATCTTTCTCAAATTTGATATGTAGGTTCCCCTTGGTCCTTAGCTGTGCGGGACAACTTTTGAGACTGATCGAATAAACAACATGGCAGACAGTCAGTCATCTTGGTTTTTGATAGTGAAAGTTTGTGTTATCGCTATTTCACGGGAAGTACCAGAGGAATCCTTCTCAAATTTTATATGTAGGTTTCCCTTGTTCTTTAGCTGTGCAGTGCAACTTTTGAGACTGATCGGATAAATAACATGGCCGACAGGCAGCCATCTTTGATTTTGATAGTGAAAGTTTGTTATCGCTATTTCTCGGGAAGTACCAGAGGGAACTTTCTCAAATTTGATATTTAGGTCCCCCTTGAACCTTAGCTGTGTAGCAGTGCCTGAAATGGACGGTCGTCTGCTTGCCAATGGCAGTTAAAGTCTTGCTTGAGCGACCAAAAAATGTCAAAAGTGAGGCAGTCACTGGCCCAACAAAAAAAGTTTGGGCGACTGTCAAAAAATGAAAATGAATTAAAAGAAATTATAGTCCCTCCCACATTAACTGAGGGGGGGGGGGGGGGGGGGGGCAGTTCATATTTTTCAGTTGTCATTTCTTCGATTTGAATCGAATTGTCCGTGATTTAGAAAATGTGATGATTTTGTTTTCAGATTTTCTATATAAATACTGCCAGGGTGTCTTCTTTGAGGTGCAAGTTTTGTATATTTCTTTTTGGGAAGACCTGTATGGAGTGGATCATGTCAGGTTTTAACTAGAGTTGAAGTATTAAAAATATAATGTTTTATTCTGTTTTACATATTACAAATATTGTCATGTTATATGTAATTTAAATGTGCTGAAGTGTTTGTTAAATGCTGTGGAAATATTTCTTCCCAAAATTATTTGGGCCACCAATATGTCATTTGGGCAAGTGCTTAACATTTTTTACTCGGCCAAAAGTTTGTTTTGGGCCAGCCAATGCAGGTTCCCCACTATCCATTATTGTTCATGTTTACTTTTGAAACTGATCATTAAAACAAAATGGCCTGCCGACAGCCATCTTTGATTTTTGACATTGAAGGTTTGTTAGTACTATTTCTCAGGAATAACTTGAGGGATCTTTCTCAAATTTGATATGTATGTTCCCCTTGATCCCTCGTTGTGCATGTTATATTTGGAGACTGATCATAAAAACAAAATGGCTAAAGGAAGAACTAAACAGGTCTTTCTCATATTGCAATGATCGATTCTATTTCTTTCACATTAAGTACTGTACTAGTAGATATGTGAAATGACAAACTCACTTTGAAGGTTGGCTTTCATACACATCAGTATTAAGTTTAGATCAAAAGTTACCTCAAGGTGCATTTACTGTTAACATGACTCGATCAAACAGATTAGAGGCAAGAAGAGAAAAGATCGAACTGACAAAGAACTAATGAAGATGGTACAATGGTGGGCGCCAAGATCCCTCTGTGATCTCTTGTTTATCGTGTTAATGCTCAGATGTGACACCAACTTGCCACTTATTTATGCAAAGTAAAACGAGAAGTTAACAAATCATTCTCTAAAAAATCACTTGGTTATTTGCTCTACTCTATTGCCCAGGATATAGAACTGTTAAGATTTAACTTAAAATATTTCAGCTATAATCTAAAGAATCAAAAGAAAACCAGGAGAATAAATGATGAACAAGTTAAATGTTAGTATACTATAGATAACTTTTTGGGTTGGTCACCATGGGAACATGGCAGATGTTGTTCAGATTATCTCTACGCGATAAAAAGTGGATTGAGGTCATTGTTGTAAGAGGTGTTACACTGGACGTCACCTGTTTTATTGTTTATGAGACATTTATATTTAGGATAGTATAAAATGGACTGCTAACCTTAGAATGACCTTGTTATAATGTGGAGTGTATCCCGGTATTTTGTTGACAGTTCTGATAAGGGAAACTCAAGACTCGGATTCAAGGTCATTTACAAATAATGTGTTAGATATTGTTAGGTATTTAAGATATTGATTACCAAAATTAAGGCTTGCAAAGACAATGTGATTTTCAGACTAAAAGCAGTATTTCATATTTGTATATTTTCTGAATATTATCCTTTTCATTGATTGTCATTCTCTTTGACAAAATGTAAAGGAAATAATCTTCAGTTTATCTTTGTCTGATTTTTCTCAAGAGGATTTTATTTTTGATTTAATACAAATCAAATTAAGATGAAATCTGTTAATTTTTGTAATAATATTTAGAAACTACATTCATCTGCAGATAAATAGAGGTACCTCTTAACATGGGAGACATAGCATGTACATCTAACACATTGTTGGTATATATATAGAGGGATCTGTGCCAGTACAACTGGGACATGTACATCTAACACGTTGTTGGTATATATATATAGAGGGATCTGTGCCAGTACAACTGGGACATGTACATCTAACACATTGTTGGTATGTATATAGAGGGATCTGTGCCAGTACAACTGGGACATGTACATCTAACACGTTGTTGGTATATATATAGAGGGATCTGTGCCAGTACAACTGGGACATGTACATCTAACACGTTGTTGGTATATATATAGAGGGATCTGTGCCAGTACAACTGGGACATGTACATCTAACACGTTGTTGGTATATATATAGAGGGATCTGTGCCAGTACAACTGGGACATGTACATCTAACACGTTGTTGGTATATATATAGAGGGATCTGTGCCAGTACAACTGGGACATGTACATCTAACACGTTGTTGGTATATATATAGAGGGATCTGTGCCAGTACAACTGGGACATGTACATCTAACACGTTGTTGGTATATATATAGAGGGATCTGTGCCAGTACAACTGGGACATGTACATCTAACACGTTGTTGGTATATATATAGAGGGATCTGTGCCAGTACAACTGGGACATGTACATCTAACACGTTGTTGGTATATATATAGAGGGATCTGTGCCAGTACAACTGGGACATGTACATCTAACACGTTGTTGGTATATATATAGAGGGATCTGTGCCAGTACAACTGGGACATGTACATCTAACACGTTGTTGGTATATATATAGAGGGATCTGTGCCAGTACAACTGGGACATGTACATCTAACACGTTGTTGGTATATATATAGAGGGATCTGTGCCAGTACAACTGGGACATGTACATCTAACACGTTGTTGGTATATATATAGAGGGATCTGTGCCAGTACAACTGGGACATGTACATCTAACACGTTGTTGGTATATATATAGAGGGATCTGTGCCAGTACAACTGGGACATGTACATCTAACACGTTGTTGGTATATATATAGAGGGATCTGTGCCAGTACAACTGGGACATGTACATCTAACACGTTGTTGGTATATATATAGAGGGATCTGTGCCAGTACAACTGGGACATGTACATCTAACACGTTGTTGGTATATATATAGAGGGATCTGTGCCAGTACAACTGGGACATGTACATCTAACACGTTGTTGGTATATATATAGAGGGATCTGTGCCAGTACAACTGGGACATGTACATCTAACACGTTGTTGGTATATATATAGAGGGATCTGTGCCAGTACAACTGGGACATGTACATCTAACACGTTGTTGGTATATATATAGAGGGATCTGTGCCAGTACAACTGGGACATGTACATCTAACACGTTGTTGGTATATATATAGAGGGATCTGTGCCAGTACAACTGGGACATGTACATCTAACACGTTGTTGGTATATATATAGAGGGATCTGTGCCAGTACAACTGGGACATGTACATCTAACACGTTGTTGGTATATATATAGAGGGATCTGTGCCAGTACAACTGGGACATGTACATCTAACACGTTGTTGGTATATATATAGAGGGATCTGTGCCAGTACAACTGGGACATGTACATCTAACACGTTGTTGGTATATATATAGAGGGATCTGTGCCAGTACAACTGGGACATGTACATCTAACACGTTGTTGGTATATATATAGAGGGATCTGTGCCAGTACAACTGGGACATGTACATCTAACACGTTGTTGGTATATATATAGAGGGATCTGTGCCAGTACAACTGGGACATGTACATCTAACACGTTGTTGGTATATATATAGAGGGATCTGTGCCAGTACAACTGGGACATGTACATCTAACACGTTGTTGGTATATATATAGAGGGATCTGTGCCAGTACAACTGGGACATGTACATCTAACACGTTGTTGGTATATATATAGAGGGATCTGTGCCAGTACAACTGGGACATGTACATCTAACACGTTGTTGGTATATATATAGAGGGATCTGTGCCAGTACAACTGGGACATGTACATCTAACACGTTGTTGGTATATATATAGAGGGATCTGTGCCAGTACAACTGGGACATGTACATCTAACACGTTGTTGGTATATATATAGAGGGATCTGTGCCAGTACAACTGGGACATGTACATCTAACACGTTGTTGGTATATATATAGAGGGATCTGTGCCAGTACAACTGGGACATGTACATCTAACACGTTGTTGGTATATATATAGAGGGATCTGTGCCAGTACAACTGGGACATGTACATCTAACACGTTGTTGGTATATATATAGAGGGATCTGTGCCAGTACAACTGGGACATGTACATCTAACACGTTGTTGGTATATATATAGAGGGATCTGTGCCAGTACAACTGGGACATGTACATCTAACATGTTGTTGGTATATATATAGAGGGATCTGTGCCAGTACAACTGGGACATGTACATCTAACATGTTGTTGGTATATATATATAGAGGGATCTGTGCCAGTACAACTGGGACATGTACAGGTGACTTTCCCAGACTTGACCTTTGATTTGTATTGTTCCATTGTCACTGTTTTAGGGGAAGGGGTTATAGGTGATCTAAATGCAGTTGAATGTTGTTGGAATTTTCCTACTGACTATAGGCACATTGCATTATAATGTGAAAGTGTGTACATTTTTATTGTTATTTTTACAATACTTTTTTGTACAACGCACTGAAAAATCAGCATATCTCAATACACAGGAAAATCACATTGCATCACATTTCAAAAAGAGATAATGCTGAATCACAATATTTTTCAATTCAAGGCTTATTTTTAGATCACTTGAAAATCGTGTTAGCTATTGCTATCCACTTTAGTCCGGCATCCTATAACCTTTTTTACTTTTTAAACACAAATTTTTGGACTTCTTTAACTTCGCAAATTACAACAAAGTTTAAGAGATAAACTGATATTAAACCATAAAACAGACTAAGTAACTTGTGTTTGAAATCAGTAAAAAATTCAGGATAGAAAATTAATTCAGTAAAATATGTAAATTCATATTATCTATTTGGTCTGTGATTCAGTTGGATAATGTTTCGACAACACATTCTTTGGAAATTTATAAGCACTGTTTTAAGAAAACATTTACATTTTCTTTTGTGAAACATATTGTGATAGTACCGGTAGATATTATTACATTCATTCTGTATTGCAATTTATTGGGATACACTCCCAGTGTACCATGACATGCCTACTTCTCTTTATACACAGGATCAGTATTATGGGTACAGGTTTTGTTTATCCATTTCACCACTGTAGACAATAATGGACTCATCCATATCAATGTATGGTAGAGTCCACTAAAGTTACATAGGGGTGAAAGGGTTATATTGGCACAACTGAATAAAATTAAATGTTTAAAATTGTACTTGCAAACCTAACATATCACTTTGTTTTCCAGGTCCATTTGTTCTGGCCAATCTTGTATGTTTTCATCACTTTCCTAACCTAACATATCATTTTGTTTTCCAGGTCCATTTGTTCTGGCCAATCCTGTATGTTTCCATCACTTTCCTGCTGGTCCTTCTACCAATCATTGCCAGTCCTGTAGAAACTGGTAGGTAACATTTAATATTAGAAAGCATTAATTGAAAAAACATCAGCTTGAATTAGGCCCTTAAGACAATCAAAGATGGAACATAAGGGATACAATATACCGGTGGTCAACAACAGGGTGGAATTGTAGGAAATCTTTTATGTATATTCTGCTTTTGAAGCATTTTATTGAGAATGGTAATTTGTTGAAAATTTTAATATTATTTTTAATGATTAATTTTAATATTGCATACATTATATTTATACATATATATTGAAGAAAGTAGATCTATGCAATTGAAAAAGAAAAAATACAACAATTACAGAAAATTGTTTTAGCTGGATGCTTCATAAAAGAATATTGTGTTTCAGGTTTTGGGATGATCATCATAGCCAGTGGTGTTCCTGTTTATATCATATTTGTCTACTGGGAGAGCAAACCAAAAGGATTTTATGAATTCTTAGGTATGTATTCACTATGCAATACCCTTATGGGTTCTTTATACACTTGTTGAATCTTTAAAACATTCCAAATGGTATGAGGAAATTCATATTTATATGTCTGAAATGTATATGTAATTTCAGATCGTACACTAGTTTCTGTGTATGAAACCAGTAGAAGGGAGATAACTCACAAAGCCTCTTTTTGCCAGCACTTTGCATCACATTCTTAGCTTTTACTTCTTTTAAATATTATTTTATTGTATGATATTTTGAAAACATTTTACAACCACATAATCTTAACAATGACATAGATAACAAGAAGATGATTTGGATCTGTTGACATTAACTCATTCACCCCTACATAATTAAACTGGACTTGCCGAGTCATTGATTTGGTAAGGTTCAAGTGTGACTTTAGGGGTGAATTGGTTTAATAATCTTATATTAGCTGTTTCGTCGGCCTACTTTGTGTTCCTGTCTAAGTAGTGTTTTTGTACTTGTAGACAAGGCTACACTAGCACTACAGAAGTTCTTCATGGTCATACCCGAGGAAAACACCAGTAAAACAGAATAACACTGGAGTTCTGGGCAGTCTTCGTTCGTATCCAAAGATTTAGACAATAAGATTGGGCTGCCATTATGTCGATAGACAAGGACAAAACCTGAGACACAAGATCACTAGTCAACAAAGCCCCAAGAGAAAGAACGGAAATCCTTACAGGGCTAGGTGCTAAGGAGACAAACAAAAGAAGAGCAGATATACCGGGGGGTGATGGAGATATTGGATTCAAACATTTTTGTGGGGTGTGAAATTGTTTGTATTTTTTGCTTGGTAGGGTATTTGTTACATAATTGTCATTTAAGTAGTATAGTATGATGAATTAGTGGGAGATAGTTCCATATATTGAGATTGATTTAGATCTGTTGAATAAGTTTATATGTTTCTTCTGTATTTCTTCAAACATACAAAATGAACATATTATCTTTTTAGCAAATCATTTGGGGACACATGTTTATGTTCTTCAAATGTAAAGTGTGATTATATGTCTAGTGATCAGGTTATGATTGGCATTGAGAAACCCTCATGCATTGTGATGATCATTTGGAGTAAAAATATAATACTGTATTAGAGGTAGAATAAATACAGTAGCCATTTTCTGCCCTTTCTAAGGTTTAGGTCTCCTTGGTTTGTTGCAGATAAAATACAATAAGTGACTTTATGTAACTGATATAGCTATTCCAGTGATCTATTTACATAACAATAATCTACCTTTTAAAAAAATCTCAAAACAGTTGTCCATAAGTAACCACAAAAATTGAGTCCAACCAGAGACCCTGTCATGCAACAGTGAATGATAATGTTGTTCTGTTGTTTCTCCATCGTATACCTGTTACAATACATCTAATCAGTTTCTAAATATTTTTATCGCTGAGCTCAAAGCTTACTAAGTTCTGGTTTGTTTTATGCCTTTTATGAATTCATCAGTAAAAATGCACAAAAAATATTCAGTTTTATATAACAATTACAAGCAGAGTCACTTGTTACAAGTTAAAAATGATTAAAAAATAAATGAAGTAAGGGGGTACATGTATTGCAAACAGTCCGGGGGAGATCACTCCATATTTAGTCAATGATTCTGCATGTTGCTTCCAGTGAAAGTGTTATCCAACATTTCTATAATTAAATAAGTGTTGTTAATGAAAAAATCCTGTCCATTTAAAAAAAATCTTCTTTATTACTGGTATTATTGTGGAGAAGATACAATTATATATTTATATTATTTAAAAGCTAATTTGAAATTGGTAGCTATAAAACTTCAATTTCCTCAACTTAAATGTTAGCATCTTATCAACACACATTTCTGCAAGCTGTTGATACAGATATGGACTGTTTGAACAACCCTCTAGAAGTTTGGCTGCTTGCAATGATCCAATTCAAAAAAATACATGTGTCATTTCTTTTGTCTCAAATCTTACCTGTAGTCGTGCTATTGGAAAGTTTCATTTTCATGGAAAACCATCAGATGTGCATCCCTTACTATATTGAAAAACAATAAGGATCTTGATACCATTTGTTATAATGTATTAATGATAATGATATTTATTCAGGTAAATATTATATTACTATTCAAGAATTGTAATATTCCTTTCAATAAATGTGACATCTTCATTTTTTTTAATTTTTTTTGAGTAAATGTTATTTTCAATTTTTAAGTTTTTGCATTTATTGATTGTCATGTTCTAAACCAGGAAATAAAACACATTAATGGACCGTTATGAGCTATTCTATAGTTAACTCAGTGGTAAAGGCAGGAGGTCAAACTTTACCAACATTCAGTTCAGACTGTGGGGTTGAACTTCTGTTTTGTGTATTGTGTTTTTCTTTTTAATTATTTTTTTGAGTATGTAGTATGAAAATAAGTTTGCAAACTAGAAGAAAGTGAAGACGTGTATGTTACTATAGAATTAAGGGCTGTGTGTTGAGAGAAGAGATTGTACTCATTAATTAAGTTAAAATGAATTAATTACGTGTAAGAGGAGAGTTGCATAAACTAGAATTATTCATGTATTATAAGAAACAGGTTATGGTAAAATTATATTTAAATACATGATATTATGTATATGATATATGTATATTAATATTATGTATATGATATATGTATATTAATATTTGTGTATATATTGTGTGTAAATCTACAATGAGTATAACTTATTATCGTGACCCTTGACCTGCTGATCATGAATAAGTTATTTTGTAAAGCTTTATAACTAATTTTTTTGAGACACTCAAGGGGTGTAATTGTCTGTATAACAGAGGATATATATGTTATTGATATTCTTTGCATGGAAATGTTCACTCATGAGATTTCTTTAAATGGTTAGCAGTTGCTTGCCATTGACATAATATTACTGTACTTCAAATTGAATTCACCCTTGAAATTGTTCATGCCAGTGTGGAACAGTGTACTTGTACAAGTATTCAGACTAGCCTTCATCACAATGTTACATGTTGTAAAAGGCACCCGTCTGAATGTGATATACAACACTGTACTGTATGACACTGCAACAAACCCGAGATGTGTTGAGGGTGACTTTGGGGCATTAAAAACCCTTCCCCTAAAACATTCCTGCTATTTTCCCCCCAAATCAATGCAAATATCTCTTTATTTTTCCAAAATCATGCTTTTCATATGTGCACAAAATCAGAAAAAAATAGGAGGACAAATTTCTACACTTCGACGTACATGTACTATATTGTGATACATGTATAAGACATTGTGATGTACCATGCCAATCTCAAAGAACTTACAGACAACTACGAAAATCACGTTATCTATTTTTCTTTCTTTCTGGAAATAAAAACTCCAAAAAACCTTTGACGTCACATGTATAATGTACCTGTGGACTTGTGAGCCTACATGTGGGGTTATTGTTGATTGAATTGTGTTGTAATCATGATAAATATCCATATCATTCTACTTGTATTTATGTATTGGATGTAAATGTTATCTGAGAGGATCCATATCAACAGTACCTATAAACAGTACCTATAGAAGACTGATAATGTCCTTCTGAATTCCTCCTTAAACAGAAAGTCACACGCTCAATCACTGCCAATCTCTTATCACATTTAGCCCGTAGAGACAAATATCTCTGGGTAAGACATAATATTACATCCTTACAATTTGTTGGTACATACTTGTTCGTCATTAAAATGCGTAACTTGATTGTTTTTTCTTTATCTACATGTCTGGTTATATTTAAATCAATTAGTTTTAGAAGTTAGGATTTAGTTTTAGATTTTAGAATTAGCTTCAGATTTGAAAATTAGTTTTAGATATTCAAATTAGTTTTAGATTTTCAAATTAATATTGGGTTTTAAAATCAATTTTAGATTTTAGAATTAGTTTTAGATATTCAAATTAGTTTTAAATTTTAAAATTAATTTTGGGTTTTAAAATCCGGTTTAGATTTTAGAATTAGTTTTTAACCTGGGACTCCTATGATGGAATCTAATGTGTTGTTTTCCTTACTCATATTTAATAAAGAAAGAGGATGAAACTTTATACAGAAACCATTTGTCATCACTGCCATATCATTTCAGAAGTAAATTAAGGACATTGAGAGACTTACATGTAACATCCCATTCATCCATTTTTCATCTGTAATCTTTCATTGATACAGCTTATTATCTAATAACGCATCTTATTATATATGGAAGTAAAGATGTGCAGAAGATCACCATTTTCTCATCATTTTGTAGTATTTAAGAGTTTTTAAGTTTGTTTGCTTTGGTGGATGGTAACATATATAATCATAGTTAGTGTTGTTTTTATTGTGTATGCTATATTTATATTGATATCATGATAAATAGCAAACTCTTTCTGTAAATGTCTCTGAAAAAGAAATCTGCAAAATATTGATATGAACTTGTTACAATTTTAGAATTCTTTCGAGTCATATGAGGACGCCAACAGATCGTTGTCCTCCTGTTCTTTACTTTCTGTTTATTGCAGCTGTGAAGCCCACTTAATAGGTCTCTCGAAAAGTTTTAAGTGGAATCTCGCCCACCTCTCATTAATTTCCCTAAATTCTTTTTAAGGACTTAATGGAAAGGGTTGGAAGTATAACCGACACGGTTTTATGTTCTTATTTACATATACTTGTTTGATTAGACATACACCTGTGTGATTGCCTAGCTGTAAGACACCACTCCATACTAACAAAGGTCTACAGTGTATGTTTTGTAGTGTTACAGTCCTTATTCTGGTGTTTCTTGTAAGAAAAGCTCTTCCCGCTGTAAGCGGTTCACCTTATTCCTTTATCATGATTTTATTAATTGATTTAATTGTGTATATAGATATATGTATGTTTCTTTATGTCAACAGAAGAAATCCAAAATAAAATTTATCTGAAATCACTTGAATAAGAAAGAATTAATTAATTGTGTTAAAGTCAAACCTGCCTAAGAGGCCCTCTCTATTACCAGGTAAGAGACCACCTGTGTTAAGAGACGGACAGATCGCTTTTAAAACTCTCCGTAACAGTTATTTTCAAATCAACTGAACCTGTATTTAAGACCACCTACGATAAGACACCATTTTATGGTCCTACGTAAGGTGGTCTGTTACCAGGGTCGACTTTATTCAGTAATAAGTCTCACCTAAGTTTTTTAAGTATTTTTTTAGCATAATTACATTTTTTATGTATAGATAGATATATATATTTTTGACAATAGTTTTCATGCTTTATAACTATTCTGAATATTCCTAATATTTAATTTTTGTGTAATGAATGAAAAAAAACTGTGTCTTTCCTTTGGTATTTGTGAACTGAGAACAATTTAAACTAACAAACAGGCTAGCTGATATCTCAGGTGCTTGGAAGGCATTCCTTACACTTGTATGCCCAGTGTGAGTATGTGTTTATCAGCGTTAGGGAGTGAGAGAGTGGAATTCCTATTTTATTGCATTTATTATTAAAGATATCCAAATTCTTGGATCTAATAAGAAGATGTACTGCACTTTTATAAACTTTCATGTATGATGTCCTGTTGAGAAATAATGGAATAAATATACTGACAATATTATTTATGAAACGGACATATGATACTGATAAACCAAGTGAGGTTTGCTTGTTGTGTAGCACATTATTATTTACTAGTGTTTGTTTCAGTGTTCAGCAGAAACAATATTCCATTGTCTTGTGCATTTATCTAATTATAAATATGATTATAAATAAGATTATGAATAGAAATCTTCAGAACATCAGGGTGCTTTTCTTGAACGGGATGATTTAATGCTAGTTTCAGAATGTTTTTGAATTTTTAGGTTAAATTTTGGGAGTCCTGGACAAATTTTTCTTATTATTAAAATGCATTTCCAGCAGTAACTACATATATAGAATGTAGAAAAGTTTTTTTTTTTCTCACAATGATGTGAGATGCAGGTAAAAATACAGTTTCATCACGTATTAAAGTGTGTTTGTATTAAATGCATCCGTAAGATCTGTGTCAACGGAGTTTTGATCTGAGTGTTTTCCTATCAACATAATTATGTTTAGTGTCATTAAAAATGTAAAGTTTTAATCATTGTTTTATGTTTATTTTTTTTTGAGAATTGTATTAAATAAACATATATATATGAATAACATATTGATGGCATATTAAACATGAATGAAAGTGACATCATAAGTGAATTTTAAAAGTGACTCATTACTTTAAAAAAAAAATCAATGCCAATTAGCAAATTGAGTCAAACCTGCTGAAGAGACCACCTGTTTTAAAGGACCACTTTTAAACTCGCCATTACTTTTATTGTCATGTTCGGCAGAGAGTCCCTGACACTTCTATTGTATCTATTTTAAATTAGATAAATTTATTTGTCTTTGCTGTAGTAAATAGGTCAACAGATCCTAACCAGAAAGATACACTAGACAGAACACTGGGACTCGCTACCTTAACAGAAACTGTATTAAGACACCATCTGTAACTAAACAAGTCTGACTGTAAATACAACACTGAGAAAAGAACCTGAGACAGATTTAATTGAGACTGTCATCCTGGTGTGGCATATGCATTCAAATACTAGAAAATATCATGAAATTTCACATTTTTATTTCAATAGCTAATTTTTCAGACCATCAAGTTATAGGATGCTATTATGACTTTGTTGTGATCGAGTCTAACTATTAATGAACTATTGGGGACAAGTTGTCTTTGATCACTGCTGTTTTATTTCTTGTTATGTCATTTTTTTAATAATTATCCCCCGCTTTCATCGAAACAGGGGGATATTAATTTGGGGTTGTCCGTCTGTCTGTCTGTCACGCTTCGTTTCCGTGCAATAGCTGTAACAAATGTTAATCGATTTTCTTCAAACTTGGTCACAGGGTTAATTACCTTAAGGGCTCAACCAAGTTTGATGACCACTTTCAGCGGACCCCATTTGGTGGAGTTATGGCCCCTTGAATAATGAAAAATGTCTTTATCTGCCGCGCTTCGTTTCTGTGCAATAACTACAACAAATGTTAACCGATTTTCTTCAAACTTGGTCACAGGGTTAAATGCCTTAAGGGCTCAACCAAGTTCGGTGACCACTTTCAGCCGACCCCATTTGGCGGGGGTTATGGCCCCTTGAATAACCAAAAACGTCATTATCTTCCGTTTCTGTTCCTTAACTCTCGCAAATAGTATCCAATTGTCTTCAAACTTAGTAACAGGGTTCAACACATTAAGGGCTCGACCAAGTTTGACAACCACTTTAGTCAGACTCCAGAGTCATTATCTGCAGTTTCCGCTTAATAACCCCAACAAATATTAGATAAGGCTTTCTTTTCTTTGAGTTTCAAGCTATACATCATGTCCCAACAGCACGATACTCACATGTTTAAACTTAACCTCAATAATGTTTACCTACAATATGTACTGAAAGCGGGGGATATAAATTCCACGAATTTGCTTGTAAATTATTAATTTATGATTGAACATTTTCAGGTCATCACTTCGTTGTTGATTATATGTTATACAGTAATTGAAGACTTTTAAAAATACACTGTTGAACTAATGTGACTTAAATACAGCTGTGCTTGTGAGTGGAGAGAACGAGACAGGAATACATAATGAAAGCGTTGACGGATGGATGTACTTATAGGTAATATTGTGAATGGATTTATTTTGAGTGATAAAAACCATAAAAACATCTTTTTGACTTTGAGTTATCTTTGAACATATAAAACCTGGTGATAGGATGCTGAGGAGATTAAGACATAATAAACCTGATGGTAGGATGCTGAGGAGATTTAGATATAATAAACCTGATGGTAGGATGCTGAGGAGATTTAGATATAATAAACCTGATGGTAGGATGCTGAGGAGATTTAGATATAATAAACCTGATGGTAGGATGCTGAGGAGATTTAGTCATAATAAACCTGATGGTAGGATGCTGAGGAGATTTAGTCATAATAAACCTGATGGTAGGATGCTGAGGAGATTTGGACATAATAAACCTGATGGTAGGATGCTGAGAGGATTTAGACATAATAAACCTGAAGGTAGGATGCTGAGGAGATTTAGACATAATAAACCTCCTGATAGGATGCTGAGGAGATTTAGACATAATAAACCTGATGGTAGGATGTTAGCTGAGGGGATTTAGACATAATAAACCTGATGATAGGATGCTGAGGAGATTTAGACATAATAAACCTGGTGATAGGATTCTGAGGGGATTTAGACATAATAAACCTGATGATAGGATGCGGGAGGGGATTTAGACATAATAAACCTGGTGATAGGATGCTGAGGAGATTTGGACATAATAAGCCTGATGATAGGATGCTGTGGAGATTTGGACATAATAAACCTGATGATAGGATGCTGAGGGGATTTAGACATAATAAACCTGATGGTAGGATGCTGTGGAAATTTGGACATAATAAACCTGATTGTAGGATGCTGTGGAAATTTGGACATAATAAACCTGATGATAGGATGCTGTGGAGATTTGGACATAATAAACCTGATTATAGGATGCTGAGGAGATTTAGACATAATAAACCTGATGATAGGATGCTGAGGAGATTTAGACATAATAAACCTGATGGTAGGATGCTGAGCAGATTTGGACATAATAAACCTGGTGATAGGATGCTGTGGAGATTTGGACATAATAAACCTGATGATAGGATGCTGAGGAGATTTGGACATATTTAACCTGATGATAGGATGCTGAGGGGATTTAGACATAATAAAAAAAAACTGACGGTAGGATGCTGAGGGGATTTAGACATAATAAACCTGGTGATAGGATGCTGAGGAGATTTGGACATAATAAACCTGGTGATAGGATGCTGAGGAGATTTTCACATAATAAACCTGGTGATAGGATGCTGAGGAGATTTGGACATAATAAACCTGGTGATAGGATGCTGAGGGGATTTGGACATAATAAACCTGATGATAGGATGCTGAGGAGATTTTCACATAATAAACCTGGTGCTAGGATGCTGAGGAGATTTGGACATATTTAACCTGATGATAGGATGCTGGGGGGATTTAGACATAATAAAAAAAAACTGACGGTAGGATGCTAAGGGGGTTTAGACATAATAAACCTGATGATAGGATGCTGAGGAGATTTTTTTACATATTTAACCTGATGATAGGATGCTGGGGGGATTTAGACATAATAAAAAAAAAACTGACGGTAGGATGCTGAGGGGATTTGGACATAATAAACCTGATGATAGGATGCTGAAGAGATACATATGGTACTGCAGCCCTGGTCACATGACTTTGAATAGTGTTAATTTAAGCCATTGATGGATTATGACAACATGATATCACCTGTATGAATTAAGTACAAAATCAAAGGAATGCTGGTAAATTGTGCCTCCTGAAAGAGTAATACGTGATTTTGAGTATAAACTCAAACAACTCAATGATGTTGTCAACAGGAAAGCTTGTTCTCTTCCTCGGGGTTCTGTCTACTTTTTACCTATCCCTTATGGCCTTTGCAGCCTCGTCCTCTTGTGTATTTGTAGAGAGAGACATTACGTTATGCGAGCTAAAAATGTCGTCCTCTTCAGCAATTATTTCGTCCAGATCCGATGCCAAATATGTCGAGTTTGCACGTGCTGTTCTGTTTTTCCCACCAGTAAGACCATGGATGTCCTGCGTGGTCACTTTCCCATACATAAAAGGGGTGTCTAAACCACTTTCAAGAGTGTTGTGCAAACATCACAACAGCATGCTAATGCGACCAAATACCATATAACAGCCGCAACCTTACATATATCGGGGAAACTGGTCGGAAATGTGGGACAAGCCTAAAAGAACATCAGAAAGACATTGAAGCCATGACACAGCGAGTCTTCACTAGAAATACAAGGAAGACATCCGAGAAACAATACAATAAATCAGCCATTACATACCATGCTTACACGCATAACCACATCATAGACTGGAACAAATTGAAAATGTTTGAAAGGGCAACTGGAAAGTTAGGAAAACAAAAGAACCCATCATGGTTAAGAGGGAAGGGGATTCGATGAACAGAGACGAAGGGGCCACCAGTTGAGTCGTCTTTACGACCCCATGTTAACATCCACTAAGGGGTCCCCTGTTTGCCTGCAGTAGCCTATTAGATTGCAATTAGGCAAAATGTCTTATGGCTACGAGAGTTGTTTTCGGCGGTTTAGAGTCGTAGTCGTAGAGTCCTTTGCTTGACAGAGGAAAAAGACGTTTCGGAAAGCTCGCCAAATAAGTTTTCAATTCCTGTTTATGTTCAAACAAACTTAGCCTTTATTATTCACACCAAACTGATGAATCTTATTCCACATATATGCATATGTGTGATAATTTACTACACAGGTTTATGTGTGGAAACTATAGTACACAGGTTAATTAGGGAGGTTGACTAGCAAGCGATCCGAGATAATATATAGTCAGAACTTGTCTGACCTAGTCATATATATAGTTCAAACCGATGGGCACATAGGACGCCCTTATTTGTTTGTTTTATTCCGAAGGGACCATCAGCATGGTCATTAAGGTCAAACGGTAATAGCTAAGTGGAAACCAGCCCTGGAAGGGCGTAAGGTCTAGTGCCTGTATGCGCGGGTTAGACTCCCGGCGTCGGAGTAACTTTCGTCGACTTCTTAATAGGGTTTAATACTTATTTGTTTCGGCAGATTCGGCAGACTTGATAAAATAATGCATCGAACGTCCGCATCTAATTCAGACGACCTGGTTAATTACAGCTAGTCATTAAACGAAGGGACCGACCTTATATCCTTGAGACAGCCTCATACATATAATATATACATGTACTCCCTATATTGTATTTATATTGTATATTGTATTTCCATGGCCGTAGTCTTTTTTAGGGAAAGCTGTTAAAATGACAGTAGTTTATCTTAATTTTTTTCGAATGCCCCCGTGTTTAAAAAGAATCTTGTTACAAAAATTGCCAAGATTGTCAAAAAACTGTCAAGACATTGCTTATGATATTAAATACATGCACATATATGAATATGATGTTCGTTCGCACTCTACGATATCAGACAAAAGAATCAGTGGAAGAGCTGCAGAATTGCAGTCCGTTCGCATTCTACGATATTAAGCTTGGTGGTTTTAAAAGTTTCCTGGCGCGTTCACCACACCGTATGTTTTTCAATCATGGCAGCAATTCTGCAGCTCTTTCACTAATTCTTATGTGTGTGTTCAAGAAAAGGTCTAACTAGGACATTCAATAGCCGGCAAAAATTCTTTCGTTTAGTTATAATAATCATCTCTTCAGGTTCAACAAGCTCCCTAAAAGAATGCTGAAGTCACCCCAAATTCCAACCCCCTGATAAGTCATGGTTACAGATCTAAATAAAAATTCCGTAATTCAGATATGTAATCTGAATATAATGATCTTGTACATTAGCTAGTAAAACTGTCTATATCGAGGTAAATGTGGTTAATAATAAGACAATAAGGCTGATATCTTCATTAAAATAGTTTACCGTACTTATAACATATCAATGTCTTTAACGACCTAACTGATTGCTTACGAAATGTCATTATCTGAGGTTCCTTTACATACTAAGGTCATGCGGAGCTTAATTACTATTCGCATATCTCAACATAACATTATATAACATGTTTAACGTATGTACAACATCACAGAATATTAGGAATTGACAAATCATCAAA